CGGAGAAATCACCACCGGGCGGGCTGACAGCACCGACGATGCTGACACTGCCCACACGCTCGGGGCTGCCAAGAGCACTGCTCTTTCCAGCACGCTCGTAGAAAGAGGCCAGCTTGGCTCCCAGGTACGCGGGGAAACCCTGGTCAGCAGGCATTTCACCCAGACGACCCGAGATCTCACGCAGAGCCTCGGCCCAGCGGGAACTGGAATCTGCCATCATAGCCACGTCCTTGCCCTGGTCACGGAAGTATTCGGCGATAGTGATACCGGTGTAAATAGAGGCCTCACGGGCGGCGACGGGCATGTTGGAGGTGTTGGCGATCAGGCAGGTACGCTTCATGATAGGCTCCTTGCGGCCATCAACGTCAATAGTAAGCTGCAAAAGAATGGGGAGTCAGTAAAACTTCAGCGCATTAAGTTTGGGGAAGGTATGTACTTCAGGGAAATCCATCAACACCTCAGCCATCTCATTACCACGCTCACCGCAACCAACGTAGACGATGATATCACTGTTCGAGAACTTGGACACACTCTGGGAAATGACAGTCTTTCCACATCCGAAAGCACCAGGAATGCAGACAGTGCCACCCTGGACACTGGGGAAGAGAGCATCCAACACTCTCTGGCCGACGATGAAGGGCGCGTCGGCGGACAGCCTGTCGCTAACCGGGCGGGGAACACGAACGGGCCAAGTCTGCATCATACCGAACTCAGACTTCTTACCATCGAATTCCACCTCGAGCAGCTTCTCATCGACAGTGTGATTGCCAGCAGGAGCAATCCGAGTAATGGTACCCCGTGCACGAGGAGGCAGCAGGATCTTGTGGTCGTTCACCAGACTGTTCTCGAACACGGTACCCCAGACGTCACCTCCAGTGATGTGGTCGCCGACCTTGAAGCCAGCAGGCTTGTATTCCCACTTGCGCTCGCGGTCCAAGGCATTGACCGAAATACCACGGGGAATGTAGATACCCTTCGATTGGTCCGCGATGGCTTTGAGGGGTCGCTGAATACCGTCGTAGATCGTCTCCATCAGACCGGGGCCAAGCTCGACTGAAAGGGGCTTTCCTGTCCTCGTCACCGGGTCGCCGACAGTCAACCCGTCTGTTATGCAAAGGTCACAATGGTCAGCATAGCTCTTTGGGGGGTATGATGAAATCATGCGGGTTTGGGGGGTTGCGGAGCTCTACCTGTTTCCTCGTAGACCTGAATCGTGGCCTTATCTTGGTTGATACGAATAACTTCACCGACAAGCAGGTCATGACCGACACGACACTATGCGGTCAGTATCTGGGGTTCTCCACGGTCTCAGAGCTGGGGCTGCCTACCAACTCGTACATGGCACAACCGATCATGTTCTCGGCCACGACGACAGGGCCGGAGACCGAAAAGACGGAGCCATGGTTCTCAGAATCGTCTGAAGTCATAATGGAAGAAGCCTGTGTGGAATGGGGGGACACAGAGTGGGTGAAGGTAGTTGAGGAGGGCGAGTCTGGAAGCGGTGGCAGCTCGGCGGGCGGTGATGGCTGTGTCAACGTATGCTTTGCGGTTATCAGATCCAACAACGATGCCCGCGCTTTCAATCGAGGACGTCCCAAGCCCAGCATTCGCTTTAGACTGCAGTCAAAGGTGTTGGAAATTGAATGTCAATTCTTAGACCCCGTGGAGTCCCCCTGATCTACTCGTCCAATCCTCGGTCTCTTCCCCGCGGACCGAATTGTGGCCATGCAAGCCGATCTTTCAGCTTGGCCTGTACTACTGGTGGCTTTTTCTTATCATACGGTCTTACAATGATGGAAAGTCTTCGAATTGGGGTTTCCTGCTGTGGCCTTTTGAGAACTACTCGAGTCACTGAACCTTCTTGAATTACTGAACATCTGGTTCATCTTACAAATACGATGAGCTCCACCTACCACTCCATAATAACCTTTGGACGGCCATGAAAATTCATCCAATAATGCTTGCATTGCAGAAATCTATTTGACAAACAAAACTGACGGGTCTTGGATACCCCGTGGTATCTGATACTGAGGGCCGACGATGATGATGTCTATCGCGGTCGCACAAATGATCAATAAGTGTCTTCGAGTTCCTCGATGGCACCATAAACCATTTGGAGAGCGTTTCGAAACTCAACCGCAAGATGTTCAGCATGCTGACTGACTAATGACCAGGGCGAAGCAGATGGGAAAAAGGCCCGCAGCTTGATCTTGCAACCACCTTCGGTATCCATGAACTCGTTCATAATATAGTAGAACTTATTCCCACTGTCAAGTTTCGCGACCAAATACTCCACCATTTCATACTCCTCCTCTCGCTGCCCCGCCATCCACTTCGGGATCTCTTCCTCCATGAGATAAACAAATCGAACCTTGGCCATGTGCTCCCCGATGACCTCCACCCCGCAATCCGGCCCACTTCTAGCGAGAGCTCCTGCTGAATGCATAACCACATAGTTCTCCGGGTGCGTTGGAAATATAAACGTTCGTGCTACCTCATCGATGGGTTGAGAGACCTGCCAGCGGCTGCAGATTGTTCTCAGCTCTGTCGCCGAAACCCCGGTCGCTTTCATGTACGTTCTGCATTCTCTGAACTCTCCTCGAGAGGCCTGAATCAGAGATTCAAAATAGCGGTTTCCTTCCTCGATTTGGTCTTTGAGAAGCTCCAGCATCGGTGCTTGAAACAGCAAGCTCCGCAGGTTGTCGAGAGCGCGATAGCAAGCTTGGAGTTCGAAGTTGTCAACATCAGCCCCCGAATGTAGCACTCCGTTCAGCTTGAACTTGATGGTTGGTCTCGGCTCCATGGGTATTGGTGTTCTCTGGTGAAGGAGTTGGAATATTGTGTAGAAAGTGTTGTCTACAGGTGAAAGTCGCAGCCTTTATAGCTTAGTCTAAACAGCAACCCTGACCCCATCATGCCATTATTGAAAACGTCTTCTTGTGAAGCACCTATGAAACATGAAGAGATCAAAGGGTGCTGAGTGTAGAATGAGAAAGACAAAGAGAGGATCAAAGGCAGCATACAACGCCATTAGCACAATCTCAAGTAAGGCTTGCAAGCTTTGGATTCAAACTGCGGAAGACAGTCTCATAAATTTTAAGGGCATATGTGACAAGTTGCAACCACTATGGCACATCCCAGCCCCTGGAGAGTAGATTAAAGAATCTGCATAGGGTGGGTTAGATGATGTCTTAAGGTGTCAAAGAAGTGTCAAAGACTCAAAATGTGAGGACTTGCCTATAAATATTGTCCAATCAACATTTTACACCTAGAATCTGAGGAATTGTGGAATTGAGACGAAAAATAACTGCTTTTGAGGTCAGAACGGCCACCTTTCACCCGCATCACAGTAAATAGCGACCACTGAGGACTTTGATCCTATCAACTTTTATTACCAACAGAAAATCAGCTCTCTACAAATTTTCTCCATATATAGCATAATAATTGATTGAATATGCATTTCTAGTCTTGTTGATTATATGTTAAAAGTTGTGGGAATTGTGCACAGGCTGCGACGGAGCATCCTGGATAGGGACCAAAAATATATTTCAGAGACTTTGGAAAGACATCTTAAAAACACATATTTGAACAGCTTAATATTCAAAGTACGTGCTATCGGTGTATATCGTGAAGTATATAGGCCGTCCAAACTTCTGACTATTCTGCTTCTATATATAAGTAGACTACCTTGGTTATACAACGAGAAACCTAAGGGATCCCTTCAGCAGGAAAAAGGTCCAAGCAATCAGTATCAATATATATTTGTTTGCTTACATTCTCCTGTCTTTAATTTACTTGTACTATCGCCATTTTATAAATATACATATGTATGAGACGCCAGGCCTCAAACCTCGGGAAGTTCCACAATGAAACTAATACATTTCAACCACTAGACCATAACAAAAGAATATATCTGCTTACGGCATAGGGAGGCTAGATTCTTGCCTGGTTCTTTGTCTCAGTAAAACCTGTCTTGTGTCTTACTTTGCCTTTGTTCCAGTTTAACTTCCTATCAATTGGAGGTTCTCTACCCGAGTTGAAGCGTCACCCGTTTGATTATAGATGTTTTATCACTTTTTTGCAATATTAGCGCACCCCGGCGGATTATTTTAGGGGTTTGCTGGAAGAGTCATTGGATAGGTCTGAATCTCACGACGAGTAGACCCAGCGCACTTGAACAGATAGGCATGCTCGGTGTCCTCATATCTAGTATGCAGCATACAAGGAAATATCAGTACATTCAGTCTATCATAAACAATAGTCACAATGTCACATCCATCTGTTGAGGATCAGCCCCCCCCNCCCCCCCCCCCCCCCCCAAGCCACTGCTCGATATCATCATTCAGGTTTGCCGTGAATATAGGCCATGTCATTCCTTCCATTGTAGATCCCAGAACCATATTGGGAAGGACGTAGTTTATTGTGAAGTCAGAGTAGCCTATGCCCTGCTGGCAATTCATTAACTTGGCCAAAAACTTGGAAGAATACTCATCTGGAGAGTAAGAGCCGGCTGTGATCGAAACAGCAGAGGGCGATGAGTTCTCAGAAGTGTGGGGTTTAGCCCTTGCACGAGAGCCATCTAGAACATAATTAAGGGCTAAAACGGCTTTTCGAGCTTCCCTTGAGTTAGCAGATTGGCGACTCCATATGGCCTGGGATTTTCTTGAGATATCCCTGATCCGGTCCATGTTTATGGTATTTCGCTTCATATGTGGGTGTGCTGCCTCTGTTCCGATGGTGGTTGGGGGAAAACCATTGCGGATCTTTATCAAGCCAACGAGCGTAGTAAAGCGATGGCTTTATTCGGTCTTGGCCCGCTTCTTGGTCTGGTCATTGGCCCAGTAATAGGCGGCTTCGTTACTCAATACCTCGGATGGCGGTGGACATTTTGGTTGATTTTAATCCTGGTAAATGGAAAGCCCTACATCGCTCCCATGTTATCATTGTCTAATATGAACAATATTTAGGCGGGGGTGGTCTCTTTGCTTACCCTTATCCTAATGCAGGAGACTTTCGAACCAGTTCTCCTCGAGCGCAAGGCGGCTGCTATACGCAAATCCACCAGCAACAGTCAACTGCAGGCTCGAACTAACAACAAACGCCGTACGCCAGCCCAGATCTTAACACGCGCCACAGTGCGACCCCTCAAGATGCTACTATTGCCTATCATCCTCCCGCTCTCTCTAAACTGCGCCTTCATGTTCGGTCTTACCTACCTTCTTTTTACTACCTTCCCTGCCGTATTTGAAACAACATACAAATTTGCCACTGACATCTCTGGTCTTACATATCTAGGTCTCGGTGTTGGTATGATTATCAGTATTGGGCTGTTCGCCGTTCTCAGCGACAAGCTACTCAAGCAGCCGCGCGAGGGAACTCTCGAGCGGCCAGAGCTACGTCTAATTCTTATAATCTGGTCAGCGCCTATTATTCCCATCGGCTTCTTCTGGTACGGATGGAGTGCCGACAAAGTCACTCATTGGATTGTTCCAATCCTAGGCACTATGTTCATTGCCCTCGGTGCCTTTCTGATCTTTATACCCGCCTAGTTATATCTTGTTGATGCATTTGGCTCCGAGGCGGCCGCATCTGCCCTAGCTACAAACACCGTTTTGCGCAGTCTATTTGGTGCTTTATTACCACTTGCAGGACCGCCCATGTACAAGTCTCTGGGCCTTGGTTGGGGAAACAGCCTCCTGGCCTTCATAGGCTTAGCGTTCGTACCTCTTCCGTTCCTCTTTTACAGATACGGCGAGACCCTAAGATCCAGATTCCCCATCACCTTCTAAGCACATGACGAGTTTGCAGAGGGATCTGTCATTTCTTTCCTCTTCGTCTTCGTTTTGCATTTTTGATGAAGTAGCTAGCTTCTAGATGGGGAGCTTGTAGTGCGATTGTGCGATTCGGGGAGATGAAGGAAGAGACTGAAAGAGAAACGGAGAACGAGTGCGTGTCGTTTATGCTCATCGGCGCAATAGTTCCATTATATATATCAACCACACTTCTATAAAAGGTAGTGGAATATATAGAATCAGTACCGTTATATATATGCTCCAAGGGTGATCCCATTAGGTCCTGGCGTGACTACTTCCCTCTACTAAGCTACCTACTTTAGGATATATAGAAGACAGCAAGTTAAAGAAATCCTCTCGGATTGTCAGCTAATTGCCACGCTAATAACCTGAAGGTGGCACTGGCCATGTGAGCTTTAATTGTCACAAGCAGCCTATTATGAAGCGTTGCCTACGAGATGTCGAGCGTCATCTGTTGAAAATTCCTCATCATCCTCCTCAATCTTGGCCGGGATTGGTTTGTTCGCCAGGGGAGTTAACCTAAACCCATGTCTACGATCTCCAATGGGGTAGTCAAGAGTCTGCGAGTGATTGGTGACCCGCTGGTCCCATACAAGGACGGTCCCAGCTTCATAGCGGATGCGACAAGAGAAATCCTGTCGTTTGGCAATGTGATCGAAAAGGAACTTGAGGATGCAGTCCGACTCTTCCTGATCGAAGCCGACGATCTTCTTCGTGTAAACTGGGTTGACATCTGAAAAGATAATGTTAAAAAAAGATACAAATACATGAACGTGTCCGAGATAAACTTACAAAGGGCTTTCTGCTTTGTAACAGGGTGAACAAGTACAACGGGGTGTTCAGCCTGAAGCACTCCGCGCCGCATAACGGCTTGTTGACCGTGTTTGAGCTCTTGACTGACGCCGTCATTGTTCGTGTGAATAGCTGTCAAGCCTTCAAGACGCTTGCGAAAGCGAGGCGAGAGACTGCTGTATGCCCTTACGCTAGAACTCACCAGAGTGTCTCCCCCAGCGGTAGTTGGGGACTCGAGCATAGCGATAAAAGTGGTTCCAGGGGGCTGTTGTTCGGGACTCTGATCTGTGTGCCATTGAACTGGGCTACGGCCAGCCCAAGATTGGCGGACTCGGAGATCACTAGGAAATGTGTCACTAATTGACCATGACGATGCGTCGATTGTTATGCTTACTCTTTATGATCGTAGATAATCATGTGCTCTTCAGATCCAGCAGCAGGGTGAGGGGCCCAGCCATGAATATGCAAAGGACCAAAATGGCTGACAAGTTTCTTTTGTGCGTCGAAGCCAATATTCACAAAGTCTTGATCGCGGAATACCAAGGCACCTCTCTGCGCAGCAAGAAGAGCAAGTTCATCCAAACCAGCGCTGTCAAGTTGGGAGAGCTGAACTCCGTGAATCTCAGTTCCCACATGAGGAGATAGTTCCCAGACTTTGGTCGCATTCTTCAGAAGATTGGGCAACTTGGGATCAGCGCGGTGACCGGGATCGAAATGCTCGAAGGCACCGATATCTTCTACCTTCTCAAGAGGGTCGTAGAATGCTGTTGAAATAAAGTTTAGTGTTTACCCCGAGATTTAATCAGAAATTCGTTATTGGATTCAGGCTTACGCATGTAGTCGGGATATAGAGGGGCGCCATTTTCGTTCTTCTCCCGTGTGATGGTGCCGGGAGTAATGACTGTAGTGGTCGACATTTTGTTGTTGACCCAAATAACCACCGTTGGACTTATTTTGATGGTCCAATGTGCAAGGCATATATAACACCTCGGGAGAGTATTGGAACCCAAAAATTCCAATGTCGGCATCTCGCATTGTACAAAGTACCATGCTGATCGAGTTGGCCGCTCGGCCAGCTCGGCAAAGCTCCGATAAACCCCAGACAATCCTTATCAGCGCTATCCTTTCATCGCGGCCAAGAAATGGAGACCAATAGTGTCACATTTAGATAGGCTTATTCCTGTTTGCTATACCTGCATTGAGCATTGATGATCCATGTTAGATAGGACAAACCCCGATTGTGCACAGTGTCAAATCCAACCATCTGCTTTCTACCTACTGGGAGATATCAAGCTCTAGATATGGAAAGATAGACAAGGATGAATGTCAAGATCTCTTTAAGTTCCATCTTCCTCGCGATAGATAATCTCAAAGTCGAAGTAAAAATTAGTTCCTGATATCTCACTATGGAGTCGACTGATTCTTCGCCGCCATTGTCCATGACCGACACGGAGAAGAAAGGCGATGCAGTCACTACTGTGACCGATGAAAGCTCGGTATCAGAGTATGAGCGCTTTCTTCACTTGGAAAATGTGTTCAGCGGCGCCTCAAGGAAGAAGCTTCTTCGCAAATGTATGACTTTTGCAACAATGAACGTTTCGTATCCTAACTTTGAACTCAGTGGATCTACGCCTGCTTCCGACACTTAGCTTTCTATACTTGATGTGTTCGCTGGATAAATCAAATGCAGGAAATGCAAAGGTAAGCACATTCATACTTGAGATCTCATTCAAAAATCTAAACAGTTTCATGCATAGTTATTCGGCCTCCTTGAGGACCTTGGCATGAGTGGTACCCAGTATAATCTGGCTCTGATGTACTTCTTCTTCACCTACGGGCTTTCTGAGCCAGTCTCCAATATCATGCTTCGAAGAGTCGGTCCTAAAATATGGTTCCCATTCATCGTGTGTGCATGGGGGCTTATCACAACTCTCACCTCGCAAGCGAGCTCTTATGCTGGCTTTGTCGTTATCCGTCTGATGCTGGGAATAACTGAGGCTGGACTGTACCCAGGTGCTTACTTCATTCTCTCCATGTGGTATACACCGAAAGAGATCGGCACGCGAATGGCTATTTTCTACGGTGCAAACACAACCGCAGGTGCCTTTGGTGGTGTCATTGCCTACGGAGTCGGATCACTTGATGGAAATCTCGGCTGGAGAGCCTGGAGGTGGCTCTTCCTTATTGAAGGATGCATCACCATTTTTGCTGGACTTGCTTGCCTGTTTTGCTTACCGTAACACCCCCAACAACTCATTAATTCTGTCGGGCAACAGACTAATCGGTCGTTAACAGTGCGTTTCCTCATCAATATCAGGCTGGCAAAGGTACCAAATGGCTTACTGACGAGGAACTTGAATATGCTTCCCTTCGTGTCAAATATGCCAATGGCCCTGTGTCTTCAACTTATACCTTCCGCTGGAGTGATGTGGTTGCAGCGGCAAAGGATCGGAAAACCTATTTTATGTACGTCCTTTTCAAGTCTCCTTGACCGCTCCTAACTAATTCGCCTTCAGGATGATGTTGTTCTGGTGGGGTGGCTCCGTACCTACGTACTCCCTGTCTTATACTCTGCCCACAATGGTTGCAAACTTGGGATACACTGCGGTGAAAGCGCAAGTCATGACCACGCCCCCTTACATTTTTGCCACGTGCGTTTGTGTTGCCGTTGGTTATATTAGTGATCAAACACAGCGACGGTATCTGTGCATCATGGGCGCGTATACCCTGGGTCTGATGTAAGTTACTCTCTACCAAGATGAAGGGCCGCACTAACTGGACCGATTTAGTGGTATCATTATTTTGTGGATAACAGTTCACCACCCTTCCATCCCAGGCGTGAGCTACTTTGCTATTTTCTTAGCTGCAGCTGGATACTCGGCACAAGCTCCTATTGTAAGCTCTATCTGTGAAATCAAGGTTTGGAACGTTGACTGACGATTAATTCAGGTTGGCGCTTGGACAGCTTCCAACATTACGAACCCATCCAAGCGAGCCGCTGCTATTGGTCTTCTGATGCTCCTCGGTAGCGTCGGTGGTGGTAGTATTGGATCTAATATCTATATTTCAAGCGAAGTGAGTTGGTCTAGGAAGTCTGGAATGAAGGAATTAACTGACATCAAGTAGGCGCCTACTTATCCTCTTGGATTTGGCTTCTCAGTTGGTGCAACTGTGCTTGGAGCTATGATCCCTGCTACTATACATTGGTTTTTAATGCGCAAGGAAAATAAGCGACGGGGTGGATTGGACGTTGCCGAGATTGAGAGGAAATACACTACCGAGGAGCTAGGAGAAATGGGCGAGGATAGCCCGTTGTTCCGATTTGTGCTATAATACTGCCCAGATTTTGACCTTAAGGAAGTTCTGGGATCTCCAGGGCCCCTTTCTGGAGAATAACTAAAGCCTATGTGCACTTAGCGGGTACATATACATAGGTTAGTTGCCCCTCAAGTGTTAGTTTTAATCCAAAGAGCCTAGAAGTAAATATACCTTCATGCCTGACTGTTTCCTGTGTGCTGGAATGCCTCCGTCGATACCGTAGCTCGAACCGTGCATTAAGCTCCTTAACCAGCAGCCCCTTTATCTCCGGGATATCGAAGAAAACTATCACTAGGGAAGGAATAAAAGCCCGACAAAAAAAAGCCCTAACTTGCCCTCCCGGGCCCCCAGTAGCCCTTAGTAGTACCATCCATATACGGAAGCACAAACTGAACTGTGAATCCCAGAGCCTGGACGTTAGCTCGTAAGCGTAAATTGTACGTCTCCACCGCCACTACCGGATAGGTAATCCCCGCGCCCAGACTGTAAATGAAGTTAGTAGCCATCATGGCACAGCGCATCAACCAGAAAGCAGTTGACGAGCTAAAGAACCCTCCAATCAAATAGCCATAGAACGGTAATAAAATAAAGCGAAATCACGAGTTGAGTCTAGCCACGGGGAATGAATCAACGCTAATGGAAACTAGGTACCCACATAGATAACAGTGTACAGGGGGGAATGTCACTACATGTACTCCGTATGTATGGAGTATGTCACTATCAATTCGATAAGCTGCGCGGGGAAAGCAGGTCTGCCGCGCCCAAAATCTCGTTCTTATCTTCGCCCTGTCATTATCGGCTTTATTTCAATCTCGCGATTAGATATGATCTTAATTTCAATGTCAAAAAGGGTTTGAAGACAAAGAACAGAATCAATATTCTGCTTGGCCGAAGACTTGTCAATCGATAATTTGCCACACACCCTTGAACATCAGCCACCAAACATGCGGCCACTGCCTACCGGGATTTATACGCCTTTGCCGTGTTTCTTCCACGAGAATGAGGATATTGGTGAGATATATATGCTTTAGTGGAGTTGCAGTATAGCTAATGTGACATCAAGATATCGAGGCTTTGCAAAGCCATGTCAAATGTAAGAACATGGAAACTCATAGAGCTGCGCCAAATATTAACCAGCTTGGAAGTCATTGCGAGTGCGGGAACAATCCCAGTAGTTTCCGGGTCTATGGGTGAGGCTATACATCTGGTGAGAAACTTTGATTCCAAGACAACAAGTCTACAACGCTAATGGAGTATACGATTGCAGAACCGAGAAGAGAAAAAAACCATCATTCGGTCTGCTCGTGTCGCTTTAGATGAGGTCAATCTTCATGATGTTCCAATCGTCGCAGGTGCGGGAGGAGCTAGTACTCGCGAGTCTATTGAACTTTGCAAAGATGCTGCAGAAGCCGGCGCAGATTATGTGATGGTTATCCCACCAGGGTACTATGCCGGAGCTCTTTTGGCAGATACCTCTTCGATAAAGAAGTTTTTTGTGGATATCGCAGAAGCATCGCCGTTGCCAGTGTATGTATCACCCCAGCTCTTAGAACGACAAGTCCCTAACATCTTGCAGTATCATATACAATTTCCCCGCCGTATCAGGTGGAATTGACATGGATAGCGATTTGATTGTCCAGATAATCCAGTCCTCCGCTAATATTTGTGGCGTGAAACTAACGTTCGTTTCTATCCTTCAACTTTCAATCAAATTGGCTAACGTAGCCCTGCAGATGCGCCAATGTCGGCAAATTGACTCGAATCATGGCTCAGGTTTCGAGACCAGAATTCCAAGCGGCTTTCCCCCGATCGTCGGCGACCCCCTTTCGGGCCATCGATGGGTTTATTGACTTCTTGCTGCCATCCATTTCTGTTGGATCAGCGGGTGCGATCAGTGGTCTGCCAAACATAGCACCGGTAAGAGCTTTCAATGACTTGAATGTAATAGGGAATTGGCTGACAAGCGGGTAGAAATCATGCGTGAAACTGTGGAATTTGTGCCAAGACAGCGGGTCTAGCAAACAAGCCACTGAGCTACAGAACTTGATTGCTCTTGCGGATGGTGTGGCACTGAAGATTGGAGTAAGTGAATTCTGAATAAAAATTATAACTTTCTGATGCAAATGCTGAGATGACTGCAGATTGCGGGGATGAAGAAGCTGTTGCATCGACACTTTGGGTACGGCGATAGACCCCGGCTGCCACTGTTGCCGATGGACGACAAAGTGGCGGATGCAGTTCTATCGAGTGAGTATTTGAAAGCATTATTGGATCTGGAGGCGACACTGTGAACGAAATGAGCAGTAACAAAGCCAATTTTGAATTGACAGGCCGAGAATGAGAAGGGTGAAAGTGGGAATTTCCCCCCGCTTGACTTTGTTAGACTCTGATAAGCCGACGTCTGTGCTGGAGATAAGACCCCATTTTACTACTTCTTTTGTTTCCCTTCTTTATTTTCTTAGCTTTTGATGTGATAATGGAATTTTCAACTTCAACTTCTGCTTCTGCTCCGATTCTGAATGGACGTTTGTACAAGTCTAGAAAATGTCGGCCTTGTGACGCTTGTCGCAGACGCAAAGTCGCTTGTGACATGCCCAATGGACCACCATGCCTTCGATGCACCAACAAATATCAAGAATGCACGTTCGAAGAGGGCCCAGGGCCACGGAAGAGGGCTAGATTGTGCGAACAAACTGAAACTTTTGGAACTTGCGAGCAGCCTGATGGGTGGCAGGATCTTTTGACCGAGACCCGACCGAACATTGGGCAAAGTGAAGATCTTGAGGCAGTATCACCGCAGGGGAGCCTTCTGGGTGCTAATCAAGAGCTCGAGTCAACAAGCCCCAGAACAAGTCATTCGTCTCTCAGCCAAGATGATACAGCGAGCCTTCACTCGCGAAGCAGCCTCTCATCCAGCCCTGGAAGATTTCCACCAAGTCAAAAACTAGTAGCAACCAGTGACTCGCCTTCTCAAATCAATTCCCTTGAATTTATTCCAGACGCATTTAGCTTCTATATCGGCCCAACGGGAGTGACTGATATTCATATCTTGAGCCACCAGAAATACAACGATCAAAATGTCTCATTACCAAAGGTGAATGGCTTGAAATATCGAATCATGGACAACCCGGGTCAGAAAGAGATGGCAACTGTTGACTTCTCTCCACCTACCGTTTTTGGTATTACCGATCACTCTCTTCTGGAAAAAGCGGAGCCAAAGCTTGATCCACAACTTACGGAAAATGGATGGCCTCGTCTATGGGCCATGATGGATCCCACTGCAGCGTGGCATCTTATCAAATTATATTCACGTTATATCGATCCTTACTTTCCGATCCTATCCAGTCATCAAATACCATCATCATCAGCTGAGTTGAACAAAATGCCCCTGGCATTATTGACAGCAATCTGCGCAACCGCGCTTCCATTCGTCATGTATGACGATAGTCTCTACACAATGCTTTTAAATCCGCCTTCTAGCGAGGAGTTATACCGGCTTTGCTGGCTTTGTATATCGCAGGAGCTTCACGCTCCTTCTCTCGCGACACTTCAAGCATGTCTGCTTCTTCAACAGCGACTTCCTACGAATATGTATCTCTCCGATACCGCGTTTGCATGGACGCTCATGGCCACCTCCCTGGCTGTTGCACAAACCATTGGGCTTCATCGAGATACAGGATCATGGACGTCTATTCCAGCGTGGGAGAAGAGGCTTCGGCGTCGACTCTGGTGGGGTCTCTATGCCATGGAGAAGTGGGTCGCCCTCGCAAGAGGAATGCCCAGCCACTTAGGTGATGATGATTACGATGTTTCTATGCTCAAGGCAGATGATATACAAGATACCCTATCAGATTCTCCGGATACACAGAGTCATATCTATCATTTGTCAAATTTGTCGACGATACTTTCGGACATTCAAAGGTCCTTTTATTCGGTGAAGGCGATCGGGAAGACATCCAATGACCTCCAATACTCCTTGGACCTGGCACGGCCCATGCGCGTGAGGCTTAAGGACTGGCGGGACAATTTACCCAGCAATCTGAGACCGGTCTCTAATGCAGTCATTTCTGGCGAAGACCTCGATGGGAATGGATCACTTTATCTGTCATACATAGTCACGCACGTGGCGCTTCTACGCGCTTTGCTACGGCCATTAGATCGATGGCCGGCAATAATCAAGGTCAACAAAGAAGAGCCAGAGGCGACCTACGAGGGTGCAAAAGCAGTTGTCACAGGAGCATTGCTATGTGTTAAGGAATTTGTTGAGTTCGTGGAAAGGCTCACTGGAGCTCAGTGGAATGCATTTTGGCATAGTTGTGAGTATGTTGATTTACACCGCAGAACTCTCGATCTAACAAATCTACTAGGGAGTCGACCTAATTTTGCTATCGCTGGTTCCTTCATGGTGCATTTACTACAAATTGTCACGCCACCCAATCAGACTGACAGTCAATCAATGCCCGAACTTTTAAAATACTCCTTTGAGAAAGAACATACTGAACTACAAGACTGGATTCGCAGATGGCGCTGGGCAACGCGCATCTCAGCAAATGGCGCAGCAGGGGTTAAAGGCTTAACAAACCTCGGATTTATCAAGGTGGAGACTCTAATTGGAAATGGGACATAGAAACTGGGAGCTCAGTATAATAAATAATAATCTACACATTCGAAGAATCAGCACAGATTGAGCAGCATCCTCCCTTCATCTTTAGCACATTCTCCATCATCCTCCTCAATCAAACTGGGAATCGGCACATTAGCCAGCGGTGTCAAGCGGAAAGCATGTCTGCGAGAACCAGCTGAATAATCCAAGGTCTGCGAATGCTGCGTCACTCTCTGATCCCAGATAACCACAGTCCCAGGCTCATATCGCACGCGACAGCAGAAATCATGACCGCGATTGATATGATCGAACAGAAACTTCAGCATGTAGTCTGACTCTTCCTCATCCCAGCCAACAATGCTTTGGGTGTAGGAGGAGTTGACAAATAGAGCTTTTCTTTTAGTGACAGGGTGAACAACTACGACTGGGTGAATGGTTCGAGTGATAGGGCGACGCAAGACTGAATCCGGGCCGTTGTCGCGGATCTCACGCATGATTGGGTTTGCTGTGGTGTGAACGGCTTTGAGGCCTTCAAGTCGCTTGCGGAATGAAGGAGAAAGGCGATCAAATGCGCGGGCCATCTTCGAGGAATTTGTTAGCCGACTAAAGCTTGCTTGCCTTTTGAATCGAGACTCACGTTTGAAATGACCGTGTCTCCACCCGCTCCTGGAGGGGACTCGAGCATGCAGAAGAATGTCGCACCAGGAGGCTGAGACTCAGGGGACTATTGAAAAGGGTTTGTGAGTTCTCGATCATTATGGGTCTTAGGCAGTGGTCATTACCTGATCGACGTGGAATTGAATAGGGCTTTTTCTTGCCCAAGATTTGCGAATACGCAAGTCACTGGTGGAAATGATGCGTTAGACACGGCTGTGAGCAGAACAGTAGTTCTTAAAACATAGCACTTACTCCTTGGAGTCATAGACGATGACAAACTCCTCAGGACCATTTTTAGGATGAGGCATCCATCCATGTTTGTGAAGGGGCCCAAAATGACTAAAACATGTTAGAATTTGAAGGCTTCATCAAGTGGGTAAACTCACGAGGCGATCTCCTTCTGCTTCTCAAAGCCCAGATTCGTAAAATCTTGGTCCCTGAACACTAAACATCCGCGTTCTGCGACCATGAGGGCCAATTCGTCTAAGCCCTGGGTTGACAGCTCCGACTAGATTTGGATACATTAGACGAATTCTTTTTAACTTTGATATTGGCAGAATATCTCACAATCTGAACTCCCTGAAGCTCTGTTCCACAATGAGGGCTCAATTCCAGGACATTAGTCGCTTTTTCCAAAAGGTTCGGGAATGATGGATCGGCTCGGTGGCCCGGGTCATCGTGCTCGAATGGCCCGACCATCTCGACCTTTTCGAGGGGGTCATAGAAGGCTATATCTCATATGAGTTCATGAACCTTTGATTCTTTTTGGAAACGAGACTCACGTAGGTAATCTGGGTAGAGTGGCCCATTGGCTTCGACTGTCTCTGACACCATTTTTGACGGGACAATGCAATAGAAAGCTTAGTGAAATTTGAATTGTACAACTTTGAATTCTGAAAGGTGCATTGGACCCTATGATTATAAAATACCTACTCCGTACCATAGCTCTAAATCTATGTCATTCCAAGCTGTTAGATGGTCTCATACGTTATCGCGAGGAATGAAATCGGTTGCCCGCGCGGCCAACTCAAAAACAGCCCCACGTGGAGCCCCACTGGTTATCGATGGCCGTTGATAAGAAGATCTGGCCGAGATGGTGGGATCTCATATCGAAGAAGAAGCTACCGATAACCAAAAGTTAAAGCATAAGATGAATATAACATATATTGAAAGTCCATGAGTAACTCTAGGATCTTCACTGGATGAATTACAGCCGATCATCTCCATCTGAGTGAAACATTGCGAACTTTGAATATGGCTGCTGATCAAGTCACCATCAGTGACGAGCCTAAGGGCGGAGGTGTTACAGCCGATGCAGCTGTGAAAGCCATCAAGGCTGGACGAAACAAAGATGTTGATATTGCCGCACAGATCGTTAGCGACTATGCTGATCAAATGGATGGTGACACCTGGTCGGTTGAGGAAGAACGAAAGTTGATCCGCCGAATTGATTGGAGACTTATCCCCACTGTGCGAAGCTCTTGTTCCATTCCAAATATGATTCAATACTAACTAATATGGAATAGCTATTCGTTTGCGCTACTCTCTCAGGCCTTGATAAAACGGCCATCTCGGCGGCTGCAGTTTACAACATCAAGACGGATCTGAATCTTACTGGAGCTGAGTATTCATGGATTGGATCAGCGCCATTCTTCGGTGGATTGTTATTCATGGGTCCTTTGGCCTATTGCCTGCAGAGGTAAGACACCTATCGTGCTTTTGTTCCCCCAAGGCCAACTTGTGTCTAACTCACTTAGGGTCCCTGCCGTGCCATTCTTCGCTTTCAATGTTCTCTGCTGGGGTATTTTGGAGATGTGTATGGCAGCATGCACCAGCTTTGGCGGCCTTTTTGCATGCAGGTTTCTTCTGGGTGGTTGTGAATCACTGTTGATCCCAGCCGTCACAATGGTTGTGTCAATGTGGTATCGACCCGAGGAACAACCAAAGAGAAACAGGTACCAGATGACTCATTCCTGACCAGTAACATGATATACTGACGTGATGATTTAGTATTATTCTCAATGTGGTTGCACCCATTATTAATGGTTTCGTCGCTTGGGTAGTCGGGTATTACAAAGGCCCATACGAAAGATGGAAGATTATCTTCCTTCTCGTAGGAGCTCTCACTATCGTCACATCTGTCGTGGTGTATTTCGTACTGTACGAAGCAGATTTCATCGGAGATAGAACAAAATGACTGACAAGATCGAATAGGCCAAACAACCCGCTGGAAGCCAAATTCCTGACCCCCCGGGAAAAGTACATTGTCATTCAACGCAAAGCCGCCGATAACACCGGTATCGAGTCTAAGACTTTCAAAATGGAGCAAGTCTGGGAAGCTATCTTCGATATCAAGACATGGTTGATTTGGATTGCCATTGCTGCTTTGCAGGTACCAAATGGCGGGTTGACAACTTTCAACACGCTCATCATTTCCGGGCTTGGCTTCGATTCCCTTCAGACATCGTTACTCGCTATGCCTCCCGGTGCTATGAGTACATTGTCTGGAATCGGTCTCTCTTATCTGGCTGCCACTACAAGACGATATCGTACTGCAATCGTGACAGTCTCCATCCTCCTACCTCTGTTTGGAGCTGTGCTTTGTTATGCGTTACCGCGAACAAACCTTGCCGGTCAGCTCGTTGGGCTATAGTAAGTTTCCTCGTCCCATAAATATCGCTTATTTATACTAACGTCAATTCTTCACAGCATTTTATAGTAAGTCAACATAGTCTCCAGAATGCTTTGCTTTTGCTAATTTGGTCTAGTACATACTGGGCCCCTTACGTCACCTTGGTTTCGGTATACCAGGCTAACGTTGCAGGTCATACAAAGAAGTAAGATACCGCCTACAAAGCATGAGTCCCATTCTGACATTATTTTAGAATCACACTCTACGCCTGGTTTTACATTGCCTGGGCCACCGGAAACATCATCGGACCTCAAACATTCCGAGCAGATCAAGCCCCCGAATATACTGGCGGCACTGTGGCAATGATTATATGCTACGTCGTTGCGATGTTTGCCATTACAGCATATGGTGTGGTTTGCCATTTGAGCAATAAGAAGCGTGCAGAAGCCATCGAAGCTCGCACGGCTGCTGACCATGATTGGTTGGATATGACGGATAAGGAGAATGTGGGATTCAAGTACACTACCTGATCCTTTTGATTAGTTAAAATGAATACTACCTTGGAAAGTCTATGGACTGCTAAATGGTGGATTTCACGCACAAAAAGTGCGCATTAAGACTAGGTCAGATTGTCCAGTGAAATTGATGTTCGAGTTATACATATTATTAATCGTACCATACGTTTGTTGTAAACCTACAACATAGATTTCTGTCATGTTTTATGATATGATCAGTCAAATTTCGACGATTATAGGGACTCCAACGCTCGATAAGCTCTACAAACTCCCACTGCGGAATGCATTGACCAAGTGTACCACACCGGCGTGGACCTACCAGCCTTAGCAGCAGTATTAGGCATGCATCTATAAACTTCAAGCGCAACTCTATAGTCGAAAGCTGCTTTAATGGCAATTTTAGTCTGTGCCACCTTTTGTCCAAACTTTCCTGTAGGGGTAAATATATTCAAACATCCGAGTTGATAAAAACAGATACACAGAAAAGGCACACTGTATGTAGCAGGCGAAGGAAGATGGAAAACACCGTAATCATGCACAGTTCTTATGTGCCGATCAGTTGGCATGTCAGACGGGATGGCAGAAAATTCATGCTCCTCGGAAACCATGTGCTGCACCTCGCTCTCTCTCTCTTTCGCGCTTTCGTTCCTCGCGGATCTTTTTTTTAATGTCTGCTATATTCCGAGATACACTATTCGCACCTTGTGATGAACTGCAAGAGACAATCGAAGGCTTGGAATGTATGCCACTGATGCTAGCCCACTACAATCGAATCTGCACATTCACAACGCCCATAATCGTTTTGCCAAAAACGTATATCATCGCCCAATATCACTATATTAATATGACAGACCGTCGAATCAGGAGCACGGATGCCTTCAAGAAGCGGTGTAAATATTGTTAGGTGGGGGTTTACCATAGTGAATACCAATAAGAGTACTCCGTACCATGCGCTTGGATACCTGCAGAGCGCATGAAATAACATTTACCTCGAAAATTGTCGACATGATCAGCACCAAATCTGGTGCTGCGGAAACATGTATGATTTCACCCGCATTTGTATGCCCCCTTGCGTACGGGCAGGATTGAGAGTAGTCACCCCCTGGTCGAAAGCTAAGGGCCTATCCTGTGTGTGGACAGTAAGCGAACTGAAAGTCCCTATATCTGCGGCACCACCCATTAATTGATATATTTGATAGCATACACTTCGCCGATCGTACATTTTTATCTGTTCGCCGTGGAAAATGGAACGTTCCTTGTCATTTGAGCCATACCTTCTAACCCCTTTGGATCACATCATAAAGGACTTCTATGTATCCAGCTTCATATCCTTTCCACTGCATGACCCAACCACCGCTGTCAGTGCACTGAAGGATGGCGTGGAGAGGCTGACACGTGCCCTCCCATTCCTATCAGGTGCGAGGGTTCCATCCTCCAAATTGCCTGGCAAGCGCAACGTGATGGAGATACATCCTTCTCCAGAATCACTAGAATGGATCCCGATGCTGCAAATCAAACACTACCGGGATACCACCCTCGTGGCAACGTGTTCTCCTGGGCCGACAGGGTGTTCCGACCTTGATGACTCTTGGTGTGCTTTACCGATCATTATCCCAGCAGACCGACCAAGCCCTGTTGCTCGATTTCGGGCAAGCGTATTCCCAGATGGCATCTTGCTATGCATGACGCTCAACCACGCTGTTTTCGATGGAAGTGGCCTTGGAACCGTTCTGAAGATGTTAGCAACATGCTGCTGTGCCAATTCAGCCATGGATCACCCAGTTTCTCTGCCCACTACCTATGCAAAGGAAGCATCCTCAAGACAGATCATTCTTGAAAGTGCAGCTCCATCCTCTGGATCTGATTCAGAGGCCTATGACAGGATATTCAAATCCAATGATATTATTCCTGGCCTTGACAAGGGCATCACCAGTCGACGATTTTCGTTCCCAGCTTCCAAGATCCGAGCTTTGAAGGATGCGTGCAATGCTGCCAAGCCCACCGACCAAGACCCAGCCATTTCCAGGAATGACGTCCTGACAGCATTACTTACCATCTGTATGACCCGAGCTCGGCAAACCGAGCAGACCAAAAACCTCACCACCCAACTTGCGGTGCCCGTGAATCTGCGCAGAAAATTCCATCCTTCTCTTCCGGACAGCTATCTTGGAAATACCATCATCCCACTGGTCGTCGATATCGATCCTCCAACGGTTCCCTCTTCAAGATGCGGAACAAGTCCCATGCATGCACATCTGAATGAACTCACCAATTTGTCTCTTCGGATCCGAAAAGAATTGAAGCTTCTCGATGAAAAAGATTATACCGGAGGACTGGTCTCTTACCTTCGAGAGCAATCTGACTGGGGGGCAACTAGTATGAAATTTACAGATATAACAGTGAGCAGCTTAAGACACCTAGACATCAACGGTCTTGATTTTGGCCCGGAGATAGGCCGAGCCAACAGTTTTGATGTGCAGTCAGGAATGTACCCTGGTATCTGCGATATCATGCCAACCTGCGGCAGGGACAGGGTAGAGGACATTAATGATGTTCCTTGGGATGTGTGTGTTACGCTAGAGGACTCCGCGTGGAGCGCTTTCATGGAAGATGACTTGGTGTTATGGGCCTTGGAGAAGATATAGAACCCCATGTGTGAAAATTCAGGTGGCAACCTACAGCTGTGCGTGGAAGTAGCCAATTTTCAGATACAAAAGAAAACCTCATCATAGTCATTGATGATAAAGGGACCAAACGTGACATTGAAAGCTACATAGTTCTATCCCACGAGAGTGCTGCAATCAGGTCTGAGTGCAACAATGTAATTAACTCCAATTGAGCTCAAATGTTCACATGTTATAATGGATAATCTAAAATACCCCCAATTGGCTTCGGAGTACTCTGTACAGGTGTCTATTTATCGAGTGAATACGGTATTAACCCACTGGACGAAACTGCAGATCGGGGCCATTTCACAAATGCCTCACGGCATCGCTCTTGTCATTCCTACAAATTGATCATCCCAGCTTCGCAGATCGTAAAGCTCTATCTGCAGGAGGAAGCTAGCGATTTTATAGGAGGGTCATGGAGCGAGCTGTCGAACTCTATTTCGATTAGTACGGCGAAGTATGAGATGCATCACTGTAGGATGTGGAGCTAAGGAACTGCAAAATTGGATAAAATAAACAGTAAAGTGAAGAACACCGAGACTAACTCGATGGAAGAGAGACAATCTGGGGGTTTCAATCTCCATTTAGCAGTGCGCGCCGAAAAAGAATCCGGCAAGCTGATGCATCGGGTTGATCCAATGGTGGTTATTGATGGCTTATTTCCTTCCTTAGAAGACTTCCCATCTGGCCAGATGACCCCTCCTGCATATTGATGTGCATACCGAATGTTTTCTTCAGGCGCTAAGTCAGCTCCTCATTGATTATTTCTGCTGACCGCAACTTGACGTGTGTCATGGAGGGCGGCCGAGGCAAGAAAACGCAAGGGGATGGGCGTCCCGCAGGGCATGCGAGCGAGGGTGGTATGTTGTACAAGAAGGATACAGAGAAGTAAAAAAGCAAAGACTGCCAGCTACTTCTACTTCCCTCTGCCTCAAGGGGATAAGCCCAAACCTGCATGTGAGAATCTCATAGAACTCCAAAATGACAGTCGATACAGCACCTCAAAGTCATTATCAAGAGACAAAGGTCTCGGAGATCCCAATTGTGATACTAAAATCATCCGCCACCGACGATGTCGCCGCCCACGAGGCCATAGAGGCTTTAAAAGTGGCGGGGGTGTGCATTGTGCGAAATCTGCTCGACCGGAGTACCGTCGATAAGGTTCGCCAGGAACTCCAGCCATACGATAAGCAAGCGGATTCATTCGAGGGTAAGTGTTAGTAGCCACGGCTGTGTGGCCTCGAGCTAATGGCTGTAGGCTTTCCCAAGAACTACTGCCAAGTGGCCGGCTTGCTCAGCAAGTCGCCGACCTATGCCCACTCTATTGTTGGAAATAAGCTTTTCACCGCGGTTCGCAACTACTTCCTGACTTCTACGTACGAATGCTGGGTAAGGGGCCCATGGCATTTATCTGATTTATCACCATCCACCCGAGCTAACTGTGTATCAATAGGCTGAGAAAGGCACCTGGATGAGCGTAAAAAGTCCCCCTCAGTTGGACTCAACCCTAGCCCTCTATGTGAATCCCGGATCTGGCGACCAAGGTCTCCACCGGGACGATGCCACGCAGCAGAACTGGAACAGCGGCGCCAGCGAATACAGTCTCGGTCGCGACAGCGGCTGTGCGATGATGGTCGCGCTGACCGAGTGCGCCCGCGAAGACGGCACCACACGCTTCATCCCGGGCAGTCACCTCTGGGACTACCAGTACGATCACCCGAGCAATGACGACCCGCGCATCCGGTATGCGGAGATGCGCCCAGGGGACGCCTACCTGATGCTGAGCAGTGTTATACACGCCGGCAGCGTCAACTACTCGACCGACCGTCGGCGCGTCCTCGCGGCCGTGTTTGCGGCGCGAAGTCATCTTCGCCAGGTGGAGAATCAGTACCTAACATATGATATTGAGACAGTGCGGACATTCCCGACATGGCTGCAACGCTTTATGGGGTATAGCCTTTCAAAGCTGTTTCAGGGTTGGGTCGACAAGAAGGACCCCCTGCTAGTGGTAGACCCGAATGCGCAACCGGAGGGCGAGGACGATGGTGGTATGAAGCCAAATGAAGGAGAGCATGTAGTTGAAGCGCAGATATAACATACATCTGTAGCAGGGTATCTATATTCATCTTGGATCCGATACTTATGAGCCACAAAGCACTTCCCACCAGGCAGTTCAAGGATGATCGAGAAGAATGAAACTAGAGAAAGCCGCTGTTCTCCAGAGTAGTTTATGTCGAAAGCTTTGTTACAATACATGGTTACAATACATGACTGGGAACCGGGTATTTAACACCTCGGAAAATACACGGACCGCTGTGACAGTGCATATTAAGCTTAGTCATTATTATCCGCACAAATTGTCAAATGGTGGAAATCCGTCATTTTAGTTAGAGTCATACACATCTGTCATTTTTACCATACATTGCTGTACACCTTGATTTCCGTCAATTTATCTACATTGGTAGCATGGAAATCGATAGAACGATATGTTCAATAGGGCGAACTCTGTATCCCTCGGACTATCTCCTCCAATTTCCCCGTACAGTGCCATGCCGATGTTAATGAGGAAGATGGCAGCCCCCGCACAACTCGGTGGTCAGACTCCCCATGGTTGGAAAAGTAAAACTTGGTCAGAGAGACTAGATCGTGAACCCTGATCTCATAATTCCAGATCATCGGCGTCGGCGTGGAATGGCGCCGTCGTCAGAGACCCTCCGTAAACGCACAATGACGATCGGCGATGCTGATGCACGTCCACAGGTCGCGAAGGTATTCGAGCCCTTTCTGGACTGTGGGCGAGCGGGCCTGAGGTTCCAGCGTGCAGATTTCGTCGATCTTAGACTACACGACGCTCATATGTGAGCTGTACAGCTTGAGGCAAGGGCCCCAAGGTACTTTTATTGGTATGTACAACAGTACAACGCACTTCCACCTGAAAGATTTCAGACCGCTCCTTCTAGAGATCTATAACCCTGGTTTGACCGCATACCATACTAGCACAACATACAGTAATACTCGGCTTGGGCGCTGAACCTCGCGATTTCTAGGGCCTTCGCTGCAACAGTGTAGGGCTGGAATGGAATAAGGAGTTTGTGTAATCCAATGCGAAAACATTTACGTCATTATCGGATGCCATACTCACGTAGGAAAATCAAGCCGCTATTTGGTTACTCCTGTTGCATTACGAACTGAAGATCTCTACAACATAGTTGTCTTTGCTGCGGGATATATATTAGGCCCCAACATCTGTTAGGGCCCGAACAGATTTAGTCATTTTTGTTCGTATACCACAAATCCCTTCCACAGACGGACCCTTTAGTTTGAAATATTCAAACCTGTATATCTTACTGCAATCATTTTCGAAAATTTGATTTAAATTCTCTCACCAACAATTTGGGCTATGTAGCACCACAATACGTATTGCGCCAGCCACAATCAGGCTTAGAGTGTTCTGCCGGACTCTCTTTAGGAAAGCCGGTGGGTGCTTGGGGGGACGAAGGAAAGGCTTCCTTGGAGCCGCCAGTGAGTAACAGAGAGTGTGCCCGAAAGCAAGTATTGAATATCGCAGTGACAGGACGGAACAAGTTTTGTTTGATCTCGACTAAAAGGCACACCGATTTCTGTATGAGATCTATAACGACAGATCCTGCACATATATTTATGAAACAGTGACATATCTATGAAACAGTGACAAAAGCACTCTGTGCAGCAATCTTCTCCGACAGGACCCTAAGAGGCTGCATTCCTAGGAAATCAAACGAGGATAGCTGCGCTCCCATCTTACGCGACACCCAATTTTGCACTTCAGTGACCTTGAGCGAATCCACTACTAACGTCAGCATCTCACTTACAAGGCTCACAGGGATTTGGATTTGTTGACTCACCACCTAGAGACGACAAGGGTAAGTCTGAATCTATCGTATCCGCTGTCGTGGCCATCGCACTGGCCAGGTACTCTCTCAACGCCTGGTTAACGACATAGGAAGCGTCTTCAATGGTAGGTGAACTCTTGAGCAGTTCGCTAATCTGAGCGGGCATATTATCGGGCTCAGAATGACCAAGGCGAACTCGATGATCGAGTTTGCGATCATATTGCCACGAAGATGCACCCTCACGAGGAAGATCATCCGTGATTCCAGCAATGATCTGGACTGGGACGGGTATGTCTCCGAGGATAATGACCCGTAGCAGCATCTGCAGCTCGCGAAGGGTGATTTCTGTTCCTTCTAGATGGCTGTAGCGGGAGCGACGGACTTCGGCGGTCTCCGCCATATCACTCATTCCGCTGGCGTCGGGAACGAGTCCAATATCTATACTATGCCCTGGTAGGCCATGGGCACGTCGCCAGATCATCAGCTCATCCATGAAGACATTGCCGGCAGCATAGTTGGCTTGACCTATGTTGCCAATCAAGCCAGAGACAGATGATAAAGTGATAAAGAAATCCAAGTCTACGTCGACGAAAACCTTATGCAGATTCAGTGTGCCGAGAATTTTCGGATTCGTGGAGGAGGCCCAGTCTTCGAAGGTCATTGTGTGAAACGCAGCATCCTAATAAACATTAATTCATATTGTCAACCGAATAGGAGATGAAAGAAAGTGAGGGCAACAACGGGACTACACACCTTGAGAACTGTCGCACATTGTATGATGCCCTTTAACTGCCAGTTCTGAGAGCGAACTTGTGACAGAACTTGTTGAAGGTCCGCTTCCTGGGAAATGTCACAGCGGATGATCTCAACGTGACAGCCCTGATCGGCAAGACTGGCAACTGCTATTCTCTGCGAAGGTTGAAGTACACCAGAGCGGGAAAGGATCACGAGGTGTCGTGCACCACTGTCGACAAGCGTCTTTGCAAAACCTAAGCCGATCATGCCCAGACCACCCGCCAAAAGGTAGGTTTGCTGCGGAGGCAAATTGACTGGCTCTTGCAAAGCGGGCACCACGGGAACCTGACCGGGGTCGGTAAAGTCAATGGCCACGGAGATTCCTGTCTGCCGGGCCAAAGATTCTGCCTCAGCCCATTTGGAAATTGGGAAGATGCTAGTAGGCTGGATCTGGTGATGCAGTCCGATAGTAGCGACTGCGCGACGGAACGATGAGTAGACCTTCTCACTCTGGTTTTGCAGCATAGAGTTCAGGTTTACGGAGGTGAACGTGCAGCCTTGAGAAACGACCGCTTTTGGCAGGGCTGCCAGATTCATCTCGCCGGTAAGATCAACATAGTGACCTCCGGATCCTAGGCAGCGCGCGGCAAGTCGACCACTCGAGCCACCTAAGCAGGAGAGAACTGCAGTCACCCCCTTTCCCTCCGTCAAATCAGCGATACGACCATCAAGCCCACCATGAATGCTAAGAACATATTCTGGGGCGATGGCATACTGTGCCACCAGTTCCTCAACAACGGCACGCTCCTCGGTGGCCACATACACCTGCATCCCCCGGATCTCCAGAGCGCAGCTAAGAAGAGCCCTTAATATGGGACCCACAGGCCCGACAAGAAGGACTCTGCAGTTAGGACCAAGTCGAGCGATGTCGAACAGACTCGTGTAGGCCAGAATGTAAGCCAGAGGAACGGTCACTGCCTGCGCTAATGTCAATTGCGCGGGCAGTTTTGCAACAGCTTTGGATGATACTTGAATGCGGTTCGACATCCCGTCCACTGTCCCTGCTCCAGGCACCAGTAGTACGACGATATCGCCGACAGAGAGATCGGTAGATCCTGCGAAGCCAAGTTTCCTGATAACGCCAACGGCTTCGACAACCGACAGCCGCGATTCGTGGGCATTGAAATTTCTACTACCGCGTGCCACAACACTCCGAAGGCTTAGCTGCACCTCCACATGGTCGTCTGGTACGTCAGACACCAGCTGACGATCCTCTACCCATTGGCCACCATGACCGTCTGGGGAGCCCGCATGGAAGCGTAGTGCGCGAGGGTCGTCAGCAAGGCGTGCCAGAATTGGCCGTGGACCATGTAGCAAAGTTTGCATCTTGTCGTCTACAACAGCTTCAGAGACAACTCGTGGCACTAGCAAACGACCATGCTGCAACCGGTACTCCATGTCATGATTTCTATGGGGTACAGGAACAAGTGTGAGTTGGATAACTTGGAGGATACCCTGTGCCAGTGAAGTCTCACTGTTTGGGTCATCTGGGTCGTACTGGACTTGTGGCAAGGTCACACCGGGCTGCTCGTTGCGCAAGGTGCGGAGAAGCCCCGTGGAGGCACCAAAAGATGCTGCAGAGGCATCCTTGGACAGAATGGGGATTGGTGAGACCCACAAAATGTATCTGGCTTCTAAGAGCATCTTGAACTGTGCCATGGCGACGGAAGTCCACTTAGATGTCCATGGATGGCGGAACTCGAGCAAAGAAATGACCATCTTGCCGGCGAGGCCATTGATGTCCTCCACATCAACAGGACATAGTTTTACGCCCACAGCGGAGAGAGCGCGCTCCAACGCGACTCTGAATGTGGGTGGTATTTGTTCAGTATCCGGCATGAGCACAAAAATGGTAGAGTCAAGTGGTGCAGGAATCCTCTGCCTATGGGCGAGTAAAAAGTCTCCATCCCGAATCCGGCCACTTACTTTCCATTCGGATGATCGCTGAATATAGTCCATGGGATCGAGCTGACTGTCATACGTGCGAACGGCGAGCACCCCATCTTGCTTGGTGGTAGAGCTGAGCGACGTAAGAAGAACATCCGCATCCGCTGCATTTCCGATGCATGGTTGGTCCACGAGAACCACATCAAAGAAAGATTCATTAAAGGTGGATGGGCTGAAGTCCTGCAGTGCAGCTATCTGCTTCACCTGAGCACCCGGCATCAAGCGTGTGACTGCAGTTGCAAATTCATCTGCTGCCTTGTCAAGTCCTACGATGACGATGGTAAGCCCCTGCAAGCATGGTCGTGACCCAAGTTGCGGCCTAACAGTCTGGATACTCGTCATTGCCGGGCTTTTCCAGCTGGGTTGGGTGACGACAAGAGCGCAAGCGTTCCCATAAGTGTAGCAGATATCCCGTACCCAGTCTGTCAGCTGGCCGTCCCGATCATGCCCCGCCAGTGCGGGAGAGGTCGGCGACTCCAGATGTTGTGCCCAGACAATAGAGGAAAACCGACTTGTACCACTGTCAACACCCGCTGTGGTAGAGGTAGAAGGGACCTTGCTCATGGGTACAGGGCCAAGGCGGACCCCCTTGAGCACGACACGTGGCTGCGACCAGGATACATCAGAGGCTATGGAGTCCAATCGCGAATCACCGTCGTTCAAACAAGTTTCTGTGTGCACGGAGAAATAGTCCCCTTGCTGGAGGTCCCAGGTAGTAGATAGATAAAGCCTATCAACTCCAACCGGGATCTTAGCATTTTGATTGCCAAGAGCATCCGAACAGGACAGGACGGCAGCCTGGAAGAGGGTATCGAGCGAGGTTGGATGGATAAAGCATGGCGATGCGTACTCGGAGGGCATCATAGTCCGGGTATCCGTCACCTCTCCTTCGATCCAAAGCCGGTTCTCCTCCGTGCAGAAGGCAGCGCGAGAAACAGACTGGAAAGCAGGCCCCATGGTGACGCCACCGGTTTGGGATAACCATTCGTAGACGGCATCGCGGTTAGTCTCGCATTCAGCGGTTTGTATTTTTCGGAACCTCTCAACACTAAGACCCCATTCCTCCACATTCAAAGGAACCCCACGGGCATCATAATGTAGGGTAAAAGTTCCGGTCGCGTGTCGCACCCAAGGTCCGTCCTCAGGGAGCGAGAAGAGGGTAAATTCATACCATTCTGCTAATTCGTGATACGGAGCCACATGAAGGACTGTTTCAACGCCACGATCGTCATCTGGAATGACAAGGCCTTGCAGGAATGCAAGATCATTAAATTCAATGCCCTCTAAGCGCAGCGACGTGTTTGCCAAGATACGGCCAGCTTCGGCCACCATTACAATCATACCAGCAGCAGGAAACAGGATGGAGTCGGCGACAACATGATCCGCCAGCCAGGGTATATCTGACACCCGCAAGAAGTTGCGCCAGCGTGGCTCTGTGTCGTTTTGGAAATCCATCGGGCTCCCCAATAAATCATGATGGGGCTCCCTGCGCTTGCGAAGGCGGGCTGATGCCACTGGTTCATGCCAGAAAGAACCCTGGTGATTCCATGGATACGACGGTAAGTTGTGCATAAGCTGTGGTACTGCGGTGTTGATGCTAGAATTGACTGCCTCTATGTCGATTGGTATACCGATACACCATAGAAGCCCGGCAACATTGAGAGTTGTTTGGAGCGCGTCTGCGTGTCGTCGCACCAAGGCATGATAAGGCACTGTACTCAACCCCGCGTTTATAGACTTCAATACCTGAAGAAATGGCCCCTTCAATGCTTCGTGTGGGCCTATTTCAAGGAATGCACTCCATTTCACGGCTACCGCACGGTGGCGATATTGACTAGCTTCAGTCATGTTCGCTAGACTAGTGACGGCAGACAGAAATTCCACTGGACTGACCAAGTTGCGCACCCAGTAATCCGCCGTCATGTCCGTCGCGTAAACACGTTCCTTGGTGACAGATGAGAACATAGCTATAGAGCTCTCTCCACATTTTGCGGGTTGAATATCTTGCAAATCATGTCTGTAACCTTCAGCCACCATATTCATATGCGGCGAGTGATACGCTGTCTCCACTCGCAGCTTGCGTGCAAAAAGGCCATCGGCTTGCAGCTGCTTTTCCAGCTGATCAATGCGGTCTGCATCCCCTGATAGCGTCACACTCTTGGGACCATTCACACATGCCACCACTACGGACCGTGGAGGAACGCCTTGAAGATACGTCTGAGCATCAGGAAGAGACAGATTGGCAGCCAGCATAGCCCCGGCTCGCCCATGGCAGGCAACTTGGAGAGAACATAGACCACGGAAATATGCAATGCGAATCGCATCTTCTTGCGTGATAAAACCTGCTGCATATGCTGCGCCTGTTCTGGACGTTAGCATTATATCCTTAAGAAACGCAGCCTAGAAGCGTAGAAAAAACATTATCATACCGATTTCTCCACTAGAATGGCCTACAGTGGCCTTTGGGTGTACTCCCCAACTTGCCAGAAGATTGACCAAGGCTATTTGAAGCGCACAGCAGATAGACTGGCTCCGATCCGGCTGGTTCATGCGGGAGGTAGCGGCCTCTACCTGTATCTCCTCGAATAGGTTCCAGGGGCAGCCGAGACTTGAAAGAATCTGCTCACTGCGGGTTATGCTTTCTCTAAAACTAGTGACCTGCAACAGCTCCACACCCATTTGTGCCCACTGCGCTCCTTGCCCGGTGAAGACAAAGGCTAGGTTGGCGTGGGCGGTTCCGTTCGCTCGGAGGAAGTGCGGCAGGCCTTGCTGTAGCGCATCACGCAGCTGTCCCAGCGAGCCAGCCACTGCGAAACTACGAAACGAAAGCTGTGAACGTCTCGCATACATGGTATATGCAATGTCTCGAAATGAAATATTCTGCTCGGCGTCGATCTGGGCCTGCAGAAAGGGCCCCCATTTCGCGGCCACTCGGTCGATACCAGTCTTGTCGTGTGTGGAGAAGACCACAATTTGCGGCTCGCCTTTGTCCAATCCACTTAAGAGTGCGGCTGGACGCTCCAAGTATGTCGAAGCACTTTCCACAATTGCGTGAGCGTTGGAGCCGCCGAAGCCAAACGAGTTGATGCTAGCGCGCCGGGGAAGATGTGACGGCCAGCGGATGGTTTTATCACTGAGTCGTAAAAGCCACTTGTCTAAGTGGATGTTTGAGTTCAATTTGGAGAACCCGGCATTGGGGACTAGCATGTCGTTTTCTAGGCAGAGCACTACCTTGATCAAACTTGCCACACCCGCCGCACCCTCAGTGTGGCCAATATTACCCTTTACCGAACCGACGTAGAGACGGTCGTTTGTACTGGTTTCTGCACCCATTAGGCATTCACCAATTGCTGATAGCTCTGTCGGATCCTAGGCCAATAAGCATATCAGTATATCAAAGAACATTCATGGAATCTGGCCTATCACGATCTGAAGGGTTACGTACGCCAACCTTAGTGCCTGTCCCATGAGCTTCGAAAAATGCTGTCTCTTGTAAAGATGGCAACCCCGGGCCATAAAGCGCCCTGATCAAGCCAGCCTGTGCTTGGCGGCTTGGCATAGTGATTCCTGGGGTACGCCCATCTTGATTAATTCCAGTGGCGCGGATGATGGCACGGATAGCATCATTGTCCGCGAGTGCAGTGCGCAATGGCTTCAATAGTACTGCAGCAAATCCTTCGCCTCTGCCGTAGCCGTTTGCACTCGCATCGAAAGAGTGACTTATCCCATCTGGGCTCAACATGTGCATAGAGGAAAGTCGTTGTGTGAAGTTGGGATGTAGAATCAAACTAGCGCCACTAACGAGCGCCTTTGGGGTGTTAGTCATTAATTGATCTACGATAAGGGAAGTAGGAAGGCTCACCATCTCACACTCCCCATCGCGTAGTGATTTGGATGCCAAGTGTAGGGCCGTCAAGCTGGAGGAACATGCCGTGTCGAGCATTATACTAGGACCCCGAAGATCGAAGAACCACGACAGGCGATTAGCCAGCATAGCTCTCGCATTCCCAGTGGCTGCATTATGTGGCATATTGTAAAGGTCTCCAGTCGAGAGCAGCTCGTAGTCATTTGTCATACACCCGGTAAATACTCCGGTGCGGCTACCAGGCAAGGACTCCATCGGCACTCCACCTGTGGTGATACTATATGAGATGTGTTTGTACTTATGGAAAGGGGACTTGTAAACGCGTACTGTTCTCGAAGGTCTCATAGGCTACTTCCAACAGAAGTCGCTGTGTGGGATCCATGCCGGCTGCCTCTTTGGCGGTGATAGAAAAGAATGGGGCGTCGAAACGAGAGGGATCCTCCTCCAGGAAGAACCCGCTGTCGTGATTAATCTGAGTAATTTTATGGTCAGTTCTAGGCTGTTAGACTCGCCTGGGTTTGGAGCATACTCCGCCTTTACGGTCTTGGTTGGGATGGTACCAGGCCGATGCTTCATATCGACTGGACGGCACACGACCATGACCTGTCCGCCCATTTCGCAGCATATCCCAGAAGCCATCCACGGATGAGGCTTCACCAGAAAGCCGGCAGCTCATTCCAATAATTGCAATGGGTTCCGGGGGCGTGGAGGCCATCTCTGGCTGGGTTTCAGTAGACATGGCTGGTAGAACCCCCCGAGATAACTTTCTTTGTAACCTTTGATTTAGAAGAAATGAGTAGAGCCGAATATATTCTGTCCCTAGGATTTGAATTCAGAGCGCGGAGTAATCCTGCTCGGCATGAATAACTTTTTACAAAGCTGACACTTGTTCTGCGTTCCTTCACCTGCAAGGGCTCTCTATTTAGTTTGAGCTTGATCAACTGATCTGCAATGCTACCCAATACTGACATTCTCCGTGCTGCTTGTATACATATGGTTCCTCCTGCATATCCCATTCGGAGTACTCCGTAGTAATTTGCTACATCGCTAATGGGCGCATCTAGATGCTTTCATGCCGATATGCTTTGTCTAGATCTCTTTTTGTTTCTTTGTCGGACCTGAGGGATATACTCCCGCCTATTAGAGGGCAATACAGGATTCTTCTTTCTCCTTCTGATCGCCCTTTACAAAGTAGTCTCCATTCCCGGTAGTGAAGCGTGCCCCAGGAGAATAAGCGGAGACCACTCGAGAAACGGGAGAAGAAATTAGTACTGTAAAGCATTGGCCCAGGGTATATGCATGATGAGGTACCCACCACTCACGATCTGATTTTATTGTACTCCATACTTGCCTATAGCACCACAATAGCGCATGGATTTATATGGGGCTGGTTCCGAAAATATCATGTGTCACAATATGTTTAAAGTAAACGAGGAAGGTTTTTCACCGACTTTTCAGCTGCCGACAAGGAAGATTAGCATGATTTAACACTTAATTCATTTGTTCATTTTTGTTCTTCTCCGTACTTAGTTACTATATTATTTCAATAAAACTTGTCCGCCATCCCGAAACATACCCCCACATATCCGTCTATTTAATCTTCTATACAAATTTGTGGCGTTTGGCCGCTTCTTGATTTAGTTATTGAAGCAGCTGCTGTACCAATATGCGAATCCTCTGCCTCCACGGTCATGGAGCAAGCTCGGACGTGCTGAGGTATCAAATGTCTGGGTTGATTAAGGGGTGTGATCCTAGTTGGGAGTTCCACTATCTCTCCGGTGAGGTAGATTGCCCGCCTGCCCCCGGTATGTAACCTTCTATTGATGTTATATGCACGTCCCAACCGATGTGGGTTAACACTCTACGATGTCCTGAAGGGATTGAAAAGGTATTTCCTGGTCCGTTTGCCTGCTATAATCGTCTTTTTGATCCTGGAAGTCAACTTGATTCGTATGCCCTCATAGAGGAGACATTGCACACATATGGGCCTTTCGATGGCGCTTTCGGCTTTAGCCAGGGGGCAGCTCTTATCGTCTCGTATCTGCTAGAGCGAAGAGCGGCGTACCCAGACGAGTCTCTCCCCTTCCGATTCCTAATTCTTTGCTCGCCCGTCGTCCCTCTTGCGGGTAATGCGGAGTACTGTCATCGTATATTGGGCTGTCTCAGTCGAGATAATGAGTCACGCATTCGCTCCTGCCAGGACACGCAGATTTCGGATCTTCCAGAGCGAGCCAGAATAGCCATGACCATGTTAACGGACATCCTCGACGCCAGCACGACAATCACCCAGGAACCACGAAGATTCTACCTGGACCGGGAACTGCCAGATGTTCCGTGCGCTCTACACCCAGACTTGTGCTTGACCCGCTTGCCTGTTGCGACGCTCCACGTGCGCGGAACTACTGACGCCAAGGCCCTGTGGAATTGCGGGTTTTTGATCCAATCCTTTTTTGACTCGCCAAAACTGCGGGTATTCGAACATAAGTCCGGACATGATATTCCGCGATCAGGACCGGAGGTGCGCCAGATGTTGTGTGCTATGGAGTGGATCATTGCGCAAAGCGAGTTACCTTAGCGAAGGACACTGGAGCTTCACTGTTAGTGGGCGATAGGAGTATGTAAGGGCTAGTAACTTGACAATGTTTCTCGTACACTGCTCCTCTGCGACTCTATTTCTAGTTGTGCCAATCTTCCTTTTGAACTATTGTATCCTCGCCTATGATGTTTTGTTGCACAAGTAGGTCAGCTACGTAGGCGAATCGAATTGTTCACCTCGCCTCACCTGTTTTGCACTTGATTAAAAGTATACTTGATGAAACACATGCTAGCCGAAGAATATTAGGTTTGGGGCCTATTAAGGCGAGGCGAAGGGGAGGCAGTAGTGATGTCATTTGTGTTCTAATTGCACGGTCCGTGTGAGTTCCAATTTGTATGCTGCACGAATGTTCACTGGTGGACCATGCTGAGACATTTCGCAAGGTGTTGAGATTCATGCAATAGTAAGTTAGTTAACCAAGTTAGCTGGAACATGATGCCTTACTAGCAAGGTATCAATCGGACTCATCCGACCTGATACATCAGATATGAATTTTGATCGGCACCTCACGTAATTAGGATATTCTAGCACCTTCAGAGTTTCTACTTCATATATAGCAGATCTCCCATATTATGATACATCAGACGCTATATCCCTTACGGTGTACACAGCTGAGGTCCACATTGTCGGTAATCCAGTTTTCAAGCCATTAAAATATCTTTTGCAAAAGATGGAGTAGCAGCTGACACACATGACGCACGGCCTTTTCAAACACATTTCTTTTGCAGGTTTCGCATACCGACGTGATTTCAGCTAAGCCCCTTACCTACAACCTGAGTCAGAAAGATATCCCCGCAATAAAGTTGAAAACCAGGCCATCTCCACTCTTACTAAATTGAAAATTGGAATCATCTTTGTCTAAACTGGTCACGAGAACCATGGAGTCGCCCCAGCTTCCTCCTTCCATGAAAAGACCTGCCATAGTGTATGGTGACAAAACACCTACAATTTTGGAGACAACTCTTGGACATCTTCTCGATGAACTGAGTGATATCCACAGGGATAAAGCTGCTGTAGAGTTTCCCTGGCAGTCAATTCGACGTACTTATTCTGAGCTCGCCAAGACCAGCAAACTAGTGGCCATTTCCCTCCTGTCCGCTGGTCTCTGTCATGGGGACAGAATAGGTATCCTAACTGGAAATCGCTACGAATTCCTGGATGTGTTTTTGGCGGCCGCAAGAATAGGATGTCCTGCTGTGATTCTACAGTCAAACATGTCCCCTGGGGAAATGAAAGCGGCTGTTTTAAAAAGTGGTAAGTAATAAGCAATACTATTACTAGACATTATGTTTGGGTTCTGATAACACCAGGGTGCAAGTTGCTGTTCATTGCTCCTCCACCGGGATCCACGCCTTTGTCGAAATATATGGATTTACTGTCTTTTCCACTTCATTCTGTTTCACCGATCCAGCAAATCATTCTTTTACAAGATATGGGTGACTTGAGGGGCAGGGCAGGAATTCAATCATATCAACACTTTCTACTAGGCGCAGATAATCATTCAATACTCAAATCAGCGCAGCAGGCAGTACAGCCAAGTGACATACTCTGTCTTATGTTTACTTCTGGTACTATCAATCGCGGCTACATGACTATGGCATAATTGACTCGTCACAGGTACTACCGGAAATCCCAAAGCCGCCGTGTTAACCCACAGGTATGCACGAGTTCATCTATGAAGTTATTCCTGTCCCCAACAAGCTGATCTATGGGATATCACCCCGCTGTATTTACAGAAACGTGGTTAACAATAGCCATTTCTTTTCACGTGCCTGTGATTTCGAACAATCGGATATCATCTGCTCCCCACTTCCGCTCTGCCACAGTTTTGGTCTCGTCTCCGCATTCCTTTGTTCCTTCATGCGTGGCTGCTTGATCTTGTTCCCTACGGAGAAATTTAGTGCAGATGCTGTGGTGGATGTACTCCAAAACCGCGATGTCACCGTGATTTATGGTGTACCCACTATGTTCTTTGCGGTGCTGGAGAAATTGCAAGGGCGCGGTCATAAGCCAAGAAGCATGGTGAAAGCCATTGCCGGTGGCGCCCCTGTCCCATACGCCCTCATAACTCAGATTTGCCAAGATATGGGGGTGCAGTACTTCTTAAACGGATATGGGATGACGGAGACTAGCCCAGCAACATTCATCTCTCCGTTGGGTCTTTGCAGTGAAAGTTCTTTGAGAACAATTGGCAAAGTACTGCCACATACCAATGCCAGGATTGTGGATCGGTGGGGGAGAACCGTGCAGCAGGGTGAAAAAGGTGAGCTTTGTATAAGCGGCTTACCTCTTCAAAAGGGCTACTGGGAGGACGAGGAGAAGACAAGCGAGATCATGACACGCGATGCGGATGGAGTCATTTGGCTGCATACAGGTGACGAGGCCATTATTGGAGAAGATGATCATTGCACCATAACGGGTCGGATCAAAGACATTATCATCCGCGGTAAGTACATATGCTACAACTATTCTTCTGGACTTGACCTAATAGTTGAACTGACTAGGAGGATTGAATATTTCACCCGTGGAAATTGAAGAGAGACTTATTCTTCACCCGTTTATTCAAGAAGCAAGTGTCGTCGGTCTTCCAGATAAAACACGAGGCGAGATTGTCGGCTGCTTTTTAAAGCAATACGTCGATATGCAGCGACCAAGCGATGAAGCAGTCCGAGCCTGGGTGAGAGAACTTCTAGGATGGCACAAGGCGCCGGAAGCAATCTTTTGGATTGGAGACGCAGGAATTGGCGAAGATTTTCCCAAAACAGCGAGTGGGAAGCATCAGAAGGAGAAGCTGAAAGATATCGGAACATACCTTCTTGCATAACAAATATGAGTGCGTATCACAACAGCCGGCTGCCATGGCCCGATGGTCAAAATGATAGCCTTTTTCAATCTAGACCCAACAAGGTTGTGGTCACAATTTAACACATACGATGTCTCGAAACGATATTTCTCGAAGAATTCTGGCTTCCAAGCATTTGTTAAAAATAATTATACCCATTGTTCTGAAAGTACCTGAGAGAATATCCCATAGCCAAAAAGTATTAACAGTATTTGCTGTCGGATATTTGTAGGCCAACAATGGATGTTAGTTCATTTAGCAGTACATTGCAGATCACCCCTTTACCGCACCAGTCCGAAATGCCTTCGAATTTAACGACAACTCTTGCTTCCTAGGGGCGTGGTCGAAATAGTGCCGTGGAATAGTTCTTTAATTATGCCAGCACGTATTTATTCTAATACATCCAATTCAATCACTATCCATCCCACCAAAAACGCAGTGTAAGGTAAAAAATATTGAGCTCAGGGCAGGAGGAAATATTTTACATAATTAATATGTACAAACATAAAATTTAATCTTCATCCTTCGATCTCTTTTCGTAAGAGGAGAAGCCTTTGATATGTGAAGGGCTGAAGCCAGCCTTGAGTGAAACCAGCTAAGCGGACGTAGAATTTATCAAAAACTTAAAGATATGGGATGTTCTACGTGGCGATGCAACAGGGGTGCTCACGTGGTCAACATGTGACGTTTACAAGCCCTGGTCGGTTACACTTTCTGTGTCTTCTCCGTTCTCCAATGATTTATCAGCTTTCGGATGCTTATAGTCATGCGGATATTTATTATTGTCCAATTATTGATGTATACACTGCGTATACATGTGGAGAGATATGTTCGACGCGAGTACTTGGTATTATTCAATTATTGATGCACACATTGCATATGCATGCGTTTAGATATGTTCGATGCCAGTATTTGATAAAAGGTATGCATCTATTGTACGTTCTAGAGTATCTCCCGAGGTAATTTGTATCTTGTAGGCATTTGAAGTCAATTGTATCAAGATACAGTTGACTTAGGCGTCATGAATACATGCACATGATTATTTACTAAAGCATATCCTCGATTAAAGCCGGGCATATAACTCACAGATATATGTATTGCGACAGTGCACAGGTAACCTCAGTGGCATTGAACTCTCTAACTACTTGAATAACAAGGAGAAAGGCTTTTCAAGAGGAATAATGACAGATTGTGATATGCACTTTTGTATGGCTTCCCTCGTACTAGTAATCACATAGATCCCGGGTTAAATACCCTATAATCTATAAATTTAACCTTAGTATTCGATATAGTTCGATTTTCAACCTCTCACTTTCCTCCTTTGCCTTGAAAGTCAGTCAGTTCGTAGCATCAACACGGTCGCGCTCGATCCTTCTCCTTGCTTTCTCCTCGGACATGCTAGGCACAAGCCTTGGCGAGCTCTTTCAGATGGATGGGATGTTCATTGCAGAGGTATTGCCGCTTGGGGGAGTAGGCTGGATAATGTCAGCACAACGATGTTATTTGTGGCATTGGGTGAGCTGCGGGGAACTTACTAATAGGCCAGTCGCCCGTCTCCAACGTCTGAAGATACACACTCATGTAGGAGACGCCTTTACGGTAGGAGAAAGAAACGTAAGCGTGGATGTAGTTGGCCGTCTCCTGATCTGCGTGTGGACTGTCATAGTCATTATGATTAGCGCTATACGGGTATTCGAAGAAAGGGTCATAGAGGGAACGTACTAATAGGCACGCAAATTCTCCTTGTAAGACTCAGCGAGCTCCGTCCAGCCCTGGCGCTCGAAGAAGGCTGTGAGCGCGTTGGTTACGTGCAAATCATTCTGCCCAAATGTTGTAAAGTATACCTGAGGCTCCGGCATTGGGTCGTCGGGTCGCAGCGTATAGTTAACCATTAGGGGCAGCTGCTCGTCCGGAACCGTCCCGAGAGGTAGATAGCCAGAAGGATAGGAGGCCAAGCATGGCGGCAGCTGGATAAGGCTCCAGATCTCCCGGATGATGTCCAATGCGGCCAAAGCCGAGTCACTCTTCCGGCGACCACCCAGAGTCCACAAGTCTTCCATTGCCTCGATCGAGACCTGCCGTTCCAGCAAATAGATTTTAGTGCGCGCACGCTCGGGGTTGATCAAATCACAAGAAAGAAGTCGCGGGGAAGCTGTACTGTCTGGTCCCCGTGCCTCTATGTATTCCTCCAGCACAGACAAGGGTTGCGCCAGAGTGGGGGACCATTTCTGAACCTGTTGCCTCACCGAGGAAAGCATCAGGTCCGTGATGGAGCGTCCTGTTGCCGCAGACTTGAGGGTGGGGTAGAAGTAGGCCTTGACCACAAAACTTCCGTTTTGTAGGTCAAGGGCCAGCTTGTTTTGCGTTCTAATCTTGGAGCCGGCCAGATTGCTTTCTACAAGATGCGCTGATTCCGCATTGTCCACGGTAAGGTTGGCTTTGAAGTGATTGAACAATTCCGTATCCACGTCCCCGTTCAAACGTCTGAGCTGGCTCAGGCTCTCCCAGATTGCTTGAGTGTTGAAAGGATCCTTGTCTGTCCCAGTTGCAGCGTTGATTGGCTCGAAGGTGTATCGTACAAGACGATGGGAGCAGTTGAGGCTCAGCTCGAAGGGAGTCCCGTATCGCGTGAGGATGCTTAACCACCGCGGTCCGTCATTTGTCGGATAACACCCTAAGAATGGAATGACAGCCTTCTTCCAGATGCCCAAGATCTTGTACTGTTCGTGAATATCATATCCGCAAGCCCGAAGCATCTCCGCAAACATCGGTGCCACGCTATGCCACCACATGCGCTGTTCATTATCGGGGAACTCCAAAATGTCACTCAACACTCTGTAAATATACGAGTGGGATGCATTAGGGGACATGTCATGTGTGCCCATGGCTGATTTCTCGGTCTCGGGTTGTGGGTAGGTATTTTCTCAGTTGTTGAAAGTCTAGGGATGGAGGGTCACGATAGAGGATAGTTGGGACTGGGGGAGAGGGGTAAATTTATTCCGACGTGTGCAGGAGCTGATGGGGACAACAGCAGGATATCCAGTCGAGGAGCTGTCCATACCACCTTTGCCCATGTATGAGCACCCCATGTATGAGCATGGCTTGCAGATGGAATGTGGTGCTTGCTTGAATACGGTCACCCGGTCTCTCCCTCTGAAACATACATCACGGGCCGTGATCTTGAAGTTATTGGACGCACTGCCAAAACTATGCTCTACGCTTGCTGGAGTAATTGCATATGTTTCGCAAGGGGTATGCGGTGCATCAAACTCCAGCCAGCCTTCCCACTGCATCGTCTTGTGCATACCGCTTTGTGTGGCACTTCAATGGCACATCTTCATGGTGACCAGTCAGTTGTCGGTGAACATACAAGAGATCTGATTCACTGCCAAGTCGATCATGTCAGAATACATGCGGAAGCAGCAGATGCCTTTTTTTCCGGCCCCTTATTGTACTACATATAGAAGCAAGGGCACGGCTTGCAGAATGTCGGAACTATTGGAATCTTAAGTGCGCGAGAACCAGAGATTTATTGGCTGGTTGGAAGGTTTACGTGGGTTTCGCAAAAATGAACACTACAGATTCGCCATTCTCAGCTGTCTGGGTATTCAGTGGTGGAGAAATTGTACGAGACAAATGTTTCACCGCCTGCACTTGGAATGGCTCGGCTGGTTAGTTCGACTTATGAAATTTACTCATCACTTGGGTCATCGTACATTAAGCTATGGGTGCAGGGCGGGAAAATGTAACCTGAGCCCCTTACTGGATGGATCATAGACTGTTGCGTGCTGGGAGACAAGAGCGCCTGCGATGTCGTGACTATTTTAGATTTCAGCCACTCAACGAAGCCTACGACAAACTTGATCCATCTTGTACTGTATAAATCCCACCCATGGTTATCGAAACAGACGGTATTGCCTTCATTTCGCTGTGGTTTAGGTAATGCCAATAATTAATACGGGTGCAGCACTTCCATATCAAATCAAATGAGCTGTTCAATACCAAAGGGCCGTAAACCTTCGCAGGGTTCGGATATAACAGTTAAATGTAGTAGTGCGCACTTTAGCGCCGATTCCTAGTGGTATGTCTGCACCCAATAACCTTTTCTCCATCAACACACCTTTTACCAGGCGTCAATTTCAAGATTCAGCAAATGTAATTTGTCAATCCTGTGAACGTAGCACAGATTTCGCAGAATTTTGACGCACTGCCAACTAATTCAATCAAGTGGCCAGACCAGATTAAGGACTCTCGAATGCAACATATATCTTGATAATTGAAATTCAAGTAAAAGATTGATCTACTTTTGGTGTGCGTAAAGATAAGAACATGCCTCATTGCGAAAGACCTAGGTCATGTGAATCGTTGGCTTAATATATATATATGAACGACCGAACGACAACGCACGGAATACCCCAACCTCATACCAATTATTCTGTCGACATAGCCTGCGATAGCATAATCTCCTCTTAGACCTATTCATATATCCTTTGATAAAAATGGCAAGCGAAACCGAAAACCTGAGAGCTATTGCCCTTGACCCAAGTCACCCAACACCTACTGACGTTGGTGAAATATACGACGAAACCTCTGACAGTCTGACTGATATGTTGGGGGGATATATCCATGTCGGGTATTGGGAGGACCCGAGTAAGCAAGAAACAGCTGAGGTAGTCGGCGACCGACTGACGCGCGAGGTTGGCGTCCGACTTTCTCCTGCCCAAGGAGAGCACATCCTCGATGTTGGCTGTGGGACAGGAAAGTCCACCGCACAACTAGCCGGCATCTATGATGCTCAAGTGACCGGAATCACCATTAGCAAGCAGCAAGTCGAAGTTGCTCGCTCTCAGTACGGAAGAAAAATGCCGGCTGGACAAGTCCACTTTCAGTTTGCCGACGCGATGGATCTGCCGTTTGGGGATGCCTCTTTTGACGGTGCCTACGCCATTGAATCCCTGGTGCACATGCTCGACAAACGCACTGCCCTCGCGCAGATCGCTCAAGTCCTTCGTCCCGGCAGTCGACTGGTCATTGCAGATCTTGTTTCTGATCATCCGTGCCCCGATTCACCGGTCTTGGCACGCTATGCAGAAATCTTTGAACCCCCCTTGGTCTCTGCTGATGACCTCCAAAATCTTCTACGCCAGGCCGGGTTTAAGGTCATTGATGTCACCGACATACGAGAGAACATCCGGCCTTCCTGCAAATTGTTTGAAACAAAGGGTCTATCCCTGGGGGGTGAACTGGGGCAAAAGCTTCTCGAAATAGCATCCATTCTGGAGGAAATGAACGAGCTCGGATATGCACTTATCACTGCAGAGCGCCTCTAGTATAAGCCTACTTTCGAGCTTTTTTCCCTGTTCGTTGCTACGTTAAGGCAAGCAAAAATAGCAAAATGATGCTCATTTTGACGCAAAACAAGTCGTACTTTTCCTGTTTCCTGTAGACGAAATGCTCAAGGTGGGATGTAAGAGAAAAACAATCAAGGTCAGAACCTGAGAACATAAGTCCCAGACTCTAGTGGTATAGAACTTGCCAGTAAGCTGTCTTGGGGCGCACCAAGGCGAACCAATGGGACGTGATCAAAATTTCAGGAAAGTCTACCCAACCGTATAATGAGGATGGTAGTACATAGCTGACTCAATGTAATAAACAATGATACTACCCTAGGACGCTAGATTGTGGACTTTCCCTCGCTTGAGTTTAAATAAGCACCGCTGTTTTCAGGCGCGGAACCGAAACTTGCTGTAACAGCCCGTTGACCGCTGGCCAGTAGCTTGATTAGGATGTACTGCAGTCTTTCGTTTTTGTTACCTGAGTCAAAGTAAAATGGCTCTCTATTTAACAATTGCATTGATTTGCAGAATAAAATATCAATTGGATTCTTTACCTACAGGCCGCTCATTTACCTGATGGTGTGATTGCGTGTTGATATGATGATGTGAGCTGTTAGACATGCTGCATCCAGTGAAAGCCCTTCGAAGGAACAAAGGGTTTAAAGCTTCTGCTGGGTTTACAACCTCGCTCGTCCTGGGAGCTCCTGCGGAGTTGAGTTTGTGGCTGCTGTTTCAAGCCGCTTCTCAACCCCTTCACGGACACGATCCGCAAGGTCGGTGGAGACCAGAGCGAATGTACGGTAGACCTTCTGCCTGACGGCGTCGCAAGTCTGGGAGATGGACTCGGCTAGGTTATCGATCAACTCGTTCTGGAATTCCTGGTCTCGAAACTGAGGGTACCATTCATATAGCTCCCTCGCGAACTCATAGTCATCTTCCTTGGCCTCCGACCAGGCCGGGGAAGAGACCTGACTGACCCACTCGTCAAACTTTTGGCTTCCTGGCTTAAGACTGAGGGGCTTTTTGGGCCGAGCCGGTGGGTTTTCAGGATTGACACCCAGACGATAGCGCTGAGCGTCCGGGTACGCGAACATACGAGCTTGGAGGATCGGATCCTCCGAAGGGAGGACACCAGGAACGAGGTTTGATGGCGAAAAGGTAAGACACTCAATTTCCGAAAAATATTTTTCAGGATTCCGGTTTAAAGTTAATGTCCCAAATGCTCGCTTTGGGATCACCGAACCGTTTTTCGGATAAAAGCCGTAGTTCCAATGCTTGGTCATATCAAGGATATTGAAATCAAGGTCCGGAGCATCCTCTGGGTCGACGACCTGGGCATAGGCGGTCCAAGTTGGAAAGTCTCCACGCTCGATAGCCTCGTACAAGTCCCGGGAGGCCCCATCTGGATCGTTGATGTTCTCATCCATGGCGTCGTCCATGCTAGCATTTTCGTTCGAAGGTCCGCCATTTGGAGAGAGATAGACATGAACATATTTGAAAGACCCGTCTGGCATGGTCCATTTGTACGCATGGCCCAGGTACGCACTCATGGTGCGCCAGTTGAACATGGTTCCCAGTTTGCTGAAAAGCGTGAGAACCAGGTGTAGAGACTCAGGATTATCCGCTACCCAGTCCCAATACATATTTGGGTTCAACAAGTTGGTTTTGGGGTCCCGTTGTTGGGCATGCATAAGATCCGGAAACTTGGCTGGATCACGGATGAAAAAATAGGGGAAATTGATGCAGACCCAGTCCCAATTGCCTTCCTTGGTGTCAAATTTCAAGCCCAACCCTTTGACATCCCGGATTCCCTCAGCGGAACCGCGCTCAAGTCCAGTGGTGGAGAAGCGTCCCACACACGGGGTTTTCTTCCCGACTCCCAGAAGCATGTCAATGTTGCATATATCGGAAATATCATCGGTCACCTGGTTTTCCATAGGTGAGAAATTGATTACTTCGGCATGTGGACTAGTCATGACTCACCTCGAATTCCCCATACGCACCCGTGCCTTTTGCATGTACGACACGCTCGGGGATCTTCTCGCGATTGAAATGTGACAACGCCTCTAGAAGGCCTGTGTCATTTACCACAGGGTTTTGGGCAAATCTCGGAGTAGTGCCGCTTCTTTCCATCGCTGGACATCCCCTAATGGTTGGTTTCCCCATACTGGCACTACCTGCTATCTCTGGAGAGTCTGCAGCGATGGGAGATGGATTTCAAGAAGAAGTACTTAGTGTGCGAAAAGAGTAGACAAGTATGGGGCCGCCGGCGTACTTATCGCGCACAGTTCACACGCTTCTGATTTGCTCTTTCACACTACATTGGCTGAATTCGGTCTCGATCTTGATCATAGCCCCAGCACGCGCTGGAGAAATGATCCCTCCACGGGAAAAATACAAAATCGACATCCCTTGCTCAAGCAAAGGCAAGGGCCCGCTGACCGATACCTGCATCGATGTCCTGTTCGCGAGGGTGATGAATGCCCCGCCAGAGATGAGAATGTTTCACCGCTACTGTAAGCCATCCTGCTTATTGGTGGTCTGGATGTATCATACCTGGGTCGAAGTGGCTGGCTGTGCGGCTGCAGCCATGTTCCCGCTCGTGCAGTATACCTACCCCAGGTCGTATTCCCGCTCTGCCAACCTTCGGCACAAATGCAATCTATCCCTACTTTAGCCCTTGTCAAAGCAACTGTCCCTCCATTGGGGCTGTCAGTCAGCCCTTCTCTGCATGGCCGCATAACGTGTTGAGCCAGCTCGGGCGAGAAGGGCCGANCTTTTTTTTTTTTTTTTTTTTTTTGCCAGTAATATCAATACCAATAATTAATATTCATCAGCTACCAGTATGTAGCTCGTACCCCTTTTTGTATTTAATTGATGTTATGCATTTGAAATAATACCATATTTATTACTGGTGGCGTGCGCGCATTAGCGTCTCTTCACGAGCTAACACGGCAGGGTGGAGAAGGACCTGCTACGATGGGAATTCTTCAGAGAGCCAGTAATAAGAGATATTATTCATCAAATAAATTACACTCTATAATATACTTTGTAGTTGAATTATAAATTATAAATTAAAATCTTAAATCTTAAATATTTACCAATATAAACTTGAACTTCGAAAATATAATATTCTCAAAAACATTTATAATTTATGCAGGTGAAATGGATGCTAGTACGGAGTACTCCTCCGTCCTCCGTAGAGACAATATCAATTTCCTACCGTAGTATCTGGTAGCCAACCACTCCCATCGGCTCCTGTTGTTCCACCTTTCCGCCACTCTCTGGCATGTGTGGATCTCGTAGTCATCTCATCTCACCTTCCAAATCCCGAGCTTGGCCAGGCGAAGATATGTATTATATTGTATTGGCTTCATGTTACAGTACCACGCCATTTGTACAGGAGATCAACGGACACAGAGTTTGTGAGTTACAGGGAGCTGGTAGGTAAATCATGCAAAAGTCTTTCATTTGGTTCCGCCGACCCGGCTCAATGTACCGGAGGCGATCGATCTCGAAGAGGAAGGGAAGAGCAACGGAATGCGCGAGCAGATTCGCAATCCAGATCTCTGTCCCTTGCCTGCGTTGTATCACTTGCCCCTGCATCACATTGGTTGATATTTTCTCACCGCTATGCTCTCTCTAAGGACACTGGTAAACTGATGTCAAGGGACATTGTTAAAACTGGTCATACCCTCAGCGGTCTCTCCCGAGCGTTATTGTCATAGGATTTGCCTGTGTAAATCTCTCAAAGCTCTCTTTAGCACAGCTATCTGGTCCATTCTAGGCCGATCCATTTCATCACGCCGGCGCCATTGCGGCTATGAGTTTGGAATTGATTTATGCCCCTGTGGGCTTTGTTGGCATCAATGCACAGTTGCTCGGGTTCGTAGGGCTGGCAGCTCTTGGTTTATTGCTGGTATTTCTGGTCGATTATGTCGATCTTCTATATCGTTCTCTGCCCTACATGAAGTTAGCTCCGGCATTCCCTCGGAGCTATTTCATGGGCAGGTTTTGGGCGGGAAACACAACTGGTGACGGTCTTGAACAGACTTGGCTTGACGGATATTATCGAGTGCGTTCTTAACTGTTCAAGTGCTTAGATAAATTGAGGACGTTTGCTTATCGCTCACAGTACACGAAACGGGGTAAAGTATTCGCAAGGAAGACGGAACTAAACAACTGGTCCCTCATCTTCCCGTCGGAACTCAGTCACGATTGGCGCAATCTTCCACTTGACCAGATCAGCTTTCAACACTGGGCCCAAGAGGTAGGATTTCTTCTGGACCCGCCTTGGGGGCTTTGGTAGTTAACTATGTGTCTTTTCCAACCACAGGGAGGAAAGATTAAACATCACACAGTGCTCACAAAGGCCCACTCCAAAGTTGCTCTTCTCTTCGCAAAAAAGGAGTTGCTCTGTAAGCAACGATTTTCTTTATGCTGCCCTTGATCTGAATGGTGTATACCAACACTCATCATATAGTGGCTGTTCAGAAGATTCTGGTGAAGGAGACACTTAGCCTACTCCCTGGAATTATCGGCGACAGTAAAGGTGACAACCGACCTCCCATTCGGTAACCAACTACGCATTAACTAACAGATTTTTTTTTTAGAATGGGTATCGCTTGACCTCATGCAAGTCTGTAGCGACTTGGTGATCAAGCTCAATGCCAGGATTCTGTATGGTCCAGCGTATGCTGATGATCAGGATTTCCACAAGCGATTGATTACATTTGCTAACGGGGTCGATGGTATCAACTCTATTTACTTCACTTGGCCTCGTTCCTTGTGGAAAATAGTATCGCTCGTTCATCCCACCATTCGTGGGTTTTATGCAAACCTCCCGCATCTGAAGAAAAGAATGTTGCCTGACATCCGAAGCCGCATTGCTAAACTTCAGGCCAAGGCGGCGCAAGGTGAGGGAAAGGTTCCTGCATCTGATGAAGATGTTACGTTCATGACTGCCCTTATAAAAATGCATATGGAGGAAGGTACTCTTGGCGAACAAGACAGCGACCTCGAGAAGGTCTGTATGGAGGCAGTTTTCTACACATACGAATTCTGGGGCCCGATAATGCCGACGCTGTTTTTTATGCTTATGGCAATCGGTAAAAATCCAGGCTATCTACAGGCGCTCCGGGAGGAGATATCCTCCGCACTCGAATCCAATGATTGGTCTTCCGATTTCCTCGCACGTACTCCGAAGCTCGAGAGTTTTATCAGAGAAGTACTTCGTTTATACGTTCCGGCCCAATGTGAGTTTTTTCGGCCTCATGCTTTTCATTTTGGAGTACCACAATCTAGACTTGAAGGGCTTATCACTGATATCCATCGCGCATCTTTAGCTACTGTCAGTCGACGGACAGAGAAGCCCATCTACGTACAGTCCATGGATATGCACATCCCCGCTGGCGTCAATCTCTGTGTACCAGCCAAATACATCCATCGCGACCCAGACTTTTATCCAAATCCGACAACCTTTGACGGATTCCGCTTTTATGACCCAGTCACCAACAATGTCACAATCCGCGCTACTACTGCCACTGACACTTATCTGTCATTTAGCCACGGGTCAGGTCTATGTCCGGGGAGAGTCTTTGGGGCGCATGTTGTCCAAGTGCTTTGTGCAGTTTTCATCATGGAGTACGATGTGAAAGTGGACCCCAGCAAGACATTCCCAGACGTCCAATCAACAAAAGAAGGCCGCGGAGACGGTATGGTTGGTACGACAGATATCCTGATACGAAAGCGCACGTCGGCCAAAGTCTAATAAGCAGGAACTCGATGCGCTGGACCAGGCATGCGCGCACATGACGGGGCACCAAAGCAAAGTTGTCGCTCTATGCCCGGAACGTGAATGTGATGTAGTTGATTCATTCTGATTATCCTCATCAGTGGTATATTGGCCAGGCCTGCACCGCACAATATTACACTGTTGTGGCTTTCTAGTTAAATTGTCGGGTACTACTACTTATGCAGGGACAATCACCTCAATTTAATATGGTTCCTTTCGCTTCTTTGCCATTCATCCTGTGGCGGCCTGATAAATCTAGAAATCAAGACACCTAGCCTAGTATTTGTGATAATCTACCATTAGTTTGTTACATATTCTTAATCAGTTCAAACGATACACTAGTAATACAGCACTTTGGGACTAACGGGTCCCTGAACTAAGTACTCGATTCATTTGCTAAAATATTCAAACCTGATTACTCTTCTGCATATATGCAATAAAATTCAAAGGATCTTGGGCGATGGCTTGATAAGCAGGGCAATCTTTCCCGCAGTCATTGCTGTCATAGTTTCTATAAACACTAACGAGCTAAAAGCCATCATGTAGCACTAACATTTATAGTAAACAGAAACGTACGCCACTCCAAACCGAAAATAAGAACATCCGAAACAATTGATTTGAACATCATGAAAGTGATACTCTATTCCTTGCACATTCCAAGTCCGCAAGTGGGCATTGTGTTGGCCATTTGGTCCATTTGTTGAACCACCTTCGTGATTGTATCTGCTTGGGTGGCAGGGTTTGTTGCACAGAAACGTAGTGCTACCCGACCACGGATGTTTGTTGTGAGGATGGACGCAACATTCTCTGCCAAAAGTCGAGCTGAGAGGGCCAGGTTCAGTGTATCCAGATCATCATCCTTCAACCCCAATGGACAGTATCGGAAGACGACAATACTCGCTGTTACTGGTGCCAGGATCACCCAATGCGGATATCGTCGAATCTCCTCTTCGGCGGTGCGGGCGAGAAGGAACCCTTGATCAATCATCTCTCCCATCTGCCGACGTCCCAGCACCCTCAGCGTAAACCAAAGCGGCATGGCTCTCGCTGGGCGGCTGAGTTCAGGACTAAGGTTGTAGAAATTCACGGCCCCGTGCGGTGTCGTCGAGTTGATATACTCTGCATCCACGGCAAAGCTGTGGGCGAGGGACGCACTATCACGAGTGAGGACAATTCCACAACCATATGTTTGGAAAAGCCATTTATGTCCGTCCCATGATATACTGTCTGCGCGACCAATTCCATCCACGAGATGGCGGTACTTGTCGGAGAGGGCAATTGACGCACCGTACGCACCATCCACGTGCAGCCACAGTCCTTCTTCTTCAGCCACGTCGGCTAGAGCATGGAGGGGATCGATGCTGCCCGTATTTGTGGTTCCACAGCTGGCCACGACGAGAAAAGGTAGGCGACCACATTGGCGGTCGGCTGCAATCGTTCGTCGCAGGATATCAGTGTCCATGCGGAATAGGTGGTCTGTGGGGATAACGCGGATTTGGTGTTCGTCGAAGCCGATTATATGGAGACATTTCTTTATCGATATATGCGTTTGGTCCGATGTGTATATGGTTCCCTCAGCCCGTCGCATAGGGGGAAGCAACTTATCTCGAGCTGCCACGACGGCGGATAGGTTTGCCATAGAGCCACCGGAGACAAAGCATCCACCAGCAGAAGGAGGAAGACCAACCTGCTGGGCCAGCCACCTGATCATTCCTTGTTCCATTGCACTTGGACCAGAACTCACATCCCAACTAACCGCGTTTACATTGTAGAGTGAGGTGAACAGGTCCCCCACCCAGGCTAGCGGAGATGGACATGACGGTACATAGCAAAAGCAGTGTGGGTGCGTGAGACGCATGCGTTTGTCGAAAATATCCATGGTTTCCTGGATAACTGATGCGACGTCTTGTGGGCTCTCTCCCGGGAGGAATGCCTCTTGCATGTCTTTCGTTTCAGGGGCATCCAGTGTTCGGACAATAGGATCAGAGGCAGTTGGGGAATTCATTGTTAGTACTCTCTTCAGCGCAGATAGAGTTGCAATTGAAACCCTTGTATGGAATTTATCGTCATGGTCCTCTTTTTCAGTCATCATAGCGAAACAAAGTACTAGCTAATTGTGCTAAGAAGGTGGATGGAGGGTTGGCAAAAGAACAATATGCCACAGAATATGGTGGATGAAGCGACACTTGTCAAAATATGATGGAGCTTTTGGTACGTGCTTAGCTAAATCTAGCATCCTTCTTGCTTCGAGATCTGTAAGAATCTGCTACATTCCCCAGCCCTTGCTGCAGCAAGCATGATGCTGCCACTGAATAAAGCGGTCAGCTCCAATGGATACCTCTCTTTATTATTCTAGTAGGACGAGCATTGCTTCGATCGAGCAGAGCAAACTGACCGCTGTTTTTTAGTTAAATATTCAAACATGCAGTATGTGACTACTGCAGTACACTATTTCTCCTGTGAGATGTAGTGACTAGTGCATGATATTGTTCATACCGCTGGAAATTGGCTGGCTGAGGCTGTCGTAAATAGCCAGTCCAGCAATGTAGCTATAGTCGTGCAGCTACTGAAGATTCGCAAGCGGTGGCTATAACAATCCCTTGCGTATGCCAAAAATTCGCGAAATATTCTGAGTTTTACAGTCATGCGCGGGATGTATCACATCATGCAGTGCTACACAACGCCTCCGTTTTACCCTTGCGTCCAGCCCTCCCAGAGTTGCCTCCTGTTTAGATTGTGACAATTTCGGACCTCCCCCGCATAGGCCTCGTAGACATAGTATTGTGCTCTCTGACAGATGACCTGCTCCATTCACGTTCTGCAACTCCAATCTTGACGTGCGCTTGTCGATAGCTTTCATAGGAGAATTCCAAACTCCCCACTCATGGCCGGTGCCGTCCACCTCAGCATCTTTGTGGCCCTCGGAGCGCTGTTTATACACTTAGTACATCCAACAGAACAGCCATTCTGTCGATGTAGACAGTGGGAACCTTGTTGGCCATCCGAGACTGACTGGGCTAACCTTAACTCATCGATTCACGGAAACTTGATTTCGGTCCGGCCTATAGGGCGCATCTGCCATGAGCCTACGTATGAACAGCAGGCTTGTGACGTTTTGTTGAACGTTTCTCGAAACAGCGGATGGAGGGCTGCACAACCAGGTAAGAAACGCCCTTTTATTTCGTGTCCGGATTAGGTCACTAACGGTAGCGATCGTAGGGACTCTACAGGACTGGGTTTGGGAGAGCGGTTCAACCAGAGAGGAAACGTGTTTTGTAGGAGGACCTGTGGATTTACCTTGTCACCAAGGCCGTACTCCTTTGTACTCGGCTGCAGTGCGGTTGGTCTCCCATGTGCAGTGTGCCATAAAGTTTGCCAAGAATCATAACCTACGACTCGTTATCCGAAACACAGGCCATGATGGCTCAGGACGCTCCAGCGCCCCTGGCTCATTCGAGATACACACGCACCACCTGAAACATACACATTATCATGATGACTTCCAACCAGTCGGGGCTGTCACAACCTCGGGACCTGCGGTTACTGTTGGGGCTGGAGTTATACTCGGAGACCTCTATGCCGAGGGCGCGCGACAAGGATACACCGTAGTCGGTGGAGTATGTCCCACCGTCGGCTTTGTTGGTGGCTTCCTTCAAGGGGGCGGTGTCTCTGGGAAATTCAGTCACAATAGGGGGCTGGCTGTCGATAATGTGTTGGAGATCCAAGCTGTAACGGCAGATGTGAGTATTTCCTTGTCAAACAACCCCAGCCTATGGGCTTTTGTTCGCATGAATACTTATCTAATCTCATGATTGACAGGGTGACTTGGTAGTAGCCAATGATTACCACAATCAAGACCTGTTTTGGGCATTAAGGGGAGGAGGGGGAGGTACGTTTGCTGTCGTCACTCAAGCAACAGTGCGAGTATTCCCAGACGTCCCGTGTGTTACCACCCAGCTCGCTGTATCTGCCCCAGAGGGCTTAGATGACCACTCCTGGATGCAGGTACTGGAATTGCTGCTCAGGGGTTTACGGTCGTTTAACGAAGAGAGGATCGCGGGAGAGTTTCACCTGCGGCCCGATCCGCTGTCAGCCATACTCACTCTACATTTTCTGAACACATCGGACCTCGACAGCGTTGATCGTCGACTAGCAGCACTCATCGACAAATTTCGGACCAGTGAAATTCCGCACATTTACTCGTCCAAATCCCATGCTCTGGTGAGTTCGACTTTACGGCAAGATCCTGATATTTACCCAATAGAGTACGGGATTACACAAGGATCTGTTCTCGTTTCGGATAAATTTTTTAAGTCGCCACAAGGACCATATCAAATAGCCAAGACACTTTCTCTCCTTCATCTACATTCTGGCGATGAAATTTTCATAAACACACTCGGGGGGGCAGTCAACACCAACGATAATTCAGTTAATGCATCAGTGCATCCGGGTTGGCGACATTCAGCACTGTTGATAAACCTCTACAAGGAAGTCCCCCGCTCTGTGGAAGCCAAGTTATACGCTAGTCACGAGCTTACAAGTGTCCAAATGCCGGTTTTGTACTCGTTGGATCCAAGCTATAAGGTGTCCTATCTTAACATGGGCGACCCAAACGACGCCGACTTCCGCAACGTGTATTGGGGCCCGAATTATGAGCGATTGCTGGCTCTCAAGCAAAAATGGGACGTGGACGCATTGTTTATAACTAGGTTGGGGGTAGGGAGTGAATTCTGGGATCATGATGGTCTTTGTAGGAAACAAGATGGCCTCTGGGGCCGAATTTTCTAGCGTTTCTTCTCTGTGCAGATAAAAATGTTGATATTACAACCATACATCTTATGACTCTCCATATAACGCACTGTGGTCCTGAGAGGTTTGTAGGGGTGAGGTCAGGCGGTTCCTACTGAAAGTTCAGTTATATACCTAAGGCATCTGTCAAGAGAAAGTTGATGCCTTGAACTTTACATTATAAGGCCGCTTTTACCCCCCTGGATCTGCCGTGACCCGATCGAGTCAGAGTACTTAGGGACGTGCTCAGTTTTACTCAGTGATGAAAAAGCGGCAAGAGAGGAGCACTAAACGGAAAGGGAAAGCACATGTGATCACGCCCTAACCCCAGAAGAGACACGATGTCATGAACACAATTCCATCTACCGGCGCCGGTGCTGACATGCGATCTTTCAACCGGGACATTTATGACTTATTGAGAAACCATGCGGAGGATCCACGGCTTAACGAGGTCTGGACCGCGATCAATACAGTTACGGAGTGGGTAGACTGGATCACATCCAACGGGGCCCGGATGATTCCTTCCGATATCGCCTTCCGATTCTGGATGTTGCGAGTTTACATGACGCATGACTGGGGGTGCGGACTGACCTCATCGACAGCTGAGCTTTGAAAACTTACTTGGTGGAATGTAAGAGTATCTTTCCAGTTCTTGCCAACGAGTGCCAAACAGAAACTGATCTTTATCTAAGGGAGCAATTCCAGTTGTCGAAACCATTTCACGAACGGTCGGTTTCGGGGCAAAGATAGCACGCCGACGATTACTCGAAACACTTCAACATATACTTCAGGCTAACACCTCAACGGAAGGTATGAAGCCAGGATGAGATGGCCACATTTCGTGCGTTCGCGTCCGACTGCTTCATTCGTCTTTCCGCAAGAGAATGCTCAGCCTGGTAGGCCAAAACTCCGAATATTACGATGTCACCAAGTACGGAACACCGCGTAATCACCTAGACTACATTAGCACAATCATCACATTCTGCAGCGCGGTAGTAGGGCACGGTCTTCCGCGACAAGGCATTTACCTCAGCGAGCAATAGAGACCATAACACTATCAAACGCCATTCTCGCATTTCACGACCACAGTACATTTACGTCGAAAAAATAAGTTTACGGTTTGCAAGCTGCCAAGTTTAGAATTCATATCTAGGCCACCGATCTGAATCTTTCAGTGACATCTTCTATTTTGCCCAACAGAACATTTTTTCTTTCGTCGCCAATCCAACTTCCACGCACCCCTGAGATCGCTATGGTCTTCCACTCATCAATGCTGAAATCGAACGCTTCTTGAACAGCACAGTAATTATTCAGTATGCCGCCGCCAAAGTAGGCCGGGTCATCGCTGTTCAAAGAAAATTGGACTCCGAGGTCCAGGAACTGCCGTAGTGGTAGTGAGTCAATAGACTTAGCAGTGCGCAAGTAAACGTTTGACAGTGGGCAGATAGTGAGCAATGTGCCCTTTGCAGCGATTTCTCTCAGAAACACTGGGTCCTCAACCAAGCGAATACCATGATCAATTCGCTCAGCATGTAAGAAATCAATCGCTCCTTTGATGTAAGAAACATCGCCTTCCTCACCCCCATGGGCCGTACGTCGCAAGCCAACTTCCTTGGCTTTCTCAAATACATTCTGAAACAGCTCTGGTGGGAATCCAACTTCGGAAGAGTCCAATCCAACGCCATGGATAGAGCCATCTTGTATGAAGTCGGTTGCAGAAGCAAAGGTAGCCTCGGCGGATGGCACGGGTAGGTGACGGAGGAAACACATTATGAGGCGAGATGTGACCCCCAACTCGGATTCTGCCCGGTCCAAGCCCCGCTTATAGCCTCGGATGACGGAGGCTATAGGGATACCACGTGGGGTGTGCGATTGCGGATCAAAGAACACTTCTGTGTGGTGAACCCCATCAGCATAGGCTGCACGAGCATAGGACCATGCCAATTCGAAAAAGTCATCCTCGGTGATCAAGACTGACATATTGGCGTAATGAATGTTCAGAAAGTCGTCGAGGTTGTCGAACTTCTCATATCTGGTTGCCAGCACCTTGGGGCTTTTGTAGTGCGGCAAATCAGGAAGAGCAATATTGTTCTTCGCCGCGAGCGAAAAGACCAGTTCAGGGGTCAAAGCACCCTCAAGATGCATATGATGCTCACATTTTGGGAGATTTAGAAGGAATGAATGTAGCGGTGATTTGCACATGATTTTGGGGTTTCTTTTAGTTGAAAAATAGCAGTCACCTTTTTATTTCAAGTCACTTTGCCCACCTCTTCCACAGTATATATATTATCCTGCGAGGGTAGTTGCCATAGTCGGATCTGGCTATCTAACGTGTAATGGCATGAGAAATTACGATAACCAAGATGAGCGCCTACCCAGGTGACGGAATTTCGTATCTGACTCACCCGCAGATATACCGAAGATAAAATATACCGAACTCCCGAGATCCTGCCTAGGTACGTATATGGAACGGTCCGGGCGTAGATCCGTGCAGGCGATAACGTTGAAACCCCACAAATATCCATGGATCCCCCAGAATTGAGATAAGAAATTAGTTAAGAAATTAGTTAAGAAATTAGTTAAGAAATTAGTTAAGAAATTAGTTAAGAAATTAGTCACTGTAATCAAGTGGTTAAGTGAGGTCTAGCTAAGCTCGTATAGTCAATAATGACTACCTGGAAACCTGCTCCCGAACCTTAAATTATATTATAGGATCAAGGACAATATACGAATTAATACTAGAGAAACAACAAATTACTGGTAGTGAAGTGATAGAAAACATTTTAAAAACATAAATAAGACCTTTACTATCTATGCCGGAAATGGTGAATTTCATATTGGTCCTTTGTATGGTTTCTACTTTGTGCAAGAAAATTCTTAGATCTAATTTTGGGGTGGAAGTATTCTTCGAGTTGGTATTTTTTTTTATCCCCGATACTGTCTAGCCAAGTTGGGACGGTATACTTCTCGCGGGACAAGACGGTAAACGCTGGTACTATAAGTCAGTATATCCCTTGACAATTGGTTGATAGCGCAAGAAGAACTAATTGCTTACTCTGCATTAAGCACTTTGTAACCAATATAGTGCAGCATCGTCCACCACTTTCTGCTCCCATCCCTCGGACGTCAAGGGCCCTATTACCTCCACAGGCGTTTGCCCTGCTTCAAAGACCGTTCGGCACGGCATATCGAGAGTCAGGTTCTCTGTGTTTCCGGGCCCTGTGAGCTCTAGCAATGCTTTCTCCGATGCCAGATAGATGACCCGTCCGATATGGGCCCAGTAGATGGATCCGGCACACATAGCACATGGCTCCCACGTTGAGATCATCGTACATTTTGCGAGGTAGCCCCAGTCGTAGTTATCCGCAGCATTACGGGCCAGTTCACATTCAGCATGGCGAACATGAGAGAGTGAGAGCGAGGTCATCAACACAGTCTCATTATCAGGGCTCAACAAAAGAGCCGCGAATGGTCGCTTAGAGTGGATACTCCTTCCAGACTTTTGGAGATCGAGGCATTTGGAGGCACCAGAGGCAAGTTGTTGTGGCGTGAAGGGAACCACATCATTGGAGATATTTTTAAGCGTCATGCTGGAATGAAGACAGTCTGTAGAAAGAGGTATTCAATACAGATAAAATACAGCGGAAAATCTTAAGAGGGTTGGATTCCGTGTAAAAAGGACCTTTTAATGCTATTGCTTGACGGTTAGTTTGTCCGAAAATCCGAACTTCCGAAAAGTGGCAGCGCCGACATCCGCCCGATATCACGAGGCAATGCTGGATAAACTCAACCGCGCGAAAGATGGTGCAAGAAACGTACTCCTTATCAGCCCCACCTCAGAAAATTCATAGGTCATTGAATACGATGGTAGATCCCTTTGGGGTATCGTCCAGCACCATCTTCGTCAGCCCCTATCTGAGACACATGTCTGCCACCCTTTCTTATCGACGAAGTTTATTACAATGACGGAGATTGTAGGAGATGGATAGTGCTCCTCAAAATGTATCTTCATTATAAAGCTTGGTTCTAATCACTGGCATCTTAGTGATGCGGACAATTTCCTCGACACATCAATCATGAAGATCCCCACCCTTCCTCATTTGCCGCGGTTCCAGTTGCACGCCGAGTCACGATGGACGAACAAAGATCTCGACCCCGTCCCTGCAGATCAAAGAAAATGGACGGTCCTTAGTTTCATCGGCTACTGGATTTCAGATTGCTTTTCCGTTGCGAATTGGCAGCTGGCGAGCAGCATCATCGCTATTGGACTATCATGGAAAGACTCATTGGGAATGGTAGCTCTAGGATTTTTCATCCTATCCATTGTGATATCCATGAATGGAGTCATTGGGGCTATATATCATATCCCATTTCCGGTCATTGCGCGCGCAAGCTGGGGATTTTGGGGGTCCTACATTCCTATCATTTCACGATTGATTCTCGCTGTGTTTTGGTTCGCCACTCAAGTTGTGAATGGAGGAAACTCGGTAGCTGTCATGATTGGAGCTATCTGGCCAAGTTTCCTGGACATTCCAAATACGCTTCCAGAAAGCGAAGGCATTACGACCCAGGGTATTATCGGGTTTTTCATTTTTTGGCTTCTTCAGATCCCATTTCTACTCGTCCACCCAAACAAGCTACGCTGGCTATTCCTCGCCAAGTCTGTTGTTGTGCCAGCTGCATGGATCGCTATGCTCATCTGGGCTTTTGTCAGTACATCACACACAGACATTCTCCTTGCACAGAAAAGTCAGTTGTCTGGCTCATCCTACTCCTGGGCTATGATGTCTGCTTTGACATCGGTTATTGGAAACTATGCCAGTTTGAGCGTTAGTCAAGCAGACTTCTCGCGATATTCCTGCGTCAACCCTCGGTGGCATATACTATATGTTTTTTTACTCCCAGCAATGTTCACATTCATCGCATTCATCGGGATCGCTGTCTCATCTGCTGGACAAGTCAAATATAATACCGAATCAATCCCCTGGGATCCCAATGTTCTTGTTTCATTGTGGAGCAATCGCGCTTGTCAATTCTTTGGAGCATTCTCCTTTGCTCTCGCCGCACTTGGGTCCAATATCTCTGCAAATTCGTTGGCAGCAGCAAATGATTTCTCGGCTCTTGCACCTCGATTTATCAATATTCGGCGTGGTCAATTACTCTGCGCTCTGTTTGCCTGGCCATTGGTTCCTTGGAAGATCCTTGCGTCGGCTGGAAATTTCCTTAATTTCATGGTCGCCTATGCAATTTTCCTCGGACCTATCGCCGCCATTATGCTTTGCGATTACTGGATTGTTAAACGCCGAAAGTACGACTCTGTCGCCCTATATCAGCCTATGGGCATTTACAGGTACTTCCACGGGTTCAATTATCATGCTTTGATAGCTTTTATTGTCGGGACAGTACCTAGTCTCCCTGGGTTGATGAATTCAGTAAACTCAAGTATTCAAATTGGAGTTGGAATCCATCCATATGAGTTTGGCTGGCTTTTAGGGTTTGTTGTCAGCACGATGGTGTATGTTGGTTTGAATATTGTCTTCCCTCAGACCGATGCGCAAATAGATACCGCTATCTTTCCGGACACCAATTTGGAGGGACTTGAACTGGATGGCAATGGTTCGAAAGTCGCTGCAAAAGTCTAACAGCCTTGTGTTCTTGGGGCTACTTGACCAATATTTCCATTCGAAAGCCTTTCTCGTATTTAGATGATAAAGAACATGACTGGTTCCACACAAAACATCTGCTGCTCATTAGAACTTAATGCCTCCATAAATCTCTTTCAATTCAAATAAATACCTCGTAATATAAACCATGAGAAACATCGGTATTTCATTATACCAATATACCAAACGCCGTAACTTGCTAGGTACTAGGTCTCGCTCCATGATATTCAGGGCGGGTGTGGAGGACATCCCCTCTCAAACTTAAGTCAAGTCGATAACCGTATTTTGTTTGTTATATTGCTCAGATATTAAGTGATAGATTAGCTCACCAAATGTATCTAAGTAATTCTACAACGCATCAAATGGTCGGGTCAATCTTTGCTGTCCCGTACTTCGACCCGTATTCATCCACAATCCACTTGCAAAATTCCTCCCAGTCCTTATTCCAAGCTTGAATGTGCTTAGCCTTGGTACTCGTTCCGTCCTCACCGCGGTCAATATCTTGGATCCAATCGTTGTCAGACTGGTCTTCGAAGTTTGCCCATCGTAGACTGTTCTGTGCCAGCGCACCCTTTTTGTTGACTAGTGTAAGCAATCTGCGCAAATCTTCAAGATGAGAATAACTTACCAATCCAGCGAGACCAATGTTATCAAAGGCTTGGATAGTTTCATAGAAATCGTAACTCAAACCTGCCACGTCTTGTCCAAGGATGGCTGGATCGTCGTTACTGATTGCGGTCGGAATGCCGTGAGCAATCATCGCCGGCAAAGGATGGTGGAGAACATCCTCATTCAGACGCAGCACTTCGTTCGAAATAGGGCATACTTCGATCATGACATTTTGCTCAATCACTTGACGGATCAAGTTCGGGTGTTTATATAAGGAGAAGCCATGGCCAATTCGTCGCGTGTTAAACAGAACTGCATCGAATAAATTTGAATCTGTCGAGTTTCCGTCTCCCAGGGTTTCTCCGGCATGGAAGAAATACGGAATGGTGAGATTCAAGGCATCAGTCTGTTCACGGAACCAAACCAGTTCCGGTGCTAGATCAGAAAGAGGACGTCCTAGATCTTCTTGGGCAACCAGGTCGTAGCCACTGAAGAGCTCTGGGAAATTTTGCTTCCTCTGGAGAGCAATTTTCATACCTATCAAGGTCAGCAAACTAGCTTTTATAATGGGTTGTTTGTCATACTCTTGGTAATTGCAGCGCGGTTCTTTATGCGCGCATCCGACCAAATAATTCTAGCACCCAAGAAGTTTTTGCCTTGCTCGGTGGCCTTGAAATTATCAATCTCCTCGACCAAAACATGCCACCACGCGTCGAGGTCAGGATCAATATCTTCGTCTCCATTGTGGACCAGCTTTCCACTTGATCCACCGCTTCGGATCTCCACCCAGTTGATACCATCGCTTGCCAGATCTTCGAAGAGTTTCTGGTAAAACTTCCTAACGACAGGTTCGTACTGTACCATGGTATCAGCCGGACCAAAGCATGCCTGGAACTTTCTCCAGATCTCGTCGACACCTAACTCATGACGGATCGACTCTTCCGGTGAAATGGTTGTCTTACTTCTGATAAATTCAAGGAAACCCGCTTCGCCACCTTCAAAGCTGGCTGCGGCGGTTTTGACAAGAATCTCTGTGCCTGGGACGTAATCAGAAGCATCAATTCTGGACTGATTGCTCGAAAGAGTGCCGTTATTATGGGCAAAGGTGATAGTGGCGTTTTGCTTGGCGTCATCGGTGTCAACAGGTTGCGACGCAGAAATGACCATTCCTTCAGTGTGGATGATGATTTCCACGATTTTTTCAAACGGCAGCATAGCCGAAAGATGAGCATGCAACAGTGCGCCTTTGGGCATACGCTTGATCACCTTCCAAAGGGTCGTGTTGGAGATGTAAGGTCGAGCAAGAGGGAACACCTCTCCTGCAAATCGTTCCTCCTCGCCGTTCGGAGTGCCAGCTACTCGCCAGTAATTGTCAATCTCATCCTGTCGAATGGCTTGAACAATCTCATCAGCCTGTTTGGCAGTGGAGGAGAGACTCTGGCGGAAGATGTGATCTGCGTGACTGGTCAGTTCTTTTTCGCTCAAAATAAACAGTTTAAGATTGTCTCAAACAAACCCTGGCGATGTGTCTTTTCCAACGCAATTAGCTTCGCACGGTCTCTGAGATGCTGCTTCACCAGAGTAGCATTGACGTTTGGCTCTCCCTCAATTGCCAATCCCGCGGAGACCCCCGAGATGGAAAGAGTGGCTAACCCGAGTACCGAAAGCAGACGCATGATGGTTAGTTGAGTCACCGATAGGGGAATAAACCTTCAATCTACGCCATTGTAGGGAGACACTATATATACACATAGGTAGGTATATGGTGGAGCTGAGGAAGGGTTCAGCTTGAAGCCCCTTTGCGGGTCTGGTCGGGTTGGTCTTGCATGGTCACACCAGCATACTGCATACTCTGATTAAAATTTTCGTTCCTGAAGATGATTATTGCCACGAATACAGCACTACTGTACGTCTGATCATTTTTGTACAAATAAATGCCACCATGCCTCCATATCACACTTAGCCTACGGAGTACTGTATATTGTCATGTAAACACCAGCAGAGATTACAATGTGTAGCGGCAACGATAATCAGCGTAGGTCATGATTTCTTGGCTACTGTACAGTACTGCCACGTTCCTAAGAAACCGATCTACCGATCGATTGTGGGTTTCGTAGCATAACTTTAGCTTATGGATGCACAAAAAGAACAATATCCCTTGCAGTCTCTCCATATCTCTTGTTACGCGAGCAATATTCAGTGGATATCGGAAAGTGTTTTGTTCAGGCTGGAGATTCACAGATGTACAACAGATGCTCTATGCATGCTCTGTGTTACATGTCTGATCTTATTTCTGCACATTATTGATGGTTCGGGCCGTTATGGAGCTGATCTGTTGATGAATTCCCATTCTCGGCCTAGCCTGGATTGCCGCATGTTGACATTCTCTCCAAGACATGAGGAAAAGACCGAATGGCGCATATTTTCTCAAACAGCTGGCCAGTCATAGACAAATCGATCAAAAAGGGCTCAGGCCCCTGCAGCTTCATTTCCGTCTATTTCAAATCGGCCGTGCATATTCGATAGTTTGTCTTGGCGATCTCGGCATGTCTAGCGTCCGGTGCTCCCGGGGACTGTGATTGGGTAGGTTTCGAGGGGTGCTAGGGAAAAAGAACTTAACATAGCTTGTTCAGCTTGGGCGAGTCAAATTCGGACCATCTGGTGGAGCGCCGATCGCCGATACCCCCCTGAGCTCGAGTCATACAGCTCGTGCGTGTTGGAACAATTAACTCATAGGTAACATGCGGCATAGCTCACTCTGCATGAATTTTCATTCAGAAATTTCCGCCAAAGGGGGCTACTAGGCACCGCGTGGGAGTCACGGAAAAAGGTACATGATGCAGAGTGAGTATAGGTATGATCCGTTCTGAGCAGACACGTTAGAAGTGTCACAATATACATATGTATAAGTGCCTAATGAATGAGTCGACCGTTGCGCCACTTGACTGTGAACTGTCGATTTGCGGGGCTTTCCTTTCCTCCCTAATACTGTTCCTTCGTGTCCTGTGGATTGACTTATGAAATTTGTGTATCTCCCACTTGGATTGGGTAGTTCTTCTTGCCTTTTTAAACGATCGTTTTATACATACACGTAAAAGCCATGGTTATCCAAGACTCATCCAGTCCATCAGCACCTCCAAAGGGACCAAAGCCACTATATTTGACATAGCTATCGGGTAAGACTAGAATGTTGTGGATCACCAACAAATTGATGTACAACGTGATGTTTAGTCATCAAGAATTGCTCGAACGGGGCACAGTAATATATGAAAATCCGCACTTAGGCTCGATCGTCACCCCATTGAATAGAACTATGTTAACTTGAGCCTCGGGATATAGTTTACTTTAAAGTAATAAGAAGCAGGTCGTATCTCAAACCGAGCGACGACATATGCATAAATATCAAAATTCTCAAGCCTTAGGATAGACAGGGTTGAAGTATCACATAAGCTTTCTTAGCCCTCCACTTTCAGCTAGGTAGCATCTTATGCTAGATCTTTAAAATTTGTTTTAGGCTTAGCCGTTGCAAATACCATGTACGCAAGCAATTGGCAAACAGTATCGCGTGTAGTCCTCGTTCCGACATGACTCGTCCAATACAAGGCAACGAACCGCAGGGGCTGCTGCACTCGCAGCTCTTACATTGAGGTTAGCGCATTACATCATAGAGTATAATATATTGAGAGCTGTGTTGTTATAGATGGCTCACCGAAACATGTGCTCCTGCTGGTCTAGGGGTCGCTATTGTCGTCAAAGCACCGGGAGATAGCACAGCTGCAGTGGATATGAACGTCATTCGAAGGAGCTTATAATGTGGAATAAATGCGCCTTTTTCGCTTCTGGTCACGTATCGATTGCTAGCTTTGAGATGCGACGAAGAATACAAGTAAACCTTCACTCCAACTCCGTATTTGCTCGCTATGACTATGCCTATATGAGAATAGTTCCAGTTCACTGGATCCATTCTAGCGGTTCAAGTTCCACTAGGGTAACCCTACACTTCAGGGACAAGGGCTTCTTCTACGCCTGACGGAGGTGGAAATATCTGTTCTAAACTTAGGAGGATCTCTTGGAATGATTCGGAGTGCTTAATTCATACTTTTGCTCGTCATTAAAAATTGCCGAGATAATCGGAACTAAGTGATGATTACTTAATTGAGTAGGATATAACTAACTAGTGCCTGGGCCTCGCGCAGTTGACTGTTTGGGTGAACCCTAGGCATGAATCATACAACTATGCTCCCGAGTAACAAGAATTAGCCACCAAGCGCACATTAAACCCCGGAAAATATTAACATCTCACGGGGCGAGTGATCCGGCTATTTATATTCGTGTTCACGCTCCGTTTTTCAACTTTCCTTTCCCATCCCTCGACTACCCCTTGATGAGACCTTAGGTATTCAACCCGAGCCCAACATGGTCCAAGCAACAGCCTACATTGTCAAGGAGAAAGGGTCTCCTTTTGAGCGCATAACTGTTGAATTGGAAGAGATCCAAAGTCAAGAGGTTTTGGTAGACCTTCAAGCAACTGGTATTTGCCATACTGATCTCGCTGTCCAACATGGGAAAATCCCAATGCCCTTCCCCGTCATTCTCGGTCATGAAGGTTTGTCTAAAACCCCTTTGCTTTTCAATTCAGAGAAACTCCAAAATAACAGAAACAAGGTGCTGGAATAGTCCGTGAGATCGGCTCGGCGGTCACAAACCTCGCAGTAGGAGACCATGTGGTTCTTTCCTTCAGCTCCTGCTCGGAATGTCGCAGCTGTAACACTGAAAAGCCTTGGCAGTGTTTGGATATGCATCAGCGCAACTTCGGAGGACGCAGACCGGATGGGTCCCAGACTATTACTCCCGCCTCTGGGGAGACTAGCACCTGCTTCTTCGGCCAGTCTTCATTTTGCAATCCAGCAGTTGTTCAGCAGGCTTCCTGTGTGAAGGTCGATAACAATCTGCCGCTTCCTGCTTTATGCTCCCTAGGTTGTGGGTTCCAGACAGGCGCTGGGAGTGTGTTCAATGTTGTCCAACCGATTGAGAGAAAATCGCGACATATCGCCATCTTTGGAGTAGGTGGTGTTGGAGCTACAGCAATCATGGCTGCTCATATCCTTATGCAGGAGAATCCCGGCGTGATTGAGGCTATTGTTGCTATTGATCTTGTAGACGAACGGTTGGCCTTAGCCAAGCAACTAGGCGCAACCCATGTCATAAACTCGAAATCCCAGGATCTTGAAGGGAAGATCGCTGAGGTTACTAACGGGGATGGACTCGATGCGGCGATAGACTGTACCGGTGTCATCCCTGTTGTTAACTCGATGGTTAGCTTGGTCGGAGCAGGTGGGGTTGCCGTCACTGTGGGAGGACCGTCCCCAGGTCTCCAGGCATCTATTGACGTCTTCGAGATGTTGATCAAGTGCAAAACCTATTGCGGAACCCATCAGGGGAATTCGGATTCAAAGACTGTGAGTTTGCGGACATCACATTAGAAATATTTGCTCTAACGCGTCTCCTAGTTCATTCCATTCATGGTTAAGCTCATGGTAGAAGGCAAATTATCTTTTGAAAGGCTGCAAAAGTACTACAATGTTACCGATATCAACCAAGCGGCAAGTGATATGGAGATGGGACTTGTTGTGAAGCCAGTGCTACTATGGGAATGATGACATTGAAATGATCTAAGAAAGCCATTTTTGACAAATCGATTGTATTACGATATGTGCATAATAGTGTATCAGTAGTGATCAACAAGAAATATATAGTAATAAACATTCCTAGTCTTTGCCTATGCGACCTCTGTCCTAAAAGACGTAGGATATACTAAAGTCGATCCATTTGTATAAGTGACGTCATTTGAAATCACACTGCGATATATTTTTGGATATTTGTTTTTCAAATTATTTGCTCCTTCACAGCTAAAGATAAAAGGACGAGAAGAAAGATGACTTTTCTATGTATAACCAGCATTAAAGGGACTAAGGTATAAAGCCCAAGAAAAAGAGCGCCGCATGCCACCCGATCGGGTTTAGTGTCCCCCCATGCATCGCGATGTCAGTGGCTTTGGCCAAGCACAAAGGTTCGTATTGCTGAAGAACATATCCATTCAAGTCTCAACACCCATAGATAGACAAGATCATTAAGATTGACAATATTACCGCCTCGAGGATCATCAAGCAGAACTTCCAGAAATGGTTCAACGCAGCGAACTGGAGCCGCGTATCGCGTCACTGCCCCCAAGAGCTATCCTGAAAAGATCTGCAGAGCGGCACATCGGATCGTATCGAGGCACCCCACGACACGGAAACACCAATAGATTGAGACGGTTCTGGATGACCCCCAAGTAGTACAGCACAAGGCTAAGTGTGACACAGCCCTGTACCGCGGAGAATAAACGTCATGCTTAATTTATGGCAGTTAGAAGGAGATATAAGACCACGCCGGCATGCAGCATTCATTAGGATTCCAGCCTCCATCGACCTCTACCTTCAACTGAATAATTGATGAAGTTTTGTGAAAAAGTATCATGCGGGTGCCAAATTATGTGCTCGCCAGTTTGATCTGCCTCCCGGCAGCTTTCGCCGATCTTCTAGGGCCATCGTATCCTCCCCCCAGAGACTTGTCTAGCAGTCACAGTCGGGTCGCCGCCAGTTGGAAGAATCTGACTGCCCAACTTAACATCGTTCTCACCGATAGCCATGTCAACAAAACCAGTGGAGTCTTTGCACTGAAAAACCTCACATTCTCTGCTGGGTTATTTTCCACACTTGACCCGAAAGCCAAAGATCTTCAATTTCACCACACGGCGAACGAAGTCGCAAACTCTAAGGTTGGAGTGAGGAAGGTGGATGGAAACAGCATCTACAAGGTCGCTAGTGTATCGAAACTCTTTACAGTTCTTGCCGGACTCATAGAGCTGAAGCCCCATGACTGGGACCTTCCACTCACCGACATCTTCCCATTCTTGGCCGACCGTGTTCACAAGCAACACGATAAGCTCCGGCTTGCGTATGATGTCCAATGGAACAAAGTCACCCTCAAATCCCTTGCGGGCCAGATGAGCGGCATACCCCACGGTGCTACAGAAGAATTCCTACAAACCTTCCTTCTATACAAATACCTCGAACGCTCTGACAATCCCGCGTTGACCGATCCAAACTTCTACGGTCTTCCACCTCTGAACGAGAGTGACTTGACGCTATGGCCATCATGCTTGGGTGAACAGACCCAGGGGTGTGACGCAGTCTCCTGGGATGTGGCATACGCCCCACGACCTCCTGTTTACCTTCCCTGGACAAGCCCCGAGTATGCAAACGGCGGTTACATCTTTCTTGGTCTGGCGATTTCAAATCTCACAGGAAAGACCATGGATCAATGGTATAATGATTCCATCTTCGAACCTCTTGGATTGAAGTCCACTTACTCATCACCGCCTGATAACTCCACACGCCCCCATTCCGTCACATCGGAGGGTCTTGATGAGCAGTTCGTCCCCGATGGAGGCACTACAAACCCCTCTGGTGGGTTGTTCTCTACAACCAACGATCTCTCCAAGCTAGGCGTCGCCCTCCTAAATTCCACCCTCCTCCCTTCTGAAAAGACCCGGGAATGGATGAAGCCTGTCACTCACACCTCAAGTCTCCGCTACTCCGTCGGCTCACCATGGGAGATTCATCGATTCGTCCACGCAGGCTCAGGTATAGTCACCGATCTCTACACAAAACTCGGAGACTCGGGATTTTACGGCGGCATCGTGGTCGTGATACCGGACTTCAACGCCGGCTTCACTCTTCTCTCAGCCAGCACGCAGCCTAGCCGCAGCAGCGAGGCGCTCTTGGCAATCGACCTTATCGTTGATGCCATCCTCCCAGCGCTTATGGAGCAGGCCGCAGCAGAGGCGGCGCAGAAATATGCCGGCACGTACAAAGCCGACGACCTGAATTCGTCATTGACACTCACTGTTGTTCCACCTATCCATCCTGCGCCTGGCTTGAATATCACATCATGGATTAGCAATGGTACAGACATCACGGATTTAGTCTCTACACTCCTTGGTGGTGTCGGGTCACGACTTGTGCCCTCTATTGTCTCTGAGAAGGCCACTGGGGAACTCGCTTTCCGGGCATACACTGCTACGCAGAGTCGGGGATCCGGAGTGGGTTCCTCGTCCAGTCTTTTCTCTTCTTTCTACGATCTCAACGACTGGACTATGCTGGACCAGTTAACATGGGGCGGTATTGCTACCTCGCTCTTCGTTTTCGGTGTCGAGGAAAACGGAACTGTCAATTCAGTGACACCAGGTGCCTACAGAGTGAAGATGGCGAGGAAATAATATGATCAAGCCAGAATTTGATTGGAGGTATGAACGGAATAGAATGGAAGAGAGATATAGTTGGATTTATTGCGTCGCTTCTATGTACACATAATCAATATAATTTCGAGAAATTTCAATACCCGTCCCTCTTTCCTTGGACCTTAGAGCTACCCTTGGCCTTCTCTAATTCATTGAGCATTCCGTCACCGAAGACAGCAACGTCAGTAGTGATGGAAACCATATCAAAGCCCTGCTGTGTGCGGCGAAGAGCGTCATCTCCATCGGAGCCTAGAGATTTTAATGTTAGACACAAGCTCGGAGAAAACCAACAAATACAACACATACAGAAGATAGCAGCCTTCTTTCCTGCCGATCTAGCAGCATTCAAAACACGTTGGATAGCAGCCTCGTGCTCCTCGCCACCGCGGGTGACACGCATCTGCTTAGCAAGATCGAAGGGTCCTAGAAAGAAACTGTTAGCCAATTCCATGAGTCAAAACGGAAAAATCCAATCTCACCAATAAACAAAACATCAAGTCCATCGACCTTGGCAATCTCCTCTACATTCTCAACACCAGGCCGAGACTCAATCTGCACAATAACCAGCACTTCGCCGTGGGTCTTCTCGTCGTACTCGGCGGGCTTCACACCAGGGAATGAATGCGGCGTATACATGGGCCCGTATCCACGGACTCCGACAGGCGGATACCTGCAGTAGCTGACGACCTTGGCAGCGTCCTCCTGTTGAAAACAGAAACAGAGGTTAGCAACTAGGTATAGTTTCGGGTAGCGGTCGAGGTCGCACATACTGCAGAGTGACACATAGGAGTCATGACACCGTGGGCACCGGCATCAAGAGCACGCTTGATCATCCACTCTTCGGGCCAGGGCACGCGGATAATAGGACTAGCACCCTCATGGCCGACGGCATTGGTGAGCTATATGTATCTGTTAATATTCTTATACTCAGATGCATTTCACCTGTGGAAGGACAAACCTCGTAATAGTGGCTATCGTTAATCAATCCATGTTCGGCGTCAACTAGGACCCAGCTGAATCCACCTTCCGTGAACTCGGGGCTGCGGCGGAGAATCGTCTTTGCGACTGGGGCGCTGGGGAGGCTATTTGAGGACGTCAGTTAGGTTTTCTTGTTTCTTAATTTGATAGAGAGCTTTGAGGTTGAATTGAAGAACAGCGGGGAGATGGTACTGCCACTATCCAGATGCGGGGGATAAACATACGTCAACCAGAAGCCGTATGCCACTGGGGTGGTTTGCAGGGCGGAGCGGAGTGTAATGGAGGACATAGTCTAAGACATAGAACAAGTTTTGTAATAGATGCAGAGTAGACGGGGTGTCTTTTCTCTTTAACGATGTTCTTCATGTTCTCCATGCGGGGACATCTCGGTCTTCCTCCGACCGATTACCCGAGGCCCCCCACATCGTTTGAACAGCCAATTTATTTCGGAGGGTTGATACATCTGTTTGGCTATTATTTATGGCATCTACATATGCAGACTGAAACGTATTTTGTTATCGACATCCTCATGAAGTTTAAAGTGAGTAGTTGAAATTATTGGGGAAGTAAACGCAACTAACTAGGGCTACTACCCCCTGTATAGCACCCCACGGGGAATCCCCTCGGTGCTAGACTCCCCCGAAGGACCGAATATAGTCAAGTGAGAATGATAAATATGCTTAGAACGGTCGATTGTATTGCCTCTATACCGGACGGAATAAGGCAAAAATATGGTATTTGTAGTTTTAACTCGGTCACCATGACGCCACGGCCAGTAGAATTAGAACTCTTTTTCTTGACGACAACATAGATAGATGAAAAGTCTCAGGCATTTGAAACGAAATGCCCAACGACGGCTTATTGACACCTTTCTTGGGTGCACTACAAGCCTGTGTTTCTGTGCTGTTGACAATGTGCTACGGTTTTGTTGCTCGCCGTCTCAATTTGATCCACGAGACTACAATCAATGACATGTTGGGATTAGGCGTGAAACTCCTCTTACCGGCACTACTGATCGTGCATCTGGGTGAACAGCTTCATCTCGGGACAGCGATGAACTATATTCCAGTTATAGGTATATCACAGTGACCCTTCATGAACCCAGCATAGCTGACCCATCGCATCTATCTACCATTGCTAGTCTGGTCAGCCCTTTACACAACTGCATCAATTGGCCTCGGGCATTTCTTATCCCGTCTGCTTGGCCTTCCCCAATGGGTTACACCGGCTTGCTCGTTCAACAACACTACATCTCTACCCTTGTTACTTCTCCACTCCCTCAAGAGCGTAGGAAGTCTGAAGCTGATCCTACGCGATGGCGAAACCACATCGTCAGCAATCGACCGTGCTCAGAGTTACTTCCTAGTCTACGGCGTGATTAGCAAGACCATCGCATATATAGTCGGACCAAAGATGTTGCACGATCGCGGTGATAATCTTAGTATCCCAGAGGAGCGACAACGCACCGCAAGCATCCTCGCAGAGGACGAACAACTTACCGAAGAAACCTCCCTCCTCCCACAGCGCGCCCAACAAGCCCGAGCATCAGCCGGCAATCTAATCCAGCGATCGACACACTGGCTAGGCTCATTATTCTCTCACAGAGTGAAACAAGAACTCCTCGCACCCTTCGAGTCCCCATTCGCCGACGTGGCAATACTCTGCACGATTCTCGGTACGGTACTGGGACTAGTTCCTCCATTGCACCGAGCATTCTTTTTTGATGAAGAAGATGGCGGGATATTCAATGCGTGGCTGACTGCTAGTGTCAGTCACATTGGTGGGCTGTTTACAACACTGCAAATCTTTATGGTTGGATGTAAGCTTGGGATTACGTTCGAGCGGATGGTTGCAGAAGAATATTCGGGCCGAATTCCTGTGAAGGCTATCACGACTATCTTTGTTGTTCGTTTAGTAGTCTGGCCAGCGCTGAGTGTTTCACTGATTTATGGACTGGCTAAGAGGACTCGTCTCCTTGGTGATGATCCCATGCTCTGGTTTAGTATGATGCTGATGCCTGCTGGTCCACCGGCGCTGTTGATATCCGGGTTGGCGGAATTGGCGCAGGCGTCTGAGGTGGAAAAGATGGTTATTGCGAAGACTTTGACGGTATGCAGTGATGGATTTACGATAAGAAAGAAAACACATCCCGCTGACTATATCTAGATCATGTATGCATTGTCGCCATTTGTATGTTTTAGTATCACGGGAGCGCTTAAAGCTTCGGAAGCAGTGCTTAAAGGGAAACGATGAAGTCTACATGTCAGGAAAAAAGACTTGCAATAAAATTAATTTTGATTCAAGAGATTCAATTTCACCTCGAGAAATTTCAACTCCTTTCGCTCTTGGTGCTCAAAAGCTTCGTTGGGTTCATCAAATCGTCACGATATTCATCATCCACCTTGGAAAAAAGAGTGTTGTAGTATTTGGAGTCGGGAGTCGGGAGTCGGGAGTGGTGGAGAAACAATTTACTTCTAATATTAAGACAATTGTATTAGCCTTTGCAACTGAAACATTATGGGCATATCACATACTCCGCATCCCTTGCAGTCACACTTGTCGCCACATGAGCAGGTCTGAGCACCCCCGGTACAGGTGCAAGTAGATCCGCATCCACAACCCATGATGAAGGATGTGGGATAAGTTGGAAGATTGAAATAGTATATGTATATGAATGGTTGTAGTATTATTGGCGATGAGACTGAAGGGGACCTTGGAGACTGCAAAATAAGCAGTTTATATATCCGTACTGGCATCATCATCATGGCGTCAGTGTCATGAAGTATACAAGATATGAATCACGTGGTTTATACACCTGGGCAGCTTTCCAAGGTTTCCTATTGGAATTATGTAATGGAGTGGTAATCATCAGATAGCATGCGTGGCAATGTAGATAAAGCAGAGTGTACGTATCATTCACATACTACATGGTTGAGAACCGAGTCGTCAACCCCTGTTAAACTCGACCCCACTTTTTTGTAAACCTCGATAACTTTCGAAGCATTTAGGGTCCCGGAGTATTCTATGTACTATAGTAAAAAGCGCCCGGGCTACCTAATTAGGGTTAGTCTTCCTCGATTTTACAAATATTCGAATGGGAGTTTTGAGGCCTACCATCCCATCCACGTGACTACTATATTGGCCTGGCTTAGTATTCTGCCAGGTTCAAAGCCCCCGAGGCCCCTTAAGTTTCCTAATATAACAAAAATGACACATTACATCACTCAAAATGCCAAAGGCCTCACTACTTTAGAAACCCCTTTATTTTCAAAGGATTTACTCTCCGACAATCCGAACGGGGTTTGACTGTTGGTAAGGCAAAAGGTCGGAGGTGGGGCAGTCACGGAGGTGGGTCTAATAAGGTTTCCAAGGTTCCTTCTCTCTATCCGGGCCGGACCGATCGCCGACCGTCGACTGCGACTCCGAGCGATCTCGGAATCTTCGAGTGATGGGTATTGTATCCATTCGCATCAGGGGCGTCAGTAGAATAATTATTATACCTAGAGATGAGTCAATTCCAGCTGAGAAAAAAGAAGACGCAAGGTTAGTCCAGGCGATCTACTGGACCTGCCTTGACACAACCTAGCTGGCTTACTCCCTAGTCATACCTGCCAGGCATATTTTACCTCGGACAACGACTTAGCAGGTAAATTGGACCAGTTGGATGTATGAGAGTATGAATGCATGCACCAAGTCAACTATTGAATCAAATCTATGAGTGTAATATATTACTAATGTGTGGATGTCGCCACTGTACCTGACTTTAGACATCGCGATTTTCCTGATTAGTGTGGCGCTCAGTCAGCACTCAAGTCGCGCTCCCAAGGCCAGCCTATTGCGCAGGATCTTTATCACAATCCGTTGCTCTCACGCCTATCACTTCTCTACTCTAGGTTATCTTTACACCTATATTCTATTTGGTCAGTTGTGTAATCATAGGTTTGTCACGTGAAATGCCAAAGAAGATAGACCATGCATTGCTCACAAATCGAGTAGCTCTTGCAAACACCATCATCCCCATAATGCAACAATTTTTGGTTATTCTGAATGCGTTTGCCTCATTTTCTTCCGCAACAGCCGCAATAATTTCCACTGCAAATCCTGCATCCCTATCTGGCTCACCTCTCGTTACCAATGGCGAGCATTTCTATCAGCGCATGTATGCGGTGCGCGCTATACCATTGGAACTACTGGCTGGAATTCTCCCATTCTGTCTTCGTGGTCCAGCAGTAGCTTCTGTCATTGCTGCCGCTGTGTTTGTTCAAGCAGCGGATGTGATAATTGGTGTTCGCAGAAAGGATGTAGGGATGGCTCTAGGTGCCTCATTTGCTACGGCAGCCCATGTTCTATATTTCTTTTCCATGCCTTCAGCTTGATTCAAGAAAATTATAAAATTGACATGGAGATATCTGAGGAATTACTGAATGATCTGTGCTCTCTTGGTTCTATTTTGTATTTATTGGCCAGCTCGTAAGTCATTAATGGCGTAGACTAGTCTTCTGTGATGTACAGATGTTTGCCGGAAACTCCACCTACCCCCTGGAGGGTTCCCCTGACTGGCATGGGGGTGATCTATGACGATGAAACAGGGATTCAGGCTCCTGGAACTCCAATTACTTATAGAGGCCGTCTTCCCAACTCATGACCACGGTCAAGGCTTTATAGCTTTGAGAGTAGTGGTCCAGGATATCCTCCTTGGTGCGTCCACCCTCATTTTTACAATGAAGTGAAGATGTTTGACAATTTCCTAGACGAAGCCAGTCTCTAGATTCAGGTCGATCCCCTTCCCCTCGTGCGGTAGAATGTGAAACGCCCAGACAACCTTAGCCATATCAAAGACCAATAGCTGCTTTGCTAAGAACGCAATCTACAAAGATAATATGCAGGTTCGTGGGTCATGACCTATGGCCTAGGCAGGTAGCAACAGTGCTGCCTAGAGCTCCCTATTTTGTGAGACTACTAGGCTGCTTGTACTAGGCACTAAGGCAAGAAAGTGGCAGACAATTATTGAGCAGCACAACTTCGCCCAAATGAACCTCACATTGTCACGCCTCGCTGACTTTAGTTCAATTATTCGCCATAATCGGGCTCTTGTACGCTACATATGGCTTTGCTTGAAACTCGAAAAATATAATTGCACCCAGTGTGCCTGAGATCCCCTCTGATGAGTGTGATCTGAATCTATACAGATAGCAGTCAATGCTGGTCAAAGTTGATGACCACCAGCATGGTTGAATTTCTGGTAGTCAAAATTTCACTGCACCCACAGCTAGTATCCACAAAGTTTTCCATGAAATCATGGGCGAAGGACCATTTGATGATGATACACAGTAAGACTAGTGGTGGCAGCAACTGCCATTAGTCCCAGTAGTAACAGGTGTGCAATGCTCTTCACACATCAGTAAGTACGCATATAGTTTTACTACTCTGGGTCTGTAGGGCATGTGGGAGCTTTCAACTGAAACTTCTCCTAGTATTAATGTTGATTTTGGCCATTCGATATCGATCGTTATCCACTGGAGCCGACCGAAAAATCCCCATATGTTGTAGATAGATCATTTTGAGTGGATAATTTGCCTTGCGAGATAGGTGTGAGGATACATATATTCAACCTCATCGCTCTTCTTTGTCTCAATTGCTAGTAGCTCCATACTGGTTTTACTGTAGTACAAATACCATGTATATGTAAAATAGCGAAATTCTCCTAGTAACTATAGTAAGACAGTACAAAATCGAGGTGTTAAGGCTTTAGATCTTGGGGACCTTCCTTTTCCACTACGCATATGTAGGCTACCTGGCATACCCAACAACCCAATCGTCTTTTTTTTTGGTTTTCTTCACTTTCGACAACCATTTGACATTTGCTATTTGAAATTTGACATTTGACGTCTGATATTTGACATTCCATCTTCGATATTCGGACATTTATTGCCTTCCGAGGTTGACTGGCATTTCTCTCCATCTCTTTATCTCGCGTTCTCTCCCTCTCTCTTCCCGATAAGCCACAACCAGTTCCCAACTCAAAGCGGAGAACATTACAACCGCGTGATTTAAGAAGATCTACAGCTCTTTGATCATTCGTTACATCTGTGACTATTAGCTCAAGCTAGTGACCATCAATTTGACCCTGTGACAACTGCATCGCCCCTCTTAAACGGAGCTCCCGGCGATTACTTATCGGACACCCGCCACCGCTTGAGGTCTGCTCACCTGGTTCTTCCAAAGAGCCAGGGGATTGGGCAGATCTAGAGATATTGTCGAACTGGCTCACAATACATCACCGCATCATCCCCTTATCACCTCCGACCACCCTGATCCTCCTTTACCCATCAATACAGCTCCCGCCTCGGTAGGCAATCCCGGGTCCCAAACGTCAGAGTTCCTGTCCGCCGCATCCCAACCACCCAGTTCATCTACCCCTCGGCCCAACCGTCGCCGCCGCCTTTCGAGCAGCCCGGATAACCTTGGTCCCTCCTCGGCGGGGACCGGACACTTTCCACCATTAGCACGTGAGACTACATCCCAGAATTACCCCAGCCAGCTTCTTGGCCGACCGGAAGGCCGACCTCCTTCCCCCAAGCGCAGGCGCCTGGTAATCATGCGTCCCGACGGAATATCAACAGAAAATGGCTTCGTAGACGCCTCGAACGAATCCCTTGCATCGACATCGAGGAAGACTGGTCTGAATGGACAAGCGGCAACCAACGGGAGCTCTCACACAAATGGCTCTAAAAGGCCATCCCAGCCTTCTACCTACTATGGCCATAATCGGGAGGAGGTCACGCGGATTTTGATACAGAGTCTCTATGAGCTGGGTTATAATGACTCAGCATCATTGTTAAGCTCGGAGAGCGGCTATGAACTGGAAACATCGGGCGTTGCAACGTTCCGGAGTGCAGTGTTAGGCGGAAGATGGCCAGAAGCCGAGAGAATCTTGATTCAATCGTTTCGAAATACCGGAGCACAACAGGTCGAAAGGAAACCCCCACAAGATGATACCCTGGTATTAGCAGAGGAGGCCGATCGGAACGAGATGCTATTCTATCTCCGACAACAGAAATTCCTCGAGTTGTTAGACGCGCGTGATCTAGCTGCAGCTCTCAACGTCCTTCGACAAGAACTGACGCCCTTGAATTTCGACGTTGAGCGTCTACACGCCCTATCAAGGTATTGCCGATCTACATACATTTCTAGAACACCATTTGCTTACCAGTTATTTTTGGTTAGTCTTCTTATGTGCCCCACAGATGTCTTACATGCCCAGCCGGGATGGGATGGCTCTGTTAGCTCGTCTCGTGAACGACTACTTGGCGAGTTGTCAAGTGAGCTCAATCTATGTCCAATGTCTGTGGTATACATGGCTTGCTAATTCAACCGCAGAATCCATTTCTCCTTCCGTGATGATCCCGCAACATCGTTTGGCTATCTTACTAGATCACGTCAAGCAGACCCAAATCAACAACTGTTTTTATCATAATACCGCCGAACCTCCGTCACTCTACTCTGACCATATGTGTGACCGAAACGACTTCCCGTTGGACGTCATTGTTGACTTGACCCACCACTCAGATGAAGTATGGTATTGCGAGTTTTCTCACGATGGCTCCAAACTTGTTACTGCTGGCAAGGACCATAATGTGCTCATCTATAACACAACAGATTTCAGTGTTATCCACAGACTTACGGAACACGAGGACGGAGTAGCGTTCGCCAGTTGGAGTCCAGATGACTCAAAACTAATTACTTGCTCGCAAGACAAGAAGGCGCGTGTATGGAGCGTTGAGGTAATTATTTCCACAATCTCATATAAATCCATAATCATATCATATGCTAACTCGGGCTGTGCATGGTTTAGAGCGGTCGTTGTCTGCTTACCATCAACCACCACCGTCAACCGGTGACTGCAGCTGCATGGGCAGCAGATGGTGAATCTTTTGTGACAGCCTCTCTCGATGCCGAATCACAGCTTCGTCACTGGAGCATGCGCGGTCAGTGTTTATACACGTGGAAAGGCGGATTCCGTGTACAGGACTGTGCCATTAGCGCCGACGGACGACGCCTTGTTGCTGCCGACACAGAGGCGAAGGTTCATGTGTACAACATGCTTACATACGAAGAAGACTACTGCCTCCCACTGCCGAGCAAACCAACCTCAGTTGCTATCAGCAAAGACTCGCGACATGTGCTTATAAATCTGGCTGAGGGTGAGATCCAACTAGTCGACATGGAAACCACTGCTGTTGTCCGTCATTTCAAGGGACAGAAGCAAGGCGAGTTTGTTATTCGGAGCACGTTCGGAGGAGCAGCTGAGAACTTTGTCGTCAGCGGAAGTGAAGGTGAATATCTCAACATCTCATTTCTGGTATCCCCACTAACTATCTCCAGACTCGAAAGTCTACATCTGGCACAAAGAGAACGGTAACATAGTAGAGACTCTGGAGGGACATATCTCTGGATGCGTGAACTCAATATCATGGAACCCAGCAGACCCGGGAATGTTCGCATCGGCAGGCGACGACAGTGCAGTCAGGATGTAAGAATCACTCTCATGCCCGTCTTACATTGAACAACACAACTAACTCAGAATTCTAGCTGGTCCCGAGAGAGCAATCGATCCCGTCCAGTAGGACCAGTTCAACGCAGCGGGATACCCTCGAATGGATCAACGCGCACTAGCGCATTGAGGACAACATCCGCTTTCTGATATCCGTGTACTGCACCTCGGCGATGACTACCGCGGCACTAGTTTTGTTCACGCTCGTTGCCTGTCTTTATTTAGTTTCCTCGCAATACCGTATCCGATTGGGGGAACATACCCGGAGCTTTGGATTGAAAGACGATACACCTGCTGTCTTGCAATGTTTTCATCTTCTTCTTGAATTCTCGTCTGTGTTCTTCTCTTCCCTCATCAACGGCCTAGCATATCCTCATCATGCTGTCTTCCGCATATACATCTTTTGAGTCCCCCTTTCACTCCTTATGCTGTCTACTCTTTGCAGCTAGCATCAATTTCTTTCAATACAGGAAGCTGGCGTTGGTCCGTATCTTCTTTCTGGTTCTGAGGAGTATATATGTTCTGTCCATTTTTGGTGCAGTTCCAAGTTGAGTTCTGCTTTGGGGGGCTTTCTTGGTCACTTTTAATTCAACTGTGTTTTGTTGCAAGTCTCGTTGATTGAATCAAATCTACTGTTCATATTCCTCGATCCTACGTAGAGCTAGCTAGGCCGGCCATAAGAGTAACAAACTTGTTGATGCGTATTGAAATATTACCCGGGGCCCAACTTCCATGTATGTATCTCGCTCACTGTTCTCTCTTCTTTTCTCTCCTTTTCTCACTACTGGCTCAAACTTATGTCGCTAGGCTAGAGGAAGACTTCTAGTCAAGAAGCAGGGTTACATTATACAGAAGTAAAGCTGATTCCATCATTCATGATTCCTAGTGTCAAAAAGTAAAGCAAAAAAAGAAACTCCAAACATAAAGAAAAAGTCCCTGCTACTTGGGCCGGAGGCCCGAAATTTTGGAAATAAGCAAAATCGTAAACACCTCCTGGGGTGTGCAAATCGGTTGGCATTCTTGAAAACTACCTCGGATTGTCAGCGTCTGATGTTAAGTGAATGGCAGTAATTTGACTTACTGAAATATGTTATTATCCCTTTCCTCCACGCTAGAGCTGTGCATTTCCCTCAAACCCATCGTTCCGGATTCCGAGTCATATTCAATCAACAATGCGAGCGCACTCCACTTGCAGGAGACCCCAGAAGGAATGAAGCCAAGTCACTTTTGGCGTGAGAAAAGATGTTACATTCAGAATGTGCAGTAAAATTATGAAAGCAAATCAGCAACTAGAATAGCATCGTTAGTATAGCAATAGAAAAATTGGAGCCGATTGGCTTACCGTTCATTGGCATCTCATCAATTTGGGTCGAGTAGTACAACTCGATGTCGCGAAGGATACGGACATCATCGCTGGTGACAAAGTTGATGGCCACACCCTTACGGCCGAATCGTCCGGATCGACCAATACGGTGAATGTAGTTCTCACGGTTGGTAGGCAGGTCGTAGTTGATAACGAGAGAGACTTGCTGGACATCGATACCACGGGCCCAGACATCAGTAGAGATGAGGACACGAGAATTTCCCTGACGGAAGTCTTGCATAATACTATCACGCTCCTTCTGAGGCATCTCGCCGTGCATACTGGAGACAGTGAAGTTGGCCTCACGCATCTTGTCGGCAAGCCAGTCGACCTTTCGGCGGGTGTTGCAGAAGATAACGGCCTGGGTGATAGTCAAGGTGTCGTACAGATCGCAAAGTGTGTCGAACTTCCATTCCTCCTTCTCGACAGCAATGAAGTATTGCTTGATACCCTCCAGTGTCAACTCGTCACGCTTGACCAGAACACGGACGGGATCAGTCATGAACTTTGTGGTCATGTCCAGGACATCGTATGGGAGGGTGGCAGAGACCACGACGACCTGCGTCGCGGGGGGCAGGTAGCGGTAAACATCGTAAATCTGCTCACGGAAACCGCGGTTAAGAAGCTCATCGGCTTCGTCGAGAACGAGCATCTTGATATGACGTGTGCGCAGGTTTCGGCGACGGATCATATCGGCGACTCGACCAGGGGTTCCCGAGACAACGTGTTGGCCGTAGTCGAGTTTCCGGATATCTTCGCCGACGTTGGTTCCTCCAATGCAAGCGTGGCACTGAACGTTCATGTAATCACCGAGGGCCATAACGACGGATTGAATTTGGGTTGCGAGTTCGCGGGTCGGGGACAGGACGAGAGCTATTACAAACCAGATCGTGGTTAGAATGGGATCTGATCAGACTTGACGGTGGAATTCGTACCTTGGGTCTCGCGCACAACGGTGTCAATGATCTGCAAGGTACTGATCGCGAAAGTGGCGGTTTTACCAGTACCGGACTGGGCCTGGGCAATAGTGTCGCGACCTTTGCAGATTTGAACAATCGCACGGGATTGCACAGCCGAAGGCGATTCATATCCATAAGCGTAAACTCCGCGAAGCAGGCTTTCCTTCAAGTGCATGTCCTCGAAGGTCGGCGCGACCGTCACCTCCTTGGAGGTGCTGAACTCCATGCGCTCTAGTTACTGTTAGCATGCTTCACGTTGACCCAAGGTTGGAACCGCATACCCTCGGCGCGTCTGTCGATTCCGTCCGCCATGATGTAGATTTGAATATTTCAACGGCAGATAATAAATGATATCTGGATTCACGAAGAGTGAAGCCTTAAGAAGTGAGGTCAACCGGCCCAACTTTTCGCGGTGGAAAGGTTTGGGTCACATGACCTTCCCGCAAGTTGGAGCTGCCAATTGCAAACGTCTTTTGCGATCGCCACAAGACCTTGTCAACACTCTTTGCGCGTCGATAAAAAGAAGCTCCTACGTAGCAGTCATATTGAAAATATGTTGCTCGAAGATCAAAGGTTCATCCACGAGGATCTAGAGCGGCTGGAACAGGCTATCGCTGATCGCGTGGCGGAAGAGCCCCGAAATGTGAGTATACCGCCGAACAATGTCAGTCACGTTTTCTAATAAACCAATTCGTTAGGCCCGAGGCCGTTTGGCTCGCGACCATGAAGTCGCCCAGTTCCTAGACAGAATCGAGAGCCAGTCGAAGCGACTCTTGGAGATCTACCAGGATGTTGATGGACTACGGGAGAAGGAAGTGCAGTCTATTTCAACAGGCGATCAATTCGATGAGTTCTACAAGCAGCTGGGCGAAATCAAAGAGCACCACAAACGCTACCCGAACGAACCAATCGAGAACCTCGAGCAAGCATACAACCGTCGTCAGACAGCGGAAGGAGAGGCTCCCCGCACCGCAATCGATAACATGTTCACTGGCGAAGAAGGGTTTGGGCAGTACCTGGATCTTACTACTCTTCACGAAGATTACCTGAATCTTCCTGGCGTTAAGCGCTTGTCATACGTCCAATACCTCGACATTTTCGACTCCTTCACACCGCCCGCCATGCCAATTAAACGAAAAGACAAGATCTCCGATCGTTACTTCAGCTATGTTGGCGAACTTGCTACCTATCTGGAGAGTTTCGTCAAGAGAGTTCAACCACTGCAACCCTTGAACGAGCTTTTCGTCAGCTTTGACGAGGAATTCGAAAAGCAATGGGCTGCGAAGGAGGTTCCGGGCTGGACAGAAGAAAAGTCCGAGAATGGTACATCTGGCCCAGCAACCCAAGGGACCGGCGAGGGCATTTGGTGCGCTGATTGCGAGAAGGAATTCAAGAACGAGAACGTGCACCGAAGCCACTTGACCGGCAAGAAACACATTCGGGCGGCAGAAGCCCGCAAAACAGCAGGCACATCCGACGAGAAGCCATCTGCATCCCAAGTCACGTCGTTGGCCCACAGCCTGAAGGAGCGCGAAGTTGCACGACGCGAACACCAAATTCGATCCCTGACGAATGTCCTGCGCGAGGAGCGACAAGCGACAAGAATCAATGTTGAGCGCCGACAGGGTATGACCGAACGTGAACGTCAAATGGAGTGGGAGGCTGTGCAGGCTGGCCTCGATCACACAGGTCCCGAGCCTCGCGCTGGCGAGGAATCGGAGGAGGAGGACGAGGAGATTGTTTACAACCCATTGAAACTGCCGCTGGCATGGGATGGAAAACCTATTCCATTCTGGCTCTACAAGCTCCATGGACTCGGTGTCGAATACCAGTGCGAGATTTGCGGAAACTATACCTACATGGGCCGACGAGCATTTGATAAACATTTCTCTGAAAACCTCCATGTCCACGGATTGAAGTGCCTCGGTATCACATCTAACACCAATCTCTTCCGTGAGATCACCAGTATCAATGAGGCCATGGCGCTTTGGGAGCAGCTCGAGAAGGATCGGAAGAAGGACAGAGATTCACGGGATAATGTCGTTCAGATGGAGGATGCAGAGGGCAACGTTATGCCCGAAAGGATCTACTTGGATTTGCAAAAGCAAGGTATCCTCTAAAGGAAGAGGGCTGTATGTTTTCTCTTTTTTTTACATCCGGCGTCCTTGATTTCATATAAATGGCTCGGTGTTCGGCGAATACATAATCTTCAAAGCCGTTTTGAGGTTTGACCTGGCTCATGGGCCCAAATGTGTTATTTCGACTTTTATCACAGACTTACTCTCACGAATAAAACACCCAAATGTCCAATTTCCAACGAGCTCTCGTAGTACGGCAGTCTCCAGCCGCTAGTGCCCTAGTGAACTTTGACCGCCTGGGTCACCGCTGGTTCCTCATTAGCTACTTCGTATAATCCCTCTGAATTGGCTCTTGAAGACATAATTTTTGCACAACTTTTACTCAAAGTAGCAGACGGCAATAGACGGCTAGAAATGGCTGTAAGGCTTTAGGCCGTCGATTGGCCAAGTTTCATGCCACAGGCCTTGGCCTTCCCAGGGCTGGATGTAACAACGGCAGAGCCCTATTTGGTCCCCTAATCTAGGGGGCTGAAGGGTCATCTTGGCGCGCTGTGCCAAGGTGTATGCCCACCCCTCTCGTTGAAAGATGGCGTTTCTCGTTATCCTTCTGACTTTTGCAGGCCGGGTTCTGGTTTATCAACGGCTTAAGCCGAAATCAAAAGCCACCATGGCAGCGAATCAACCATACATCGAAGTGACCCACACAGAGGAACACACTCCGAGGAATAGCTCCAGTTGCACTTCCCGTGGATACAGCACTTGAAGAATTGGGATTGAGAAAACCGAATCACAATGCCGCTTTCCAATAAAACACATGACCCACGGCTAGAGATTGCGATATTAAATAGCCTGCCCGACACGCCTAACCACGAATAGCCAACATACTCCACAGGTGACTCCGAATTCAATGGATTCACTACCCTTGGTGTTTCAGTGAATGTTAAGATGTCACGGAAAGAACAGAGCAGACTTACTCACCGTACTATGCGGATTTCGGAATCGAAAAACTAATCGAGGATGTCGCTGAATTGAACAGCACCTGTACTGCACCGGATGGATCTAAGCTCATACATGGGTGGTGGAACGACGTATATCACCAGCAGCTTTCTTTCATATACTCGGGGATTTATCACCTTCCCGATGTGGCTCGTGGTGTCATCGATTGTTCTTCTCTGTGTCATAGTGTTGTCAAGTAGAAGACTTTAAACAGACTATAAACAGTCCTGTGGAAGGCATCCGTGCTGCCGTTTTTGAACATCCTGAGATAGAGCCACGCCAAGACGAAGACCATCAAACTAGTGCTTTGGGATGCAATGATGGAAAGATAGAAGGAAACTAGGGTTGTGATGGGGGCACAGAGCCCGCCTTTGTTGGTTGAACGGTCAATAGTAGACCATCAATAGATTCAACTTCCTATGAGCATATCAACAGAAGGCCGAAGTACACTTGAAATACAACATATATTCAATGTGAAAACATTCAAGACAATGAATAAAGAATACTCCGTGAGATACCGGACTCCGACTCTGGCTCGTGCGCTCGGGTGTCAACGAACAGCCACTATATTCGAGATAAAGGGTTCGGTATCAACTTGTTTATTCCAATTGAAAAAAAGGCTTTCCAGGTCAGCGCTAGGCTAGGTCGGGTAAAGCATAGATCTGTATGTAGCATCCGAGATATGCCCCCTCCCAAACCCATGTCTCACTTCTCCCCGGTCATATCTCCCATGTTTACTATCTCGCATTGTCGTTTTCCTCGCATTTTTTGTTGCATCTTCATTACGCCTTCGTTAGGCTTTGACATAATGTCGCTGCCTGTTATCTCCGTTGCGGGAAATGGGTTATTGAGTGGTGGCAATCGATTTCAGATTAGAGGTAAGATCATTTGAACATCTGTGCGGTTGATTCAAAGTTAATATGTTCGTAATAGGTGTCTCTTATGCCGAAAGATCTTCTGGTTTTCTAACTCCAATCGATGTTTTGGCCGATTCACGAGCCAGCCAGTGTGCAATCGATGGGCCTATCATAAAGGCACTGGGGGCGAACACTATCAATGTGTACTACACCGATGCGACGCAGAGCCACGATAAATGCATGCAGATTTTTGAGGACAATGGAATATATGTTATTGCGAACATGGCAAGTCAAAGGGACTCGACCCTTGTGAACATGACAGAAATGGATGTTAGGCCAAACATAGTAAATATTTCTGGTTAGCAGGTGCTCTCTGAATATGGATACTGACATCTCTGACCATAAGGCCAACTTCACCTGGCAAATGGACGTTTTCAAACAATACGCAGCTGTTCTTGATTCGATGGCCGGGTATAAAAATCTCCTGGGGCTTCTTATTGGAAATGAAATTGTTTCCGGTCCCCACATGGAGGATCAAGGTATGAAAATCCACCCTTAACCGTCTTTACACGATCTGAAAGCATAAAATAGGTTCTACAGTTGACGTAGCCCCGTATCTAAAGGCTGCAGTTCGGGATATGAAAGCGTATACTGCGGCTAGGCAGTATCGTCCCATACCGATTGGATACGCCACAAGTGCAGAAGATACCTACATGCAAGAGTTAGGAGAATATCTTGTGTGTGGAGGCAAGAGTAATGAGGCCATCGACTTCTATTCAGTCAATGGATGCCAGTGGCGTGGGAGTTCACCCGTGAGCGCCTCTGACTACGATGAATTGACGTCGAAGCTAGAAGGCCTAGCAGTTCCCGTATTCTTTTCTGAAAATAGCTGCAATGCCTTTCCTCCACAGCTCTTTGGGGATCAGTCTGCGAGTTCTGAGTCTGAAATGTCAAGTATTTGGAGAGGCACCAATGTCTACCAGTGGAGGAAAGAGCAAGTTTTGTCCCTGCTTCTTGTTTGATAAGAACTAACGTCACGCAGAGCAAGTAACCACGGGCTTGTCTCATACACTACTTCTGGGATTAGTACGCCAACAACTCTCCCCGACTACGATGCTTTGAAAGGCCGGTGGTCCGCTGTGACTACAAATACCCAACCGCCATCTGCTTTTTCTACTCCTTCCTGCGCCACCTCGGTCAATTCACTCTGGCCTATTAACCCCATTGCCGCCTTACCAACAATTGCGGGTCTTGACTTTGCGACTATCAAAGCGGCGAGTGTCAGCGGTGCTGCGCATGGCACCAGGACACTTACGATTAGAAGCACCCCCAGTAGCAATCCCAGGAAGACCAAACATGAGATTGGTGTTATGGCTGGAATCGGTGTTGGTGCTGTGTCCGGTATGGTGCTCGTTTTCGCCGCCATTTTCACTTTCTTTTTCCATCGTCGACGCAGAAGAAGAAATCGAGCGAGAAAGACATCATCCTCGGTGGAAGAAGCCTCAGACACACTCGCTCCAGGAAGTTTCAATAATACTGCTCCCCTAGTTGAATTGGCCCATATCGATTCACCGAATAGTCTGCAAGACTTGGATCCCAAGGCCGAAGAGCTTGACTCTATTGTGGTTCAGAAGGCTGACAATGGGAAGGGAGAGGCGTGATCGGTCCGATGGAAGATGAAGCAATACGCTCTAACCCAATTGAGTGTCAGATTAATTAGAATCCTGGAGCTGGCCTCCGATGAATATAACTACCACCAGAATTTTAAGCCGGCATTCCTACGTAGATGATTTTATACCACCACTACAATTGAATGAAAGAAATAAATAAGAATCATATAACCTTAGATTGACACCCGCGTACGGCAGGTTTTAGAAGCTATCGCGCCAACCGACCAGGCAGAAAACTAGTAATAAATTGAATTAATGAATAATCCATACCTATAGCCCAGGGTACGAAGGTATTAATGCCTTCTAAAATAAATAGGTACTAAATATAATACTATTCGTACCTATATAAATCCTAGAATCCCCTTATTTCTTATTACACCCTTTAAACTAAAGAATTAGAAGTAACTCTTTATCTTTAACATTAGCTTAGAGTATGACTTTTTCACCGTTTTTATATATATCTAAAAAACACCATCTAAAAAGACCATCTCAAACGACCATCTCAAACGACCATCTCAAACGACCATCTCAAACGACCATCTCAAACGACCATCTCAAACGACCATCTAAAAAGACACCAGAAAAGACCATCTCAAATGACCATCTCAAAAGACCATCTAAAAAGACACCAAAAAAGACCATCTCAAAAGACCATCTAAAAAGACACCAAAAAAGACCATCTCAAACGACCATCTAAAAAGACCATCTCAAAAGAGTATCAAAAAAGAGTATCTAAAGACCATCAAAAAAGACATCATAAGGCCGCAAACACAGCCGACTATCTATACCAAACATTGCTGTACACGAGGTTTCTGTCAAATTATATAGGTTGGCGTGTGATGGCGTCTAAAACCTGCCGTAGATTACCTACTTCTCACTCAAACAATAAAAAACAAAGTGCACATTACAGGGCAACCTTGGAAATACCATTTTGTCATACACGTTACCCAATACCATGTGTAGCGGAGTTGTTTTCTCTGAGCTTTGTCCTAGGCGCCTACCCCGCTTGGTGATAAAATGGACTTGCTATGGACATGAAGTGGGATCATCCGTCTCCCTACAGGCTCACTTTAATCCGGCTAACAAAAGGCTTTTCTTAGACTGCCAGCGGAAACGGCCCAGAGCCCGAAACTTACCCCCTCGATGGTGTTGACATCTCCCTCGTTTCAGATGAAACACTGACCCAACTCTTCAACACAGCACCAATTATTCATCACTATCAAGGGACACGGATGGTGCGCTTATCACAGACATTGATTATGAAAGGAGGGATAAATTCAAGACCATGTGAAGCCAATATCCATGACTTCATTGCCAGGGCTGGGGACGGGGACGGGGAAGAAATACAATAAATCTCAGTTCCCAAAGTCTATCGGGTGCTGAATATTGCCCCTACCCAAGGGACAAGAGCTGGTACCAGGCCCAGTAGGCTTTTCAGCCTGTGTACCCCGTGCTCGCTTTTTCCCAGACGTCGGCATTGACCCATTCAGCTCGACAGAGCAACCAGAGGCCTGGTACAATCGGCGACTTGAAATCACCCAACACTTTCATCAAGCACCACCTGATGCTGCACCATTTGTTTTCAACAGTTATACTTATACTCACTACGATTTCGCACCTCGAAACTTGATTCTAGACTCTGACGGCAAAATCTGGCTGATTGACCGGGGACATCCAGAAGGGTTTGAGTTTGCGGCAATGAATACACGGAAATATCGGATCGACTCAAGATGGATCCAGTGAGAGCTTTTGCTAACACAAAACGTGCTGGCCTTCTAATTCCTCATTCCGTATTTTCGGGAGGCTTTCACACCTGGATAATTTCCCTAAGACCCCACAAAATGAGAAAATTGCACCTGGCTTTACATTGTCAACCCGATTTACTCCGTATAGTTCTCTATACAAATGGGGCGATGTTCGTCACGTGCTCACGTGTCATCCCTCTTTCCCATATTCGCGTTCGGACGGGGAAGTTTCGACCTCGGGAGTCTCGAGTTTTGGTCGACTTGACTATACCTCGGATTGTTCCACAATTTTATGTAGAGTTACTAGGTAACTCGCGTAGATATGGGCCATGGGCTTCAAATTTACCCTTTTGTGTGATCTGCTGTCCAACCTGGACGACAGCAAAACGGCTAAGGCATCCACGGCCGCCAGGAACCAGAACCCGGACATTAGAACAGTCGCCCAGTGGTTCTCTCGACATGAACGGACAATTCATCATGTCGACACAGACCGTGTGGCGTTGCTTTCGTGTATGTTCCCCGAAAAACGAACGGACCGAGTATACTGGCTGCAAGTCATGCAGCTATCAAGAGTCATCGGGCGCTGCTTGGGCTTGGGATCATCGAGACTTTCCGAACTAAATCGATGGCAAAGTCCTGGTGGCTTTGATCTCGGAGGGTGTGTCGAAGTTGTCATGCGACAGGCCGAGAATTACATTCCGGCGGGCCAGGAGTTGTCGGTAGAAGAAATTGATCGTGCCATGGCTATGATTGCATCGCGTTGCCGCTTCTCTGGTCCTCTGATCCGTTGGAATCGTACAGCTGTGGACGTCGAAGAAATCCTATCAAAACTGTACCGTCGATCAAGTAGCCGCGATGCCAAATGGCTCACTCGCATGATTCTCAAAAGCTACTCTCCCATCGTTTTCCCGGAACAGTATACCCTGAAGAAATTTCACTTTCTTTTGCCACAACTGCTCCAGCTTCAGAGCTCTTTTGAAGGGGCATTAGAGATGCTTGCTTCTGATCCAATAAAGCACTTCCCTCCAAACCCGGATCCACAATCAGCTAAGAGTCTTAGCACGATTGCTCTACAGCATATGCGCCCTCGTCCTGGTATCAAGGTGGGGCGACCCGATTATTATAAAGCGCGGAGTATCAAACATTGTCACCAAATGGCCAACGGTCGTCGAATGAGCATTGAACGGAAATACGATGGTGAATACTGTCAGATCCACGTGGATCTCTCTAACAAATATACCCCGATTCAGATCTTCTCCAAAAGTGGCAAGGACTCGACCGCGGATAAAGATAAGATTATACCTATGATAGAAGGATCGCTCCGGATTGGACTGCCTGACTGCAAATTTGCGCACCGCTGTATCCTTGAAGGAGAACTGCTTGTATGGAATGACCAGAATGGTGATCTGATGGATTTCAACAAAATTCGGAGGTTCCTTCCACGATCCGGCGCCATGATTGGTGTTGACAATGATTCTCCGTAAATTTTTATCCTTTTTAAATTATTGGTCATTTTGCTGATTGATACAGGCCCCAACCGTACGAGCACTTGATGATCATTTTCTTTGACATTCTTCTCCTTGATAACGATGTATGCCTTGCCAAGCCTCATCGGGAACGACGACTACTTTTACAGAAAGTGGTGAAGACTATCCCAGGCCGAGCGGACCTCGCCTATCAGGAAGTGCTGGACTTCAACCGAGTTGATAGCTACCATAGACTGGAAAAGAGTTTCGAGAAAGCAATTACGAAACGTTGGGAGGGATTTGTCTTGAAGGCTTCTGACGAGCCTTACTTTCCGATATACTGCGCTGGTGTGGATCATATGTTCGGCCGATGGGTCAAACTTAAGAAAGACTATATACCCGGCCTTGGAGATACACTAGACCTTGCGTTGATCGGGGCTAGCTACAACGCGCGGGACGCTCCTGATTTGGCACAAATCAAAGGGCTGAAATGGACTCACTTTTATGTTGGCTGTCTTCTGAACCCAGAGCATGTTAAAGAGGGGAACGCTTTGCCGCGTTTCCGAGTCGTTGATGTGATTAACCGACATTGTATGAGCATTCAGACCATGCAAACCCTCAATAAAAACGGCGAGTTTTATGCACGTCAACCTGAAACGTTTGAAGGCTTTCACATTGAGTATGGGCACGAAGGGCTTCCGACTGCAACCGCCTTGTTCAAGCGCCCGTTCATCGTTGAGATGCTGGGAAGTGGATTTGAAAAACCATCTGGCGCGAGATACTTCACACTTCGATTTCCTCGAATTTTGAAGATACACTCGGACCGAACGGTGGAAGAGTGTACCTCTTTCCATGAACTGTTGACTGCAGCAGAAAATGCCCGGGCTGTGCCTGCGGATGAATTGGAAGAACGGGAGAAATGGTCAAAACGACTCAAGCTTGGGAGTGGATTTGATCAATATATTGTGCGATCTCCAAGCCCAGAAGCGACTTGTTCAGACACCGACGAGGAGACGAACTCCCCGTCATCCCAGGCGCCCCAAACCACCACTACTTCTGAAGAAAGCTTTATGGACGCATTTCCGTTGATGGATGGGATACGTGAAGATCCAGTAGGGAAAGACAGCCATGATTCATTAAATAATGACCATCCACTGTGCCCTCTAGTCTACATCGATCAGACATTACTTCCCATGGAAGATAAGAATCCTGTTCTCGGGACCAGTGTACTGACGGACAACGAGAACCTGTCGTCTCGTCAGCGCTCCAACCAGGACGATGGAAAGGTCGCTTCGCAAGACTCTTCTGGCTTTATACGTCCTGTGCGGACAATCAGTTTCACATCCGCACATGAAGAGCACCCTCAACAATTACACGACACTCAGAAACGACTTTCGGACGAATTATCGGTGCCCACAACATCCAAGCAGAAACGCAACGTGGCACCCCAGTCTCCTTTAACAACTATCCCTATATGGACACCTGAAACCTCACTGGGAAGTTTTACAATTCCCGAAATTGATGAAAAGCCCGGCAATGATCGCGAAGCTTGTGATTTGGATAAATTTGTTCGATATCTCTGCTGTGATGAATCTACTTCTCACCTCCAACAATCAAACCCCTATGCCGTGTCACAAGGGACCGTATTTGGAATTGTCCTGTTTGATCCCAAGGCAACTCAGTTAGGCAAAGAAATGCACCGTCTCGCCACAACCCTTTCCAGTTTCGTCCATACTAGAACAAGCCCACTCCCCTCCATGGGAAGCATATTCTTTTTAGGCTCGAGCATGTTGGGACGTGACCTACGCCCCGGTGACCTCCGTTTCTGCCTCCGTGATACGTGGAAAGATATTGGACGCGATCATTTCTATGGCTGTCTTTCATGGAGTCTCAGCAAGCGATCTGATGATATGTCCATCGGAAGAGAGAACTTCCGCTTTAAATTGGATCAAAGTTGTTATGATATGACAAATGAGATATCAGACCCTCTGCGCTCTGGACCAAGGACCCCATGGATTGAGATGAGCTTTGATGAAACAGCTATTGCTGTGTTGGGCGAGTACACCTCGATCGAACCTCTAGCTCATGTTATATATAATTGATACCCCCTTTCTTGTTGTTTATGAATGACAATTATACTGGACATGAACACTCTTAATTCGCAAAGAGCCACCTATAATGCTAGCCTTGCTTCTGCGAGATGAAAATGAGCCCTCCAATCGTAGTTATTATTCATGAAGACCAGTAAAATCCATGGGTGTTTCGCTGTCATGATAATCCATACATATCTCATTTAATTGATGTAATTAGGTCGCACCTTCTCTTCTCGCCCGTACGTCCCTCATCAACGCCTTGGCCTCCTCCACTTCAATTCCATCCTGACACAACTCACTTGCCAGCTGATCCGCACGGTCAAGATCGCCGTTCCGTGAGGCATATTGTGCCAACCACAAACGGGCCTTGGATGTAGTTGCTGTAACACCGGTACCGTTCCACGTCTCACTAACAATGGAGTCATCGTTCTGCATAGCGAGAGATTCAGCCTTTGCGCGAGGCTTGCGATTGCGGCGATGCCGTTGCGACAGCTCAGTGTCTTCATCTTCCGAATGCTCAATCTCGGGATCGCTTTGAAGGCCATTCTCCGAGGCAGAGTCATCATCGTCGGCTTGAGTTTCATTAACAGGGGCGCCAGACTCCTGTTGGAGAGTGAGTTCCATGTATGCAGCGGCCTCCTCTTCGTCCCCGAGACGCTCGTACAGTGTCGCGATTTGGTGCAGGGTTTCTGGGTCAAGGATCTTGCGACTCCCAGAGCCAGGGCTTGCACCAGTGCCCGCTTGCCCGCCATCATCTGGCTGTAACGATCCAGCCACCAATGCACGCTTCAAAGCTTGGATACTCTGTTCCACTCGGCCCATCTTTGCGTAGCATGATCCAACTGCTTGCCACATCTTTGGGTCGTACGGACGTAATGCTGCGGCGCGCTGGTAGTAAAACAGGGCGTAGAAAGACATATCTAAAACTTCGTAGGCCTGTCCGAGACCGTACCAGGCGCGGTAATCCTTGCGATTGACATCAACAGCCCGGCGGTATGACTCGATGGCGGTGTGAGTATTCTTCATCTCGATGTATTCATGGCCCATGAGGGTCCATGCGGATAAGAAGTTCCGGTCCAGGGTGAGTGCGCGTCGGAAGTACATTACTGCCTTCTCATGTTCGGATTTCAATGAGTAGTAGTTACCCACGACACAGCAGGTTTCTGGACGGAATTTGTCGGTGGCAGTTGCGACCTGAGCCACGAACGCAAGTTGAGGGCGCTGGTCCATTACATAAAGGATGTTCGAATAGTGATCTAAGCTGTCTAAGCGGTGTGGTGATGTGGCTAGGATGCCTTCGAAAATATGGGATGCTTCCTCGAAGTCTGAATGATATTAGCTCACGCATCAACCGCGCCTTGCGGCGGAGCCGGGAGAGTTTACCTTTCGAGTGATATAACAACAACGCGTGTTGTGTTTTGAGGAATGCGCTTTCTGGGAACATTGACTGTAGCTCGGAAAGTGACCTGTATGTGTCTTCTGTGGCCTGGTATAGCTCCTGGCTGCAGTAGACATAGAATATTAAGCTCATGACGTTTTGCGGCAAAAGTTCGAGGATTTGTTTCAACTGGTAAAATTAGTACTGATGGAAGGAAACATTGATGGGAATAACTTACGTCTTCTGTGCTGCCCAAGAGGTCGTTCAGTTCCTGCCAGGCACCCCAATGGTACGGGTTTTGATGCACACAGCGGATCAGCCATTTCTTCGCTAGCTCCTCATTCCGTCCTTTTAACAAGACCACGGCATAGAGGTACTCCAACCATCCCTGCCCTCGATCATCCAAGCCCTGTGCGGTTCGTTCGGATAGCCATCCATCTAAACCTCTAGCGAGACCGGACAACTCTCGATTGACCGCCATCCCACCATCCGCCGGACCTAGCACCATCTCCGTTTCCTCTTCCTTGCGCTTCTCTCCGGCTAGATATTTTGCGTACAGGGCAAGGAATAAAGATTTTTGGCTGAGTTTCGGATATGGATTTTGCTGTATTTGGGTCTTTTGGTTCTTTGAGCTTTGAAACGGCGAAGCTTTGTCCTTGCCCTTCTGTGAAGTTCGCGATGGCCTCGGCTTCAAGTTGGGAGAGGTAATCGATAAAGGAACGGGTGGTGTTGTCGGAGGGAGGAATACGGCCGCACATCGGTCATATTCACGGGTATCGAAGTAGGATTTGGCAAGCAGGTATTTGTAGGACTCTTGCGTTTCAAGGGCTGCTTCTACTGGATCGCGCACTTTGAGGTAAGGATTTATTGCCGGCGGAGGAGGATCTGAAATGTCCATCGGAGACTCAAGATCAGTGTCTTCGTGATCTAAAGGCCGGAGAGAATCAAGCATCTCAGCGGCCCTGAGTTCATCAACATCATTAGCACGCCAGGCCTGTGTGCATCAAGCTTATTAGTCGTACCATTTTGAGGATTGATAAAGGCATCGCTCAGAGCATTTGATAGCAGCATTTTCCAGCTGGTACATGAGCTCCCGGATTCCATCATCTGTAGGTTCTTCCATTGCGTGTGTCTTTGTCGCAAGTAGCGGAGGTGTTTGAAGGGAGAATGCTCAAATACAGCTTTGTGGACGATAGAGCTTTTAATGTATCAAAATGTTATGCGACGATGCGATCTCATGCTAATTTGAGTTGAAAGAAGCTCACTACCACAGCAGTCCGGTGGTGTAAATAAATGGTCTTGGTCCTCGTCGCGTTGTTTATACGGATGGAACAGCAACCCGCGTAACTGGAAAGAACGTCAAGAACGGCCACAAATATGCCTAGCAAGCTATTAATGCTCGCAGCTCGTGAAACAAAGTGAAGATTGTTCAATGGCCTTGAAGAATCCGCGTCGTCCTCGGGTTGCGCCTGGAGAAACAGCAACCTGGGATCAAACTGGACAAACATGACAAACATGACAAACGGTCCCTCCGCGGGGAAGTGGTCCGTTTCTAAATAATTGGGAATGTTTTTGTCCTTGTCAGATCATTGACATTTTTACTACGCACTTTGTCATCATGGCTTCTACTACCAAGCGCGCTGACTTCGAGGCTATTTTCCCTGCATTGGCTCAGGATATCCTTGCCCATGCAAAGCGCTACAACCTCCCTGACAATGCGCTTGAGTGGTTCGAGAAGGTAAGCAACCCCTCTTGATTGATTGTTAGAGCCGATCATGACTGACACTATCAATTGTGCACCATAGTCCCTCAATGTCAATGTTCCCGGCGGTAAGCTCAACCGTGGCCTCTCGGTCCCTGATACCGGCCTTGCTCTGCTGAAGCAGCCCCTGACCGAGGAGCAATTCGAGCACCTCAGCATCCTGGGCTGGATGACTGAGTTGCTCCAGGCTTTCTTCCTGGTCAGCGATGACATGATGGACTCCTCTATCACCCGCCGTGGCCAGCCCTGCTGGTACCGTCACGAGGGTGTCGGCCAGATCGCAATCAACGACGCCTTCATGCTGGAGGCTGGCATCTACCTCATCCTTAAGCAGCGCTTCCGCTCGCACCCCGCTTACATTGACATTGTTGAGCTCTTCCACGAGACCACCTGGCAGACCGAGCTGGGTCAGCTTTGTGACCTCATCACTGCCCCCGAGGACAACGTCAACCTCGACAACTTCTCCTTGGAGAAGTACATGTTCATCGTCACCTACAAGACAGCTTACTACAGCTTCTACTTGCCTGTCGCTCTGGCCCTTATGTACCTGCAGCTGGCTACTGAGGAAAACCTGAAGCAAGCCCACGACATCCTCATCCCTCTGGGCCAATACTTCCAGATCCAGGATGACTACCTCGACAACTTCGGTGACCCATCTGTCATTGGCAAGATCGGTACCGATATTCAGGACAACAAGTGCTCTTGGCTCGTTAACCAGGCCATCCAGCGCTGCACTCCCGAGCAGCGTAAGCTCCTGGATGCTTCTTACGGCCGCAAGGACGCTGCTGAGGAGGCCAAGGTCAAGGCCCTCTTCAACGAGCTTCAGCTGGAGAAGGTGTACAAGGAGTACGAGGAGAAGGTGGTTGGTGAGCTGCGCGAAAAGATTGCCGCTGTCGATGAGTCCAAGGGTCTGAAGAAGGAAGTTTTCGAGGCTTTCCTTGGCAAGATTTACAAGCGCACCAAATAGAGGATCATACTCTGTTGTGTGTTTAGAAGGATACCCGTCGTTCGACTGGATCGTGACGATTTAAGATTTCATAACGCCTATGCACAAACCTGAATATCTCCGGCGATAAACTCTTTTTTTTTTTTCCCTCGGATATACTTGGTTTCTTACATTTTCGGGTTTAGTTTCTCAGCCTTAATAATATCTTAGAATGAGATAGATCTTTACTTTACCAAGTTCTGTTCAGGACCAAAAAAAAGGTAACAATACATCTATTTACAAATGAGGAGCATTTAATGCCATCAAACAAAGCAGCCCCGAAATCAAACCCGCGCAAGGCAAAGTCAAGACCCAGCCACCAAAGATAAAGCCAAGCTGCTTCCAATTGACCGCGCCAAGATCATAGTTCATGAGAGCGACACCCATAGCGGCACCAGTCAAGCACTGCGTCGTGGAAACGGGCAAGCCAAGTCTTGAAGCCAACATGACGGTGATAGCTGCTCCAAGCTCAACACTAAAGCCACGCGTAGGTGACATCTGCGTGATCTTGTTACCAAGAGCACGAACGATATGATAACCGTAAAACCAGAATCCGAGACCGAGCAAGAGACCAGCAACAATCAAGAACCAGATCGGGGTGGGTGCCTTAGTCTCGACGAAGCCAGCGTGGAACGTGCTGTACACAGCAGCCCAGGGCCCAACAGCATTAGCAACATCATTTGAGCCGTGTGCAATCGACATCATCATAGCTGACACAACCTGGCAGTATGTCCAGAGATGTTCGACGCGGTCGTCATAACGGTGGGCACGTGCGTGGATTGCTCGCAGCTCAGGAGAGTCGTGTGTAATCACATCGCGAGTCACACCCTGAAGGAAAATCCATTTAACATAACCGTAGGCCTTCTGGGGGTTTGTCCAGGATAGCTCTCGGACAGGGTCAATGAAGCGCTCAGTTGGTTCGAGATGCTTCTTACGTGGCTTGGGCTCCGGTGTGATCTTCTCTTCGTCATCCCCGACGTGTGCCGGCTTAGACTTTGGTGTGATCTCCGGCGTGGGCATGACGGAGTCTGCATTTGATGTGATATTTTCCTTCTCTGTGTCTTTTTGACCGGCTCGCACTTCGCCGTAAGCATCTTCATAGTAGCTAACCACGACCTCATCCCCCTTTCCCGGGAAGTATAGCCATGGGTTTTCTTTCCGCAGTAGGGGACCCAGAGGGATGTGATAGAACCTGATGCGCGTATCCTTTCGGACCAGACGGCGGTTGAAATATGGCATGAAGAAGAAATAGGCAATGAAGAGACAGCCGAAGAACACACCGACAATGATGCCGGCTGCCTTGCCAGCACCAAACTCTTCCAACGAGGGCGCTGTGGGGGCTTCGATGACGATGAAGAGGGCGAGGATAGCTCCCGTCAAAGCGAGGTAAAGTGGAATCATACGCATGCCCCACTTGAAGGGATCTTGACGTTCAAGGACACCGTACTTGAGAGTACCGAAGATTATAGCCGAGAATCCAGCTGACACGAGGGGGGCGATACCCCAAGATGCAGCGACCTGGGAGACGCTGCCATCTGACCAGCCCCAGTTGACAGAAGCCTTACTAGCAAAGCCAACACCAATGAGGGCACCGACGATAGTCTGCGTTGTCGAGACGGGCCAGCCCATCCGGGTGGCGAACATCAACCATGAGGCGCCGCCAATCTCGGCACAGCCCATGGCCAACATGAGCGCACCAGGCTTGCCTTCGAAGCGGTTGATGTCGATGATGCCGTTCTTGATTGTATCGGTGACTCGTTTGCCCATAGCTACTGCGCCGATGAATTCGGTGAAAATAGCTAGGACACCGGCCGTGGCCATGTTGAGCGTCCGGGCCGCGACGGAGGTGGCATATGCGTTAGCGACATCGTTGGCACCGTTTCCAAAGGCGCTGAACACGAAAGCAATGGTGGTAATGGCTAGGATCCAGTCATACTTCGCGGTTGCTATCGGTGCCATGGCGAAGAAGGGTTGTGTTGACCACACAACAAGGGCAACCTGAAGAACGAGAAAGGGAATTGATTCTGGCGGTCTATCAATGTCCAGGTTTTATGGCGACCTTATACGAGCTGCAAACTCGCCACGACAATTGCCAAGTTCGGCCTATGATAAAACTTTTCCTGAACTTGGCTTGAGCCATATGGAGCTCCAAGTCGACCTCGGCCCTAGCACATAATACAGACATCAATGACCGCGTGCGCTTGAAATTCAACAGTCATTGGTTGAGCGCAAGGCGAGATTGTCCGTTGGCCAAAGAGAGGCAGGAGTTGGCGCCAAGTCTTGGGAGCGGACGCCAAGAGCGGACAAAGCACGTCTTCCGGCGATGATATAATCTCTATGGATCACTTAGTCCAGTCATATTGGGTATCCTTGCACGTTCCTGGGTATTGGGATGCGATTGAACGTTTAGGAGAGCTTGACGTGGGTTCAGTATGGGCGCCGAGAAACTTGGAAGTCTGGGTGTCTCGGCGGACACACAGCCCACCTTTGGCATCATGTCACTGCTGGTTGCAAAGATCTGGGCAGCTGTGTGGTCGCGTGACATCTAGGAAAATTTTTCACCACAGGAGATTGGCAGTGTGAATTGAGTTCTTCAATAGTCCAAAAAGGAAATTCCAAGTGCTTCTCGTAGAATACTGGATGGTAGACGTTTGGCTGTTCAGATACTTGTATAGGCTTCATTACATTCTATCTCCACTAATGAAAAATCACTTTTGCCTTGGCTCTGTATCCCAATACCCTTGTTGGGGCGAGAGGCACGTAGATAACCCTGCGTTGATGGCGGCCTCACTTCTCGAGAGAAGCGAACGGGTTTAACGAGCTTAGCGATTTGGGACTCAGAGATCAGGGGGAATTGCATCTCCTACAAGAAGATTAGTCCTCGAAGGAAAAGCTACTACGCACTCGGGCTCAAGGTATAGACTATTTTATTGATGGAATGATCTGACATTCAAAAACTGGCAACACCTTCTATGACGCAATGCAAATAAAAGCAGGAAAGATGAATGTCGCTAGAAAACATGCAATTAAACACGCCACTTTTTCACCATGAACGCTGCTATACGGCAGCCGGGCCCTCAATGGCGGTTATAAGGGTCTGCGCAAATCCCTCGAATCGAGGATAAGACCAGGTATCCCGGTATCGTTCAACTAGCGGCCGATCATCAGGCTCAGCTGAAGTATCTTGTGGTTGACTCTCTGCAATCTCCTCCTCATCCTCCTCGTCACTATCCGCAGCTTCCATCTTTCCTTCAACCAATTCTCCAAACTTTACATCAACAGGCACGCTGCCCATAAATGGAAGCTTTAATTCCTGGGCCATCACCTGTCCTCCTCCACTGGAGAACAGATTACTAACCTCCCCACAGCAGGGACAAGCATACCCAGACATATTCTCGATAACCCCAAGCACAGGAATATTAGTTTTAACGCAGAAGTTCGCCTCTTTGCGCACATCTGAGGTGGCTACAGCCTGTGGTGTCGTAACAAGGACTGCACCAGCAAGTCGAGGCAAGCCTGCTTGCGCAGCTGCCGCTGCATCTGTGGTGGAGAGTGTGAGCAGCTGCTCAGCCAGCGCAATGTGCTCATCACTCGTTCCGGGAGGCGTATCGATGAGCAGGTAATCAGTCGGGCCCCAGAAGACATCTGAGAGGAATTGGCGGATCATGGCCGTTTTTTTTGGTCCACGCCAGATTACGGCGTCGCCGCGATCGCGGAGGAGGAAGCCTAGGGACATGCAGCGGAGAGAACCGCGTTGGGGTTGTGTTGAGGGCGCTGAGGCGTCGGTTTCAGCTGCGGATTCAGCGCCGTGGACCGGCACCGGCATCCATCCGCCCGGCGCTTGTGTGATCTTTGCATCTTCGAGTCCGACTAGGCGTGGCATTGAAGGTCCTGTCAGGTCGATGTCGAGGATTCCAACAGATTTGCCTTGGAGCGAGAGCGCGAGGGCGAGTTGGAGTGTGACGGAGGATTTCCCCACGCCTCCTTTGCCGGAGAGGACCTAATATTCGAGAATATCTTGTTAGTCTTGTCCAAAAAAATTGCGCTTAAATGTTCTAGCTCATGGCTTCCAGCACTGCCCTCGTTATCGATAAGCTATGAGGGGCATGGCTTTCTTTTTTCGCGCCGAGGACTCGCAAGGGATTGAAGATGCACGTACCAGCACCACATTATTCACTCCAGTGAGAGGCATGTTTGTATAGTGTATGCTTAATTTGGAGAAAAGAAAGGTTGCGGCAACTGAAAGCGCAATGACGGATTTCAAGAGTCCAGAGTGGGGAGGCCGATATTCGGGCGCTTATCAATCGCCTTCTGACTAACCTTCGGTCTACTTGGAACATGCTGGTATGACAACCTTGGAATATGAAAGGTCTGATTGGCCACTTATTTTGAATTTGGAGCTTGTCCGGCAAATGCCATTGCTCTACGTAGCAATATGAAGGTCCTCCTTCAGTATCAGATATGTCATTTAACGTTCACCCATGCAAACCCACTGCCCTGCTGGTATGCGCTTTTGGAACCACTCTGAAGATAAAATCATCAAGACGAGTAATAATATTAGTAGTGCAGTTTACTGCCACTTCTGGACAACGACACCTCCACGTTTAAAATCCGGCATGTCACCGAGAACGATATTCCAGTCCTTGAGCTCCGTGCTAGGGAAAGTGGTCATCAAGACCCATGCGCGGTTTGCACCATCCGGGGTAGCAGCAGCAACGAATGCATACACATCGCCAATGGTGGCGGTGGTGTTAAATCGAGATGTTAAACGTGTACCGTCTCCTAGGCGGATCTGTAGGGTGACCGTAGGTTGCGACTCGTCCACGTTGGGCTTCGCTGGCTCCTGGGCAGATGGTGCAGGCGTGGAGGGCGAAGGTGTAGGGGCCTCACTCCGTACGCCGGGCGTTGGGCTACCGAGGCGCTGTCCAGAACCCGAGAAAGGCTTGTACTTAGGCTTAGGCTTGGTGTACTTCTCCTCATGTTGCTTGAGTTCCACATCGACCTCTTGCCCTGGCTGAACATTCATGATGGAAAGAGGAGCGCGGCCTTGGCGGATACCGTCCAGGATCTCTGCATTGCGGGGGTCATCTGATCGAAACAGTTCACCGTCATCAACGGAAAATCCATCAGCCCAGAAATGAAGAGTCCGTTGAACGCGCAGGGCACGCTGTTGGGTGGGCGCCGAGGGGTTTTCAATCACCTGGCTTGGTGCATCGTCACCACCGAGTGTGCGGGCAGTGCCGGTGAAATGTGATTCCCTTGGCTCAGGAGCGTCGGAAGGAGGAGGTTGGGCCCTGTTGACGTTCGAATGTTAGTTATGTTCAAAATTCTCTGTAATCGCCGAAGAACATACCTGCGGGCCTTTTCGAGAATCTTCTTTTTCAGATCATCCGGGTTCTGCACAGCTAGTCCGGACTTTTCACCACCTGCAAAGAAATCATGATCGTCTGTGTCATCGCCATCAGAGGAATCACCACCTCCGCCACCTCCACCAGAAGCAAAGTCTCCCAACGTTGCAAACTTCTTCTTGGGCGCAGCTCTTCGGGCGGATGATGAGGATGAAGCTGCGGCAGAGGATGAAGCTGGTACAGCACCTCCCCCGAGGGTTCTGCCTCCCGCATAAGCTCCAGAGCTTCCCTCCGTGCCTAATTGTCGCTCACCACCAGTAGTGGTGTCCTGCAAGGCTTCGTCCTGCTCCGCAAAGAACTCTGTGACGGCAGCTTCAATGTCCCACCCATTGGCAGCGAGATATTCCTGAGCCTATACAATCACGCACTCAAATTTAGAAATCATGTTAATTATATATCCAGCAAGAAGCTTACATCTGAGGCCTGAGTTCCAGTCATAGCACAGAATTGAGACACAGCCTCATCGTGCTCAGCGGGGTTACCCTCCATGGCTGAGCTTGGTTAGCGGGTTTCGGTGATCAAATTTGGAAGAGAAGACCGGAGTAGGAAGTAACCGCAGGTCTGATAGCAAAATCAGGCGTTTGTCTTGGGTGCAGGGAACCAAAACAATCTGAATGGCAATGAAGCTGGGTTGGATGACAGACCTAAACATTGGCAGCTGCCCGGTACGTCACTCTCCATTGGTCAGCCGGGGCTGGGAATGTTCCGTCCCGCCTAAGGCCTCAGGCCCCCACTTCTTTTGACTTTATGCCACAGAGTATATTAATGCGTGTATTGCGAAGATATCAACTGTCGGGTTCGACCTAATCGTGCATTTTACATTCACTCGTCAGGTCGAAAAAATTATGCATTGTCCTTGAGTCCTCACGGCTCGCTCGTTGGCCTGGTGGAGCAGCCGGGGAGCCGACGCCCTGGATGACCACATCAAAGGCCGTCCTGTCAGATCAGCCCTGAGTGGCTTCAAGTCTTCATCATGGTGATGTTACCGATGGCTGTCTTACTCCAGAGTTCAAGTTCAAGGAAACATCAGAAAATGGCGGTTGGCCTTGAGTCTCAAGCTTGATTTATGGCCATCTACCGCATTTATCATACGCATAATGCTTACAGTTTACGGCAAAATGATCACAATTTACACCCACAAAAGCAAGAAATGAATATTGAGCAAAAATAAAGGAAGGATTCGCTCAATAAACTCTATGTGAACCGAATAAAAATATCATCAAACGGGTCTGATCCTTCAAACAAATCCCATCTCCTGGTCGGAATGTTTCTGTAGAGAGGTAGGTTCCTTGAGATTCAAAGCGAACAATCAGAGGCATAGGTCCAAAGAAGCAAGGATTATCTTCCTTTCTTTCATGTTGCAAATGCCAAATCTTGCTCGGCTCACTCGAGCTCCGAATATTTTCATTGATGTGCCCCCAACTGACCAAGGTCTGTCGAACGCAAACCCGGAAATGAAAGAAATTACTGTTTTAATGCTACTGTGTGCAGTTATTTCTTTGTATAGCCCCTCAGCCCCCGATACGATGACTCGGAAAATTCTCTTTGTTCCCACATGTTCATCGTATTCCTTTGAGCTATAAGAAACACACGTCGTTCGCTCAATCTTCGCTATTCCTCGAACATAACATTGTTTTCCCATATTATCGCCAAATACTACCCAAAATCTAGCTGCATCAAGCTCCCCGCATTCGATATGAGGTCTAGCACTACGACGACGAGTACCACAAGGAAAAGGGGCCGTGCAGTTGCAGAAACACCCACCAGAATCATGCCCGCCAGGAAGGCAAAATCCCAATCAAAATTACCGTCGGAACTCATGTCACAACAGTCGTCATCGCAAGGAAAGAAACGCCGAAAGACATCGGACGACACAGCAAGGGCAAAGAAACGCCGAACCGTACAAGGACAGACCAGTCCAGTAGAGGCCGAGTATGTGCCATCTGCAAATGATCTGATCAGCGACGTCCCAAGAGACGAGAATTTTACAATTGACACATTGCTTCCGGATCTTGGGACATCATACGTCGATCGATTCAAATCGCCCACCGCGCCAGCACGGGCAAAAAGGAAGCCGTGGCCACGACAATCTAGTCCCCTGATAGATCCTGAGAAATTGCCTCCTGGCTGGAGCATGACTGAACCGGATCTTAACCGAGAGTAAGTTGACAACGCTAGTGTCTCTGTGTTTATCTACCGCTCCCTTGACCATATACTAACACATATGGCGCAGTGATATTGAGGCACAAATTGAAAGATGCCACGTGAGAATCAGAGAGAATATCATGCCTCACATATTTGCACATCGGCTAAAGGGATTGCAAATCTCTCGGGTCAAGCAAAAGTACGAGAAATTGGTACCCTCAACGGGGGAGTTGCTAATCGAATGTCTCACAGTGAACTGGCCGAATCGGAACCTGGGAACCATAGTTTGGATGTCCTCAGACGCTTGGAAATTTTGAGGGAGATGGAGATTGAGCTACAAGGCTCGGACAACTTTAATCAGCTCCCTAATGTACTGGCATTACTGCAGGCCTACCGCGGAGGAATGCTTGATTGGAACATAGGATTGGTCACTTATTGGTTTGAAGGCGTGCAATTGTGTGAGCCAAGGCCGTTCAGTTGGGATGAATTCGAGGTCCTCAATGCGCACCATTCTGGTAAAACCGGTTTTTGGATGGAAGGAGTGAGTTGCCTTTGAAGTTATTGTATAGACAGTCATAATGACACAAAATTTTCACAACTAGCTGGTTGGACCCGGACCTACACACTCCCTATCTGCCGTTGGAATACCTGCAAACCTCCCAAACAATGCATACTTTGCTCGCAGTGTATGGCCTCCAAAGATCCCCATTCGATCAATTCTAACTTGTTCTTAGTACATGGTTGCCCTTCGCATCCCTGGTTTAAGGTGGTACGCAGAGCTTGAGTTCGTGTATGACACCGGGGCAAGCATGATGTCGTTATTTGAGGGCGATCTTCAAAACATTATGGGAAGATCGACCGTGGGTCCTACAGTCATGGGGCTAAACTCATCAAGTTTGGCCGATGGTTCCCGGGTAACTAGCCCAACTGTTGAACTTGAAGTTACTATACTGGATACTAATAGAATGCGGATGACGGGATGGACCAGAGTCCAAGCTCAAGTATCTCCAGGTTGGTGTGACAGAACGGATTTCAGATTGGATGGCCCGTGGCTACGGCAACTACTATACACAGGGTCAGCTCCGCGCGACAATGACATGCTATGGATTGCGAATACCCACCCTGAACTCGTCGAAAATGTACCTGATACAGGTCATTCTCGAAGACGTCCGGTTCTGACTCTCGGAACAATACCCCTAGACCCAGCGGGCCAGGCCTCTGTGACACCTGGTGGATCCCCTGGGCCGACTTCAAGATCCCCACCCGTCTTACGTCGAGGGATGCCCCGGGCAGCACCATAGGACAAGAAGATTATTGTTACCTCGGCGTTTTCTGATACTCTTGGGAATATTTCTTGGATTTCATATTCAATCTGTTTCGGGAATAAGATTGGCGTCATGTTAACTTCTATAAGCATCGGGATAATCCACTTTTGACATCATAATCTCATGAGATATCCCTCAATATCAATTCCGACTTTCTAACCGATTTGATAAAACAGATTCATAGCTCGAAATCTGTAACAATGTCAAACTAAAGGTCTTACTTACACAGATCGTCAACACAACGAAAGGTTTGTTAGCCGCTTGACATGATTAGCCAAGCTTTCTAGAACACCCTAACAAACCAATAACGCATCGAAGAATAAGTGTCTGGTATGCTCGAAATACATGAGATCACATACGAGGGGGGTCTTCTTAGAGTCCTGGAAATCCGTTGAAAAGGGCTACACAATACGGAGCATTTTAAAAAATAAAATCGACAGCACATGCTTCACATGTTCGATCACAATCATGACCGGAAGCACAAGTTGACGACAATCAATGCAGCAGATGAGTAAGGCTGTTTTATTTTATGGCTTTGATTGACACATAATGATATTCGGAGACCTAATATATATGTTGGAACTAGTGGCCTGACGACTTAAGCATGTGGTTCAAGCAAAGACTTAATAGTCGTTAAAAGCAAACGTTTTCCCCAGCAGATTTCTAGAACTAATAAACAATCAATTATAACTCAATATCTAATGCTGTTTACAAATTATACCGAGGCTTGGAATGTATACTATACTGACGTAGGGCTTGATTCCGCATTTGGACGCCCCACATCACGTGCTGTTGTAGCATTGTCCCGGCGCTTAATCCCAGCTTCCTCGAACAAATCGCGTGCAATTTCAAATCGAGCTTTCATTGCCTAACATGCTGCTCTGGCCTAACTAATGAATTTATGGAACTTTACCTGTTGCTAATGTGTTGAAATCACTGTCTAACTCCAAAACCGCTTGCGATCCTCCACCTCCATGCTGCCAATGACCGAATGAAACACCGCTGTATAGGCTGACTCACGACAACTTCAAGACCGACTAAGGATATACTATACCGAAGACAAATTTTTTTTGAACCAGAATGACGTCGCCTTACCCAACCTCAACTTCATTCTCGCCCTCCGTTGCCTCCGACATGGCTGCAGCGCCCAACAGAGCAGTCTCCGATTTGCCGCAGGCTCAGGTAGACGCGATAATACGCACAAAGCGCAAGGCTCGCGAGCCCAAAGCCTGCTATCCATGCCATGCGCGCAAAGTTAAATGCGATCGCAATCTGCCGTGTGACGGGTGCGTTAAGCGCGACCATGCAGATCTTTGTTCCTACGAACGCCCTTCCAAGAAGCGATCGCAGGCCTTTCATGATAGCGCTGTCCCTAGTGCGTCAACGGCACATGTACCTGAATATTCAACATCATATGCGTACGACGAAACCCCAGCGGAAGTGAAACATGAGCCGACATTGAGCCGACCGAGCGTCCCGGCTACAGGTGGTGGTCGCGTTTCAATCGCCCGCGAGGAATGGGATAATGTGCGCAATAGATTGCAAGAAATGGAGTCTACGATCTCCTCCCTTCGAGTTGGGTTGGAGAGGGCGGAAGACGGCCTCCCAACCTCCATGGAGACCGGAAGCGTGCAGAGTGTCGATGCAAGTTCCCGTTCCAAGTGTGCCTCGCCGGAACGCGAGGGCATCCATGCCGCGAATACTCTTGGCAAAGGCACTGTCCATTTGGGATCGCGCTCTGTTCTGGCTTATATTCTGAACAATCAGTCCGGGTCTGATCAACTTCAAGCACTTTTGGAAGGAGGAATCCTGCCCAAGCTCGGTTTGGATAATGAATCTGCGACCTATCCCTTTGTTGATCTATGGTCGTCCGATATGTCAACATTTGATATCACTGCTGTCTGCAGCGCCCTTCCCACTGATCAACAGTGCCGAGAGTGAGTTGTCCTTTTGTGTCCAACTTTTGATTGAGATTGTTTGCGCTAACTTTGCTTCCTCGCTATAGGTTATTCTACTACTACAAAGATATTTCGGGAGCTATCTATCCTGTTCTAGAGGACATCTTTGAGTTTGAGAACACTCTCGAGCTTCTACTGGCGACAAGAGCCTCTTTCGGTGGCGAGTACCTGGCCGATCCAGACCATGCACAAAAGCCTTTTGGGGTGACCATTGCGTATCTGGGACTGCTATTCGCTATCCTTGCCTCTGGATGCCAGTCATCCGATTATGGGAGCAAGGAGAGGGAGTTGACCTCGCAAGTTTACGGTACATGATCCGCACCGAGGATTTCAATGGAGTCGTTCGGCTAACACGTCAAACAGTGTGCTGCTCTTACCAGTGTCTCCGCATGACAAATTTCCTCTCCCAGCCCACTATCGAAGCAATCCAAACTCTTCTGGTGATAGGAAACGTTTTGTCATACAACATGAATCCTGGAATTTCTTACGTCTTGCTTGGCATGACTCTTCGCATGGGCTTGGCGCTCGGTCTCCATGTAGAGTCAAGTCGATTTTCGTCAGCTGAACGATACCGCCGACGACACGTTTGGTGAGATATTTTCCCTCCCCGACCCGAAATTATGTGGCCCTGACATGAATAGGTGGTCGATGGCGTGGCAAGACAGCCATTTTTCGCTCTCCTACGATCGGCCTTCCACCACTGCAGTGAGCCAGCCAGATATCGCTTATAGGGATGGCTCCAAGCCTGGTGATATATCTTATTTTGAAACCCTCTCTCGCGTCATTTCACTTGCACTAGAGGTTGTACGCATTCGCATGCTGAGCCCACATGCGCAGATAAGTTTGGAAAGCATACAAACCTACAAGGACCGCATCCAGAAGATCATGGTAGAGGCAATGCCATACCTGCGAGACGCAATGAACTGTTCCACACCTACGCAACATCTGGAACGAGTTGTATTAAAATTGCATTCTTCTTATTTCGCCTCTGAGCTCTGCCGGCCAGCGCTTAAACCCATGGTTGATTTGAGTGACTCTAGCGCAGCCAGCATGCGCGAAAATTGCGTAATGAATCTGATGACGACTGTCGAAGCTTACATTGAAATGCACAACATCAGCTCCCACGCAGCTCGTTCTTGGATCTTATTGCAGCGGGCAATCAGCTCTGCATTCCTGCTTGCTGTCATCGATGAAGCGAAAGCGGACCCGAATGTGTGGAATCTTCTCCATTCACTCGAAGGCATCATTGCCCAAAGAGCAAGCACAGAACGTGCCTATGATTCCAATGGGGCCCCCACTGTGGCCAGTATGACCTCGCCGCCCCAACCTCTTGGTACTTACGACCCAATCACGGGCATTATGAACGTCCCAGGCCCCATCGCTCCGGCAGTGGATCCAAGTACTCCGGTCGGGATACCCCCTGATACACAAACGCAATGGGCCAAGTCGCTAGCGAAAACACATCGTGCTTTGCAAAAGCTCCTTGCCGCAGTTGGGAATCCATCTACTCGTCCCTCAGTGGGACGCAATGGTACGCCGGGGTACTCCAGTACTAATCCTAATCTCAACCCGGGTTCCTCTTCCATGGGGACACTTGTTCCTGGGCAGGCAAACATGACCCCCAGCGTTGGCTCTCTTCCGCCACCTACACCCGAAAGCTCTGCTAGCGGTGAATGGACAATGCCCAATATAATGGATCGCGCAGCAGAGTATATTCATCCACCGCTGTGGGGCTAGTGATTGGAGGCGACCTGTCCCTCGAAAAAGCGTTTAGTTCTCAATTGTTCTTCTTCAGCGCGGCGCCGGCGTCTCTTTTCTGTCCATCCCATGATTGTTGTTATTCTTCCAAATTTATTCATTTAAATTTGTTGGAGGGAAGGCGGTTTTTACGAGTTGAATGTGTTCTTTAGTGTGATATGCGCCGTTGAACATTTAGTATGTGTATAATCTCTTTTAGAGAACCTTATACCACGATACTTCGAATCTGCTCATAAACGATCTACGCTTACTGCCTAAGCTCATGTCCTCGGCACTTTTCGACGGGGTTGTCTTTGTCAAAGCAACCTCGAAAATAGTCCTTGTTTGGCGAACGCTCCTCTGCACGGGATGTCCGCCAGCGAAAAGTGGTCAAGATTGCCACGGCGACATTCAAAATTTACCTTGCAAGAAGGGAGACTATTTTTCTGTTTTCTCCGCATTTCCATCTAGCTCCATCATTCCCCACTGTCTAAATAGCGGGGAGTTGTCCGAGTGAGCCCACATCCCCAGAGACCTGATGGGGCCCCGGCCCGGAGGAATTATATCATGACTAATGTTAGCCCTAAGTTGACGACATTGGCACTTCGGTTGAAAACTACCAGGTAGACCATAGATGACTCTGACACAGCTGCATGGCTTTATTATTGTTCTTGCTAGGCCATGGTAGTTGTAATATACCATTCTTACGTTAGCTTCTTTCTGCAGTGACTGATATGACTCAGGTTCAATTTCTGCATAGTAGCCATGAATCTATAAAAAGACTATTTCTTAAGTCGTTTCACCTCGCAGGGGAGTGCTGGTATCCCGGGGTCTAGGTAGATACTAAGACCGGTTGGAGATATGACCAAAACACTAGGATCTATTAACGATCACTTAAAATAAAGAACCATGACTTCAAGAAGAGGACTGGCACTCAGAAGGTGTACTATTGACGGCCTTAGGCACTCAAATGTTTCCCCTCTAGGCATTCATCTCCTCCCACTCTTCTGTGTAATTCATGACTCTATCCTAATGGGGTTTTATAAACTCCTATCATTTTACCTAATCTTATCTCCCTGGGTAACCCATGAGATCACCAAATTTGAGACATTTACATCCCCGGCCTTCCTACACTAACATCCCAGACAGCTTGATTTCCAAGCGCACTACGAACGAACGATATTACTGGACACCCTGCAAAACTTCAACCGTCGAATCGGCGAATGCGGAGACAACGGTAGGACAAAGTCGAGCAGTTATTTTGGCCGGAGTCAGCAGAGTCAGAAACGATCCGAGGTAAAATGCACCTCAGCCTTCCTGATCTCTTGCAAGCGAAACCCAGAATCAGCTCTAGAAATCTCACTACTGCTATTATCTATCCTTTCCACTTTTCCGCCAAAAGACGTCTACCTAGGTACGTCTTGCAAGACCAGATCGCAATTTCCCGTCGCTATTATGTCTTCTGGATTCCCCAACAAGTACTACAAAGTCGGGGTCCTCCTGTTTCCCGGCGCAGACATCCTCGACTTTGCAGGCCCAATCGAAGTCTTATCCCATGTCTCGCACAATCGAAACCCAGAAAGCCCTGACAGAATGTTCGAAATCAAAACTGTCGCTTGTAGCCCCGCGATTCGTGCTGCGAATTCGCTTACAGTTCACGCAGACCTGCTTTTGCCTGATGCGGTCGATGAGATCTCGGAATTTCATATCCTAGTCATCCCCGGTGGTCCCCCGTCAGTTGTGCAGCCATTAATTGAAAACAACACACCGGAGCTTGATTTGATTCGCAAATTTGCAGCTCTACCTGCAGATAGGTCACTAGGCACCCGGGTTTTGCTGTCGGTCTGTACCGGCGCCTTTCTGCTCGGGGCCGCTGGTGTACTCGGTGCCATGACTGTGGCCACCCACCATCATGCGCTTGACAGACTTCGAGATATTTGTGCTCGTTCTCATGCCCCAGACGAGCCTGCGACAACTGTACTGCACCAGCGATATCTTGATGGTGGTCTGTTGAAGGGACGCGGCGTTCGACTCCTCACGGCCGGAGGGGTAAGCTCGGGTTTAGACGCCACATTTTACCTTGTTAGTCAATTGGCAACACCTGACATGGCGGCATTTATCGCTCGGGTTATGGAGTATGATTGGCGTGAGCTCACAGAGTGAGCTGCACGCCCGGCGGTGACGGATACTATATTGGTGATCTGCTATATAGTCGATCAAGTACCAGTGTGGAATGGAAATGGAACACAACATAAGAGGTATCACAACACGTGTGCCTGGTTACATCCAATTAGAAGATATATACTTCTCTGGTTGTACTATTTCTGATATCGCTGTGTAAACCTAATGTATATGTTACCGGGCGGTAGAAGTTTCACTATGGGGGAATTTTCGATTTGCTGCAAATAAACATGCATCGATAGCCCAGCCCTAGAGAAATTTAGCTTACTGTTGGGCTAATTATCTTGCATAATCTCACGGTCAGTTGACGGCCAAAATCCCACGTTGGAACTTTTTCCGTTGCCACTACCTTGGGGATCATACCAACGTTTGGCTTTCAGATTCCAGCGGTCTAACTCACAATAGGTTACATATGTCTTGAATCTGCATAGTATTACCCAGATAGGTTTGTCATCGCTTCCTAGCATTGGCAGCGGGTTGCCGGGGATCCCGAGACTACCCTCGGAAGCCTCATTGACACTTATAGGCACAACCATTTCGCTTGTCCAATGGATCTGAAACTTTGATGCATCCCTAGTCATCAGACACAATGGCTAATTGAGGCTTTTCTGATTTACTCTAGGAATACCCCTCAAGCCACCTCAATCTTCTGTTCTACGTGAGCCTTGCTGACACTACTGAAAGGATAACTGAACCTTTCTAGGTTTAAGCTTCTCAGACTCAGCAATCACCCTACTCAGAATTCAACCTCAAGCGCTTTACTAAGTTCATCAAGGCTGTTTAGCGAATTTCATCCACTATGACCTCATTCATAGGGTCAAGTATCGTAGGAAAGCATGACCCCAAGTGGTACAGAATGATGGCCATTTGAGCCTGGGATGCCCTAGGTTGAACCTAAGACTTGACTTCTTAGTCCGCATCAGGAGTTACAGTCATCGGAACGGAGGGTTGAACTTTCCAGATTTCCTGTACTGGGGTCAGTGTTCTGGCTGATGCTGGTTATATAGCACACACCATCTGGTTCTGGATAAAACAACAAATCTCCATTTCCTCAGGACTCAAGTGAGACCAACACAGTTACTTATCAATCGGGCTTTTCTCTTATAGCTTTTCTGGGTAGACCAGTGCCTGGCTCAGAGTATCTCCCTTGGCAACATACATTCCACATCGAGTTACGATGGTCGCCTTGGCACCGGGTGCGGAAATTGTTCCCACTACATACCACCCCAAGCTTGCCGAGAATGGAATTTTCCCCTTCGAGAATGGAATGTCCAATAAGAAAGTCAGTTTGGAGACTGTGGAGATCACGCCTCCTGCGTATGACAGCGCCGATCCGGTGGTTATTACCTCAAACGGCAATGGCACCAACCAACTTGAACAAAATGTGCTCAACAGCCCCATCGCCTCTGATACCTCGAATTCTCTATCTGGGAATGAACTGATGGCTATGGAGGTATTGAAGATTATCGAAAGTTATGGTGTTGACTTTGAGAAGTCGGGGATTTCATGGAAGGGCTTCGAGTCGTTTGTTCCAATTGTCTTGGAGCAAATCAGCCGACAAGAGCCAATCCGCATGATTTTGCCCGCATTCCCTTTCAAATCTCCAAATGCGAGCAGCAAAGTGTTGGGAACTATGCCCGACTTTGGTGAAGAATTGGCCTTGGCCCATCTGAATGGACTTTGCCAAAACATTGGTGAAGTATACGGCCCTGGTGCCGATGTCTACATCAGTTCGGATGGACTTGTATACAATGGTAAGAAAATGACCGCGATTGATGTTCAAAACTTTTTAATACTGACATCTACTAGATATCCTGGGCGTCCCCGATGAAACCGTTTGGGACTATGGGGAGACCCTCCGAAAAATGGCCGTCGAGAAAGAGCTCCATAATGTCAAATTCATTCGTCTTTACGAACTTCTCCACCATCCATGGTTCCCATCCTCTACACCAGAGGCAGCAAAGGCATTCTACCTGGCTCATGCTAGTTGCCTCCGCCGAGAGCTAATGTATACCTTCGCTGACCCGAGCTTCGACGCGACGGAGGCTATCAAAACAGACAATGATACATGTCTGACATACCGCGGGTACATCAAATTTTTGACCAAGGATCTAGCGCATCTGGAAGAGAAGGACAAATCCATGTCCAAACGAGCTCGGCAAGCGCAAATTGCCGACACAGCACGACAGATGATCATTCGAGGCAAAATGTTCGCGGCGGCCATCAAAGCCAACCGCAAAGATTACGTACGACTGTCTATTCACGAGTCCGCGGGCGAGAAAAAGCTTTCTGTCTCGCTTATTCCACAGATTCGAGGCACACTGGGTTATACACCTTGGCACTCTTCTGTGGCTGTCGGACTGGACGGTTCGTATCGCACGGTCCACGCTGAAGACGTACGCGACACGCACGATCTTGTCTACAAGAACGGTCAACCATATTTCTTCCGTGAAAGATCAAGTCTGTTTGACTGGAGTGAGGACGGCTTATCCGTCAAGTTCGAGCATCTCTATCCGTGCGGACTCATCATCCGCCCCGCCGATATCGACAATGTCAATCCACCACCGTCGATCCGGTCCATTCCCATGCAAAAGGTCCGCCAGCTCTCGAACGGTATGTCGCCAATTGTCATTCGTGGATTTTCCGAGACTCTAGAGGAAGATCTCTACGTGAAGAAGGGAGAAGAGCTTGGCACTATTCTCCCTTGGAGCTTCGGCATAATCCAAAAGGTACGGGATAACGGGCGCTCTGACAAGATGGGCAACAACGTGACGTCCAACGAGGCCATGCCGATGCATTTCGATGGGATGTTCAAGTTCGACGAGATAACCGACCCAGAAACGGGCGAGAAGAAGAAAGTTCAACATCCACCGGGGTATCAGTTCTTCACTTGTCCTGCCACTGCGCCCAAGGGCAATGGGTACACCTTGTTTGCGAGCTCCCGACTGTTCTTCCGGTACCTGCCTCTCCCGTGGTCTGCTGAGCGTCTTGAAAAGATTACCTGGGCTATGGATAACGATGGGTTTTGGGATGCAAAACTCAAGAACCTGCCCTTGATCGTCAAGCATCCTATCTCTGGACTGCCCTGTCTACGTTGGCATCAACCTTGGGACTCGACTAAGACCAAGTTCTCGACCTGTGATGTCACAATCGAAAATGACGATAATGAATTGGTTAAAGTTGTGGACCGCATCACTTATGATTATAGAGTTTGTCATCGCTTTGGTTGGGAGAAGGGTGATTTGCTGATTAGTGATAATACTGCCATGCTGCATACTCGCACCGGATATATCAGTGACTGTGATCGAGAACTGTGGCGGATCCATTGTGACTGAGAGATTCATGTTTCTTGGCTTTTGATCTTGTGTTCTGTGTTTTCTGTCCTTCATTTCTGTCCGCGCTTGGTCACTCATTGTTTTCTCTCGTATATTTGGCTTAGGTTTGGTGCGAAGTTGCTGAGTGTTCCGAAGCAATTACACACGTCTTCAATGCAATATCCAATAGATTTTGAGTCTGGTATTTCTATATATCCTCCGTGCTTGGTCAGTCGTACTATAACGAAACCTTGATTCTTCCTCTTTTTCCCTTTTAGTCAATCTATACCAGTGCGTGAACCTATGAAGCATGAAAATTGGGTGTAATATCTTTCACATTCTACCTGGGAAAATTCGCTAGAAAATGTTTTATAATTGGGTCTAGTTAAGATCATAGATATGCCTCGAACTATCTTTATTCATATGGTCAAGCCAATCGTTGACCTCTTCTAGCCCGCTGTTGTCTGATATCCACTCTACCAATATTCAGTGAGAGTAAAGATTGTTCTCTAGATAGTAGAAATCACGCTCTTTGTGTATATGCTACCCCCAGCCCATGGCCTATCACTTCTATCTTTATACACTCTCACAACCCAGTCACATCATCCTAACAGGAAAGGCTCCCCTTGGTGGGACTGTATTCGCCGTCTTGTGTAAAGGACACATTTGCGCATATGATCCCCCGCCCATCCAAGGCCTTGAAGCGGAGTGGGCAGGGGGTCCAGAGTGGATATTGTGGGGATAGCACAAGCAACCCAGATTCTGCAGGTTAGACTGCTGTGCTGCAGGACCATGATCTGACCCGCTATGACCAGCATCGTAAGGGGAGGTTGGTGAAGGGAACGAAGCCATAGAAGCCGATACTGGAGACTCTGGAGGAACCAAAACGATCACTTTGTACTGGGGAGACATTGTGTTGATGACCTGGATAATTTGAGGCAAGGCCTCTTCTGCCTTTTCGTTAGTTGCTTGGTTCACACGATAACTTCTATACCATATAGTTGGAGTACTGACCAGTCGCAACATAGTACAGCGGCTGATTGGGCGCTGATGTAGACAGGGGGTCTGGTACAAATCTCTCCGGGGTCCCTATAATTTCTCGGTATATGTCCCCACCGAGACCAGAGCTGGCTGGTGACATGCTGAGGTTTTCTTGTGCTGGAGCGCTTGTTATAGGAGATATTGGACTTGCTTCACTGACTCCATTAAACTGGGATAGATCGCTAGGGTACCCGTGTTGCGGGAATGTGTTGAAGTCGTTTGGCCATGATTGTGAGAACGGGGGATATGATGGCATGAATGAAGTACATTGGTCTGGGATTAAAGGGGAGACATCTCGCGAGGTAAAGCCGAGCTCATTGTCCGAGGGAGATGAGTGAGGCCTTGGGAACAGCGAGGGGTTATATCCCTGATCCCATCCGTTAAGAGCGGCTGCAGCTCTGAGTTCGTTGGCAATAACGCGCTCTTGAAGCTTTGCAATGCGTTCTCTGATTTTGCGACCTAAGTCCGATCAGTTTCAAGCCTGTACTCTCTCTTTGGTCTTTGGGGCAATATCTTACGATGGTTTCTTTGGGAAAGGCGGTTCTGCAATCTCCTTCTTTCTAACGGATCCTGTGTTTGACTGAGGATTTCCTTGTCATTGGGACTTGTTGACTGTTCTTCCATCTTCATCTTGGAAGGTGTTGGTGTGCTATAGCTTTGGCAGATATTATCGTGCTCGAGGATGTTGCACATCTGAACTGATTTCCTTCAGCAGAGATATCGAGTCTTCAAGTGCTCATTGCGGAAACTCAGAACCAAAAGACCCATCACCGTCAGCCTCTCTTTGCTTTATACAGGCCGTGCGCCCACGAGGGAAAATTACGCCTGATCTCACTGTGTGACGCAGCCTGTACAACGGATCTTCGGCGATCAATGATTCGGTTTGAAAGCCACTGGTTCAACCTCCGCCTTTTCAGCTGCGTGATGCTGTTTGATCTGACCATGTAAAACTACCTGCCTTTCTCAGCTTGCCGACCGTCTAGGGACAAAGCTCTTGTGCAGAGTTGGGCATTCTGGGAGAAGGTTTCAGGACGGTCGCACGAGGTGGTGTAATCAGAGGCTATCCCCGGCCTGGACATTTCTGTGGACATGGCGCTGCCCTGGATTCTCTCATCCCTTTGTTCCAACAGTCTGGGTTGAGCAAACATCATGAAACCCTCAGCTTGGATCCACCACGATGGCTCGAAGGCTCGCGTGTCGGAGCCCAACAACCTTGTTTTAGACCCCTCGACGTGGCAAAACCGTGCTACCTTGCCTCCAGTGGTAACCTACTCACCCCCGGTACTTTGGATGAGTGTCCCCGCCTACTTATACTTCAAATCACATGTTGCCATCGAAGTACCGTCTTCTAGACTCGGACATCTCCGAGTTCAGCCTTTATCCTACCTGATTACACGGACCCACGTGGCAAGGGCAATTACCATGATCTTGTGTTCAAGCTGAGAAGGAATTGGACAGTCGATCTCCCATTGGGCTTTATCTGTCTCCAGGTCACACTCATCAACAGTTCCCAGAAGGACAGGGAGACAAGGACTATGGTGACAGGCTACCAGTTGCAAGGCTATTACGGCCAGTACAACATCCAATATGAAGTCTAAAAATAAGACATGTCGTGCCATGACCCCTCGATCCTGCACGAACAATGAGCTCACGCTGGATATACTCCGGGTTTGAGCTAAACCACTCGTTATCTTATACATTTTCTTAATCTGGGTTTAGAGAGGTCACATTATCTCCTCAAGTTCACATTAGTTTCTCAATTGTCATCAAATATTCTTGGTACAATGGTCCAATGATCTGTCACTAGGCACCTCCAAAAGAAGTCATTTATACAATGGTGTCATAGATGGGCTGATTTCGCATTCTGAGTCTAACAGCATGGAGTGTCAATGAACTTCTTTCATGAACCTAGAGAACTAGTATGTGGTGCCCCTATGACCGCTCTTCCATCACCCCGGGATATATATGCATGTGAGATCCAGCAGTAGTGACTGACGGAAGATCCGGTTTGGTTTGTCGCTGGATTGGATTCTGGAACGCAAATCCCTTGTGTAACTGTGTGAGAGATGTTTTATCCCGCAACTGATTGTGTTCTTTTTCTTTGTCTGCATTGATGGTCTAGAAATAGAAACGTATTTGTGCAGCCTATCTATGAGTGCAATATGAAGCAATCCAGTTATAGCATTTGCATTATTAAAACATATAGAAAATGAGCTAATATACGCATGGTATAATTACAACCAATCAACCTACACGTTTTACAACTCAATATTTAAGCAAAAACTATTAATGCCAGCGTCTCTCAGCTTTGACTTCTTTGGTCGACATATCAGCCAGTAAGCCGCCAAGGATTCCGTAGCCAGCCGGGCCACTCAAAATAGTACCACTCTCTCCAACTCTGGCATCTTCCCCTCTTCCAGTCACAGAAAGCCTTAATCTATCTTCAGGGTAGCTTTACAGAATGGAACCTTTTCTCAACGTAGTGGGCAATCTTCTCCCATATCATCTTCTCTCCTATGGTGCTCTCCTCGGCACAGAGCTCTATCAGGTACGTTTCTCATCTCTTCAACAAACAAGCGATCTCGTAACTAATCAAATACAGAGCTTTGTTAATACAAAAATATGCTACCAAGAATTGCCAATGAAGCAGTTCATTCTTCTCCAAAAGCGCCTTTTCCCCATCTACTTCGGAACGCAGGTCGGACTCACAGCATTGACGGCAGCAACACACCCACCATACAGCATTTTGTCACTGGGTCAAGACCCGTGGAGTATAGCACCTCTTGCTATTGTTGGTTTGACCGGATGTCTGAATTGGTTTATCTACGGACCTCGAACGACCACTGCAACATTCATCCGAAGGGCGCTACAAGGTGAGTTTACCTCGATGCTCTTCATTCAAGTATACAATTGACATATATTTTACCTGCAGAAAGCGATAACACCGATGCTAACTCTGAGGGGTCAAATGTGAACCAGGCTAACCGCAACTTTGCACGAAATCACGCAATGGCCATTCATTTGAATGCTATCGCCATGATAGCCACCGTATTTTATGGGTTCTCACTGTCTGCTACGCTTATGGCAGGAATTTAGGCAATGCCACCATATCACAGAGCGTTGGTGGATGCGTGAATGTAGTGACAAGGTTGAGAAGGACATTTTCATATCATATTTCTTTTAGGCTCTTGATAGCATTTTGTTCGTAATATCTCAGCTCTGTTTTTGAAAACGTATCGATCTCCCTATCTAGTCAATTAACCAGGTTGAAGTCTAATTTTAAACAACGTATAATCTTTCTTCAAGACCAAGACAAGATATTCGAATGCCATCGGCAGCTATGGAGGCCGAGAGTCGATATAAGAGGTCCGTATCCCCACAGCCCTAAATTGCCTGCAAACGCCATATCCTATAGTCTCTGTTTGTGAGAGAATGACTACACTGCTAACGGAACTGCAACCCATTAACCTATCTTCCTATATCGGGCTCTCCTAGATTTGATAACAAAAGGAAATAAGATCATTGTAGTACGTTTAGCGCTTTGCAGTATATATCACCACCAAAAGCCAGAGCTCGAGCTAACGGGCCACTATATTTCAAATACAATATATCAAACCCTACCACAAATGCAAAACTACTTAGCAGGAAAGTACAACAGAGACTTAACCAAAGGAAACCACGGTGGACAGTGTGACACTAGCGCTGGCGTGTTGACTTGCGCTGACACAATGTGCAGTAGGGTACGGAGCGCCAAGCAGACACCCAAATCTCTATATAGTACTAGCAAAAGAGCAGCAAATTCCATTTCTAATCTTCACTTCTAGTTTCTACCAAATCCCCAAAACTCATCCCCAACATGACATTCTCCTCCATACTTCTCACCACACTCCTAACCCTTCTCCTCCCACCCCTCCTCTTCCTAACCTGGTACCTCCACATCCCCCGAGACCTCCCAAATCTCCCCAAAATCCCAATCTACGTATCAATCCTCGGCCTCTGGTCCTCAATGGGCCAGGACGAGATCTACGAACGATGGTTTAGGGCCCCACTAGAGAAACACGGTGCCGTGTTAGTCTGGTTCGCTGGACGATGGAGTGTACTCGTTTCACGACCAGATTGGTTAACCGATATGTTCCGCAATGAACAAATATATGCGAAAGCCGGGAGTCAGATCAAGATCCCGCATGCTGTTATTGCGACGCTTGTCGGTGATAACATTATTAATGCCCATGGGGAGAATTGGAAGCTTTATACCAGTATTATGAAGGCTGGGTTGCAGAAGAAGGTTTTTGATACGACGTCTTTGCTGAAACAGTCGAGGAAGCTGGTGGATCTTCTGGTCGATCTGCAGAAGGAGACTGGTGCGGACAGAGGTATTCTGATTATGGCAGATGTACAGAAGTGGGCTGTGGATGTGATGGGCGAGAATTTCCTGGACTTGGATCTGAAGGTATTAAGTACCAACCTCATCCTCGCCTCTGTCCAACAAACATCTAATCTACAATACTCAAGCTGAGAACTAACGAACCCTCTGGCAGAGCCTGGGCCAACCAAACGGCACCGTCCGTATCGAAGCCCTCCAATCCATAATCAAAGCAACTCTCTTCAAACCAATGTACTTTAGCTTCCCCGATCTGGACCACTTCCCCTGGCTCCTGCCCTCACGCAAACGCGCGTACAATATAATGCACGAATTCGACAACCGTCTCTACACAATGATAATGACAATGCTCCACAAACGCACACAAACCCAAAGCACCCAATCGGAAGAAATGGTCTCACACATGCTCGGCGAAGCATACACATCGGGCCGAATAACCGAGAAACAATTCCGCGATAATCTAAAAATAACATTCCTAACGGCACACGAAAACGCCCAGCAACTCGTCACATCTATGTTCTGGCAACTCGGTACTCGAGTCGATATCCAAGATCGATTACGGGAGGAGATCCTCGCTACGGCGAAGATCCATCCGAATCCATCGCAGGAAGTTATCAACAGTCTCCCGTACCTGACGGCCGTGGTTTTGGAACTACTTCGTCTCTTCCCGCCTGTCTGTCAACTCATTAACCGTGTTGCATTGCAGCCGGCGCTGCTGGGGAATGAACTCCCCATTCCGAAAGGTGCGTTTGTGGGATGGAATGCGTGGGCGGTGCATAGTAACCCTGATGTATGGGGTGAGGATGCGCGCGAGTTCCGGGCGGAGAGGTGGGGGGATACTGTTGAGGAGATGCAGGGGCGATTTCGGAGGGAGACGGTCAAGGGAACGTATATTCCGTTTAATGCGCATAAGCGGAAGTGTCTTGGGCAGGGGTTTGCGTTGTTGCAGGTGAAGATTTTGTTGTTTGTTCTGCTGGGGAGGGTTAGTTGGGTTCTTGATCCTGAGTATCGATTGAAGATGACGCCGGTATGTTGGTTTCTATTTTTACTCGGTGATTTCGGTGATTTATGCTGATTTGGATAGGGCGGGATTCTGGCGCCGCTGGGTTGTCGGGTTATTTTAACCGAGTTGGAGTCTTCGGGGTAAAGAGACCGAGTCGGACTAGCAGATGGATGATTGGTATCAGATGGGTTGGGTGTTGACGTGGAACAAAGCGCTAGAATGAGTCCCAATCGACTAGAATGAGGCAAGGAAGCACTCTATACGGAGTACAATCCAAGAAACGTGGTATATCATCCAAATAATCAAATGACCGCTAAATTGTCCAATTGTTTAAGATAATAATCGCTCTCGTGGTATCACATGTAAGTAAAGGGGAAATGTTCAAACCCAAAACGCCTCTAAAAAAAACATCGCTGGAAACGTTTATCCTGGCTTCGTAGATGTTAGGTATTAACACATTATTGTAGGTTGTATGTATGTCTGCCGAATCCTGGTTGGGTATCGTTACAGGATAGCCTGCCATTGCGCAGTGCGAGTAGCTTCAAATTCGTACATCTTCACGCTCTCCAGAAGTACAAACGATTCGTATCGAAGTGCTCGTTCGCGGTCCTTGGTTTCGGACCACTGTTCGACGGTCCCGTTCCATACATCGGCGTACCCATCGAACAGTGACCGCCAGTAGCAGGCTTCAGCGGCGGGTGTGAGATATCGCTCACGGAAGGTCTTGACGCTGTTGTTGGCGATGCGCTGTGCGGCTTTGGTGTCGCTCACTAAGGGCTCCATCTTTTCTGATAAGTCGCTGAAATCGCGTTCGACTTCGACATAGTTTTGGTTGGGGCCATCTGCCACCAATAGATAGTGGTGATGTTGGATGAACTGTAGTTTATGTGCGACGATGACCGAGTTGCAGGCCTGTCGGTATTTTAATGAAGCCGAATAAGAGCGACCTAAATATAGTGTATTGTTAGTTGAAATCCCCAATTCGCGATAGATAGTTAAAATTAAACTCACCTTCAACATGCGCAATAAACATGAAATGGCAATGATCCTCCATCCTCAAGACGTTAGAGCCCGTGTTCCAATCAACCTGCTTGACATCGCCCCACGATTTGTCCCTAGCGGCCTCCATCAACGCGCGTCGCAATTTGGGCGCGAAACTGGGCTTGCCCCGCCAGACCAACTGTGGCGTTTTCTCTGACCAAGGGATATCCATCCTTTTGATTCGTTCTACCACCTGGTCATACGGTCCCATGTAATTGTCCTGGTTATCCCAGGCCCAGAAGCTAAAATCTGGCATAAGCCAGACTCCTTCTTCACTAGACGTGCGCGAAAACACCCAGACCGGCCATTCTGAATTGGTCACATCGTCAACCTTATCCTCCACCGAGAACACAAATTCAAAGTCAGGTCTAGAAACTCGTTCCGGGTCGGCGGCCAGCGCACGATGGATTGAGCTCAACGTCCCCAAGATTTTCCGTCGGTGATCCTCGCCCTTGGATCGCGCCGTGACCACGTACAAGTTGCCATTAGAAATGAATGCGCGCGCCATACCATGTTGGATTTTAATGGCATCAAGTTCTGCCGACGACAAGCGACCTTGCGAAGACCAAAATCTGCCACCGCGCGTGACGTCCTCGAATAACCCGGGGAAGGCAGCTTTGCACTGGCTCTGACTGAGGGCCTCATTGCGACCATCCCGGGTATATTCAAAGGACCAAGCGCGGGCTGTGTCTGTTTGTAGACCAGGTTCGGGACAGGTGAGACATGTCGAGCATTGGAAGGTGGTTGAGGATTCGCAAGCGCAGTGTCCGGCGGGAATGATCTGGGTGAGGACGGGGTGAATGTATCCTCTGTCGGAGTTCATGCCGAACCAAATGACGATGATGGCGCTGAAGCTAAATGCGGTAATGAGGCAAAGAAGCGACAAGCCGCGTCGCGGGCGAATTGGAAATGAGGCTGTCATGGTGAAGATATAGACTTGCACGGCATGATCTGTGAGTGACTTGACGTTTGTCTAAAGGTGTCCGGATAGTCTGAAGAGTATTTACAGTGAAGAGAAACATTGGAATGGTATAAGAAGGGGGGCAGTTCAAGGCAGCGCTCTAAAACCATCCCCATAAAGGGCAGTGATACGCAACTATGGACGATCGCCCCGTCAAATACCAGCATTGGCGAGCATCAGCCCGCCAGTGGGGGCTGCGGCGTCATCGTCTTTTTTTGTCGTCTTTGTCTCTCTTTTAACTTCATTGGGGGTCCTCTTGATTGGTTTGATATAATTAGATTGGTTGGATAGGAATAATCGTCCGTGGATAAAGAGAGACATAATAAAGAGAAGCCAAAAGAGAGTGAAGGGAGTAAAAGAAAGGAAATTGCCAAGACTCGACGTCAACGTGGACCCTGTTTTTTTTTTTGCTGGGGAGACCCCTCGGGGAAGCTTGTTGATCATCGGAGGCTATGTGGTTGTTTACGGGATATAACTACCGGACTATGGAGTAATCCGTGGTAGTAATACTAATAACAGTGTCCTTCCAAAAGATCTACACTACTTGCCTCTATTGGCCTAGTTACTAATAGGCGAGACGCTATAGAAAAATAGCCTGAGGGGCTGAAGGCTAAAACACAAGTGGACAGGCCTCTGTTTGAACTACCATGACCAGTCCCTCCAGACTAGATACAAGTATTACCAAGGTCTCTAACAATGTCTGCTTGATCATCTAGTATGAGATATGCATTAAAAAAAAACCAATTGCCCCACCCCCAGCCAATTTTCCCTGACAACAGAAACGCCCGTTGCAATGCATGGAAAATAACGCAAAATGTCACATAGAGCGGGACGATTCATAAGCTTTGTCATTGTCCAGAGTGACTCCGACCATGTCGTATCCCCCGACTGCGGTTAGATGGAGCAGGCGTCTCATTGGCATCCATATCCGGGGTGGCAGGTACTGCTGGTCGACGTTGTCGGCTATGTCTTACACGGCCGAGAGCTCGGCGCAAAAGCCCGTCAGCTTCGTTGTCGAGGTCCATTTCAACCTGTTCATCTTCGGCCGGGGGCGTGGCGACATGGGTTGCCTCCTCCGTCCACCCTTCCACAAAGGGCTCCTGACGTCCACGTCGTCGAGACATCTCTTCCGGGGCGACTCGCTCTTTGCCCTTATGTTCACGAGACCGAGCAGATCCCCGGCGTTTGGAGGAGGCTGCACTGGCTTCCCGCATACTCTCTTCGAAAGTCGTGCGGTCCTTTTGTCGCCCCTCCAAGGCCCAGAGCTCGAGCGCACGTGAAAGTAACGTACCAGCCACGCCCGCACCCCCGGCTGCATCGCCGCCGCCACTCGCCCCAAGTACACGCACGGCCTCATGTAAGGCAGTCACCGCGTCCGTGGTTCGTCCCAACTCCAGTAACACAAGGCCACGAGACGTATGTAGAGAACCGGTGAGCCCCCTATCTTCGTAGCCCCCGACCCCAGATGCGGTAGCGATCGCCCCTGAGCCACCCGTACCACCACCCAAGAATGGCGAGTAGCCCATGCTGCTCCCTCCTGCGCCCACGCGGAGACATTCATCGAATTCACGAAGGGATTCGGACAGACGACCCATGCGACGGAAGGCATGGCCTAGGTTCGCGCGTGTAGCCACCCAGGCACTGGGTTCACAGTGAAGAGAAGTAGCTAGGGCAAGTGCTTGCCCAAATAATTCAATGGCGCCGCTAAGGTGATTCTGATGGTAAAAGACAACTCCAAGCTCGTTGAGAACCAGTGGGTCCCCGCCAACGGCGGAGACAATCCCTGAGGGATTAGATGCAATAGAAGGCACAGATCCGGGGGCAGCTCCAGTTGACATAGCGTGAGCAGCACATAGATACTCGTGCGCCAGAGACATGTTATTGAGGGCGAGATGTTGCATTCCCAAAAAGAGTTGGGGGAGATGGCTGCCCTGGAATAGTCGAGCAGCAGTGCTATAGGCTGCGATGGCTTGGTCGTGTTCACCCTCTGCGGCAAACGTGTGCGCGAATCCAATCCAAGCCGGGGCCGAATGTGGATCTAGCAGTGAAGCCTTCGAGAAGAAGCGCCGCGCCTCAGCCACCTTCGATACCGACAGATAGTACACTCCAATTGCCAAGTATGTGTAAGGTTCTTCGGGGGAGTGGTCTGCGAGCATGTGGGAGAGTAAGAAAAGCGCATTCGTGGCACCGGTTTCGTAGAGACAAGCCAAGTGAAGCGGATAAATGGCTGGAGCATGGCCAAGGTTGTTCTGTGCCGGAATGCTGGGATTTTTGGAGGACAGGTCGGTTGATTGAGATGTGGAGAGGATAGAGGACGTCAATTCCAGAGCTTCTGCAAACCGACATTGCGTATACAGAGCTTCGGCGCGAGACAAAAGAATATCGGGGTTGTCGGCAAGATTATAATGTGTGGATAAGGTTTCGGTGGCGTCGGAGAGAATGGTAGGAGATGAGTATTTCGATAGACGGGTCGTATACAGCATCTTCGTAAAGTGGGCGGCTTCTTGTGCCATCATGGGATCGGGAGATGAGACAGAATCAAAGTCTAGTGATTCAAGGAATTCCAATTCTTCCGTGGGAGACATTAGGGAGTTCTTCATGAGTTGGTCGAACGCTTCAAAACACTGCACGTCGATCCGTACGGCATCCTTGTAACAGTCCCGCGCACGATCAAATGCATTCTGCTTAGCGAAGCAAAGTCCCCGCAGATAACACATGGCGGCTTCAAATCTTATATTATTGGCATCCTCACGTTCTCGCTCCTCAGCTCGATCACTGCGGGGCGTCGCGCTCTTCCCATTCCGAAGTGTGACATGGCTTTGGTGTTGGATCTTGCGCCGGGTGTGGTTATTGCGGATGAGGTCCGTAGGGTTGTGTTCACCGAGAATGGAGAGGGCTTGTTCGAATTGGTTCTGTTTTATGTAGCAGTGCGCGGCAAGGTAGCGGCAGGCGGTGCTTCGAGAAACAAGATCCTTGCGGGAGAGAAGGGCGAGGGCACGCGTAAAGTTGTTATTTGAGAAATGTACCTGAGCCAGCCAAAACGCGTCAGAGTCACTGTCTTCACCAACATGTCAGTATCCCTTGTATTGTTGTATATCCATGGTGCATGTAGTCCTCACTGGTAAGGGCCAGGACTTTGTCCCCTATGTAGATTGCGGAATCATGCTGGCCACGGTTCAACGCGTCCTGTCGCCAGGAGCGCAGGAACCTTTCCATATCGACAGATGGGATGTGACAAGAAAGGGATTCAAAGAGTGAACGGACATAGAGATTCCTGTTAAAACCCGGATATATCTAAGCAATGCGAATCCAGGCAACTTTCACACGAGCGGGTCCTTGCCCTATTTTGAACCAAACAGTGGTCCGTGCGTAATTGGGATGAAGGTTAACTCCGTAACTATAGAACCCACGTGACTTTACTTTTTACATGTACAACATAAGCAATGTATGCTTCTCATGCTTTTAAATTCATTAGTACTAGAATAGTTGAGCCCTCAGATAGCATGATGTCTTTCTTGGTACTTCAACATCCAGAGATGTTTTTCTTAACGCGCGTTGACTAAAGCGCCTTCCCCGACAAAAGCAAAATTACTATATTCGTAACGCGCGTTGACTAAAGGGCCTTCCCCGACGAAATAAAATCAATGTGGTCGTAACGCGCGTTGAGTAGAGCCCCTTCCCCAACGAGGGTAAGGTTTTCTAGCACTGGACATAGTACCTAAGACCCCGTAGACCATCCGTCTCACCGCCGAGGTCTTATCGTTATCGAGCGTTATCGAAGGACGGGTAGGTATCGCTTATCGTTTATCGCTTATCGCAGTCGTGCTGAATTGTCACGTGGTGGCAGACAGACATGGATTTGATCAGGGACCCTCAGGTTTGTCTTTCTCCCCATTTCCCCATCTTCCCCTCCAAAGCTCCCAACTCCCCAACCATCAAGGAGCACCATGGCTGAGCGAAAGGTTCTCTCAAAGTATTACCCACCGGACTTTGATCCGTCTGCGATCGAGAGAAAATCCAAGCGTTCTCGCAAGGATGGCAAACCCGAGCCAAAGTTGTCGGCCAGTCGTCTGATGACCCCATTCTCGATGAAATGCACTCACTGTGGCGAGTACATTCCCAAGGGTCGCAAGTTCAACGCGCGCAAGGAGACAGTTGAGGAGAAGTACCTGTCCGTCCCGATCTTCCGCTTCTACATCCGCTGCACCCGATGCAGCGGCGAGATCACTTTCCGGACTGATCCCAAGAGTAAGTTCCCCAATCATTCTACTACAATTTCGCTATGTAGAACCTAACATTGAAAACTAGACAACGACTACCAGTGCGAGCGCGGCGCAAAGCGCAACTTCGAAGTCTGGCGCGACGACAAAGACGAAAAGTACAACGACGAGACCGAGGAACAGACTCTCGACCGACTTGAGAAGGAGCACGGCGCAAAGGAGGAGCAGCTTGAGCGTGACAAGATGGCCGAACTCGAAGACAAGATGCTCGACTCCAAGCGCGAGATGCAGATCGCTGACGCCCTCGACGAAATCCGAACCCGCAATGCCCGCATCGAGCGCACCGAGGCTCTCGGCGACCAGGCTGCTATCGCCACTGCTCAGGAAAAGATCGATGAGGAGGCCCTTCGTGCGGCTAAGGCAGAGGAAGAGCAGCGAGAGGCTGATCGCCAATTGTTCCGGGTCAAGAAGCGTGCCGCACAGGAGGCAGCCTTGATTGCAGAAGAGGAAGCTCGGGCAGCTCGGGTAGCGCAGCCGATGATTGACTGGGCAAACATCCGCCAGCTACCTCGTCGTCGCGTTAAGCGTCTCAAGGTTAAGGGTATCACCGCGAAGCCCAAGCCAAGCGAGGAATAAGTTCCAACGCACCAACGCCTTTTTTTTCTATCATGAGCATGGAGTTGAAGCGAGCATTTACGGCATCATGATTTGACCTCTGGGATCAACCACTGGGCAGGCGTTATCAGGTTACAAATGAAATTTACAGATAGCAATGAAATCGAACCATTAATAACTATCAGACCTAATATTCCGAAGTATCAAAGACATTGTAGAAGGTATTAAAACAAGAAAGAAATCGGTATCACAATCATAGTAACGTGAATCAACGCTGCGAACCTCGCCGAAGCACCCACGCTTAGAAAAACAGACCCAGAGACGAAACCACCGCTTCACAACGCATAATAGACATACAGGAAGTCCCCATCGCCGATCAGCTGGACAGAAACACGCAAACCAACAACAAACATTGCTCACAGGTACGGCATCCACAACGCATCGCACGACGCCAGATGCTGAGGGTTGACTGCCTTGGAGATCAGATCGATGGTGGTCTGATTGGCAGGCAAGTTGCCCTCCGGCGGGCTGGCGAGACTGACAGCACGGTTAACGATGATTTCGCTGTTGTTGTAGACCAGATCGCGCAGTTGTCCAGGGGGCAGGACACCGCGATGATGAGCCGTAGCCCAGAACATCATCTCGTCGCGCACGAAGACGCTAAGCTGTTGCTCCAGCTCGTGTCGCGGCTCCGTCAGGCAGCGAGCGATTGCCATCATTGCACAAGCGAACACACCCTCCGTCGCAATGGGACCCAGAAGCGTCTGGATGTTTGGCGTGAAGCGGAAGGGGACTTGCTCAGGGTTGTAGAAGAACGCCTTGGCTGGGTTGATGGTGGGGATCAATTCGGCACCCCAGATATCGCCTGTTGAACGAGATATCATAATTTTGTTCGGGTATCGGTTGCCAATGTGCATGACGTAGGTCATGAAAGCAATCGCTGCGTACTGGTAGGCGAATTGGCGGCGGAAGAGCCAGAAGTCCGAGAAGTTGGGGTATGTCTGCTGGCAGTATTCCAACACGACGGTACTCGGGACCCATTTGTCTTGAATCGCAGTCAGGATTTCTGTGCGAAGGACCTGTTGCTGATCGGGTGTGCGCTGGAAATCGTTAGCTTTTGTTATGCGAAAGGTGGACGGCACACTTACGTTCTGCTTCGTTTCAGCCAAGGATCGCATCTTGTCCATCGTGAAGAGCACCGGGTCATCCTTGTTAATTCCCTTGCGACGGCAGTAATCTTCATAAATTCCCTGCATGGAGATGTACGAGGAATCGTCTCGCACCAACCGAATGTGTGGTGCTAAAGGAACCATCAACGGCAGGTGGAAGTACAAGTTGCGGCGGCGACTCTCCTTGCGTTTCGCAAGCAAACCATTGAAGATCCGGAACAGTTGAAGAATGCGTTCTTCGCGCCTACAGTGGCGGGCCGCGGGATGCTGAACGGCAAATGCTTGCATACTGCCGTCATGCCCACGGATCTTCAAGCGACGGTGACAGACACCAATGCCTCGAATGAGGTCAACGTCGGGAAGGAAGCGGTCGATGCGGACAAAGTCTTGGTTCTTATCCTTGTGGAGAAGGTACTGGCCGGGAACCTCGACCTCATCAAACTTGAGGAAGCGGAACTCACTCAGGTGAGGTGAAGAGTTCTCAAGGAATGTGTGCTGTGATCTTCGATCAAGCTTTTCCTCGAACTTGTCACGCCAGCGCCGCAACTTGTGGATGTACTCGTTCATGGTTGGCTTCTTGGTCACAAAGTCCGCCTCGAACGACTTGCGAATGTGAGCCGGGAGGATTGTCTCTGCGAATCGGGTGATGTTGGCTTCTGTTGCGGCAGGCAACTTGAAGTCTTGAGCATAAGATCCAGGCATGCGACCCACGTAGGCCAGTCCATCGTTCAGGAGAGCCACGATGAGTCGATAAGCATCCTCGTCGGGGGGACACTTGAAGTTCTTGTGGATCTGGTCTACCATTGTCTCCATAGACAGAGCAAGCAAGGGGAAGGCAGTCTTGAGTCCAGACATGATTTCGTCCGAGTACTCCCACGGCTTCTTCAGAGGTTCCTTCTCGCCCTCCACAGGTGCGATCTGGTTCTGTTGCGGTGTTCCACTCTGACCCGGGACTTGCAGATGAGTTTGCTGAGCTTGGCCCGGAGTTTGGCCAGCTTGCGGTGATGCCTGCATGGGGTTTTGTGGCTGTGCAGGGGATTGGCTTTGGACTTGGGCCGGATTCTGTGTAGCAGGTGAGTTCGCAGGCGGAACTGACGGGGGGGCATTGGTCGATGCAGCTGCAGCCTGAGCTTTTTGGGCCGGAGAGCTATCGGCACCAGTGGGATTTGGCTTCGTACTGGGCGAGGAACCTTGCTGCTGCTGTCTGGCTCGATTCAACTTCTCCTGCTTCTGGTCATGTTGCTTCTTGATGCTCAGCATGTCCTCTCTGTTCGTGCGAAGCAAGAAGAAGAGAGCCTGTGGGTACAACTTGGCGATTTTGACCAGAACAGCCTTGCAGAGGCGCGCCTCCCTATGGGACAAGCTGGTGAGCAGTTGAGGAATGAAAGTGATCCAGTACCACACCGGGGTGTCTCCCTTGAAGTTCTCGAACGCACTAGCGATCTTTCCTTCGTCGTTGTCCAGGCTAAGGAGCCACAGAATTCTGCTGAGCAGTTTCCGTGATTTTGCACTCTTGTAGAGACCAGCGGCCTCCAGGTAGCAACTAACAGCGTTGCTAGCCAGCTCGTAGTCAGTCGGATCAGCCTTGAAGCGCTGGTCACTGTATTGTCCCCATTCAGACCACGCCTTAGCAAGGCGGAGATCATAGTAAAGAGCAACTCCAAATGCCTCATTGGCCTCATTAACATGGTCAAGTTTGGCGAGGAACATGCCCTTGAGTGTGTAGAATTCAGCCTTCTGCTGCGGTCCGAAGTAGTTGAGGTTAGTGTTGTTAATGACATCCAACCCGCTGTTCAGCTCCTTCGGATTCTGGTAGTGGCACTTCGCTTGCTCCCGAAGCTTAAGGAAGGCCTCTTGGATTTCGATGTTCGGGAGAGTATAGATACGGCTCAGTTGATTGATGCAGACCTCTGGCATCTGGTGCTTTCGAGCTACATGGGCGAATCGGTTGATGATCCAGGCTGTCTCATGGTATCCGCGGTACGCGTAAGAGTTGCTGGCCACGTTATTCGTCTGGGGAGGCAAAAGACTGAGATAGGTGCCATTAATGAGCTGGAAGATGTGCTGACGCCAGGTGACGAGATCTTGCCATGTGTTGATGTCATCCCAGAGATTGGGCAAACGGTCTCTCCAGGTTCCGAGAAGCAGCTTGAGCTCGGCGGACTTGGTATCCAAGTTCCTTTCATTTGTTTGGGCCAAGCTGCTGCAAATG